ATAAAGTAGGCGACATGTTAGAAGACATCATTCAATCGTTAATAAAATAAAAGGAATGAAATAAAATCGTGTCATTTTTGTGTAACTCGCTTTTAGCCATCATGTTCAAGTGTGTGGAACCAGGATTTTCGTTCAAATCCCCTTCCAATATTTTGATTGTGGGCCCTACAAGTTGTGGAAAAACCACCTTTCTCCATCACCTACTTTTGGAAAATTTTGACCTCTTTGACGAAAGACCGCCCCGCGTGCATTACTGTTATGGATCCTGGCAAAATAAGTTTGACGACATGCAACGCCATGGCATAGAATTTTTTAAAGGAGTGCCTACCCACGACGATTTAACAACATGGTTTGGAGATAAACGAGGGGGTATTCTTGTCTTGGATGATCTCATGTCGGAGGGAGGAGATGACAGAGAAATACTTAATCTTTTCACACAATATTCTCACCACATGAATGTCACCGTGTGTTATCTCTGCCAAGACATGTTCCCTCAAGGAAAATATGCCAAGACCATCTCTAGGAATGCGCAATACATTATTGCCTTTAAAAATCCTAGAGATAAAGTGGCGTTGCGCACCTTACTGCTACAGATATACCCGACCAAGTGGCTACCTGTCATGGATATATATAACGCATGTACGGACAGACCCTATGGTTATTTGTTATTTGACGTACACCCTGCAAGTAGAGATTCTACGAGACTTTTAAGTCACTTGTTACGACACGAAGGGTGTGTACGCTGTTACAGAGAGAAATAAATAAGAAAGATGCCTGGTTATAAGCGCAGTATGCCCACAACCCGAAGGAGAAGAAGAGTGAAAAGAAGAGTGAAAAGAAGACTAACCAAAAGAGGACAAAAAGGAGGTATCCTACCATTAGCGGCACTCATTCCAGCCCTCATTGCTGGAGGTAAAGCATTGGGTTTAGGTGCCCTTGGAGGAGCTGCATCGTTTGGGGCTAAAAAAGGCCTAGAAGCTCTTACAAAGAAAAAGCGATGATTAATAGTTTCAAGAGAAATGTGGATTTTTTAAAATCTATTTTACAAGAGAAAAATAGAAAGCGTCGTATGGAAAAATTACTTCACGCTGGTAAAGATCAAATCAATGCCGTCAGTGAATTCACGTTGAACATGTTGAAGAAAAAGATACCTTTATCACCGCCCACCGTTGCCAAACTCAAGAAATATAGAGTGATGTTGAGAGAGTTGGGTAAACGGAGGAACTCTTTAAGAAAGCGGCGTCAATTACTTGTGAATCAAACAGGCGGTAGCTTTTGGAGTGGTATGAACGACGCGTTCTGTCAGTGTTTCAAGAGATCATGACTGTCACCGTGCAAGAGGGTATAAACGAAGTGGACACGGGTATAAAGTTTGATTTGCAATTCAACTACGACGACGACGACAGTGACTATAAGGATTCAACCGAGTGTAGACTCACAATAACTCAACTGTTTCGGTGGTTGCGTATGCGTGTGGTGGAACCCTTGTGGCGATTATGGAGACGTTCTTAATGGTGAAACCCGATGAGTTTCGAGCTTTGGTAGATTATTACAAGGGAAAAATTACTGAAAGTACTCTTCTGGACAAAGCCGCACGCGTGGCCACCGAAGCAAAACTGTTATTAGAAGATACATCTACTCCTGCTGCTTTAAAAGAACCTGTAGTAAAAGAATTGTTAATGCAAGAACGCAAGCTTACTGACAAATTGAGACAGATTCCTATCGCCGGTGGTGTAGAACCTCCACCTCGAGACGATGATGGTAATCTCATGGAGGGGTTGCAAGAGGGATTGTTAAAAGAACTCATTAAATCCATAAATATGAAGGGACAAGCCGCCGTACCTCAGATGACACTCAAGAGGGAACCTGTCACACCTGTGGGGATCAAGAACGAACCCGTCACCCCTGCGAAACCGGGAACGTCCAAGATTCATTTTCTCACAGCTCCATCCCAAAAGATACAAAAAACGAAACGAAAACTTCCTGTTCCCACACCGCAAAAACATCGCACGGAGTTGGAACGACTCAAAGAATTTGGTAACTGGGAACCTTGGGAAAAGAGAGGTTACGACCCGTATCAAGTGTTTGAAGATGACGAAACGCCAAAGTCGAAGAAAGGCAAAGGGAGGGGCAAGAACCGTCCAAGCTAAGGCTAAAAGGAAACGACAGAGAGGAGGAAAATTTGATATTCAGAAATGGATTTCAAAGTTAGGTGTCGAGTTTCATTGGCCCGGATACCAGTATATGGGTCCAGGTACAAAATTAGCCAAGCGATTAAAACGTGGTGATCCAGGAATTAATCGTCTTGATAGATTAGCCAAACAGCACGATATTGATTACAGTAAAGCTAAATCACTCGCTGACAAACATATTGCAGATCGTAAGATGGTAGCCGGAATCGATAAGTTTCCAGGCAAGAAGAGTTTAACCGAGCAAATTGTGAAGCGAATCATGCAAGCTAAACTTAAAACAAAATTGTAACGCCTCTACAATGATGAAATAAAACTTGTGAAAATGCAACACAGTGTGTCTCCGGTTCATTCGTAGTTGTGTCGTTATCGAGAGCACATCATGTCAGGTAATACTTTTTACTTGACGTTACCCAGTAACGATGGGAGTCTGAAATATTTTCCAGACAACAAAAACAATTCTTGGAAAAATCGATTAGACAAACGCATCGATTTAGAAGGAGAGTGGGAAGTGGGATTGAGTAGTATTTCGCTTCCACACGATTCTAAGGTGTCCAGTTACCTCAAAGGATTAAAAGACGATGATGTCTTGCTAACCACAGGACGAATTAAAGTAGCCACTGGGGATACACAACATAAAGTGACTTACAATGTCACGTATGGAGACATCAAACAACATCGTATCGAGACAGTTCACGATTTACTCAAATCCTTGTTTGATGAAGAACGTTTAAAATGTATTATGAATATGGGCTCGGCGTTGGGGAGTCATTTTTCTTCAGGACACAGCGCACAATTTGAAGTGATTGCGGACGAGGATAAAGAAACGATTACTGTGACAGCAGACAAGGTAAAATCGACTGATATAACTCATCAAGAAGTTCGTGACGGTCTCTATTTTGAGTTACCTCGAGACATGTGTGAGTTGTTTGGTTGGACGAAAAAAACAACAGTGCGTTATCGTCGTATTGTTAGTGGTCCTATTGAAGAGAATTGTAATATATCACGACCGGCACAAAATCTCACAGTGACCAAACGTGGTACGGTGTGGAGTTATGATAGGAGGCTTACCACATCCAGTTTGGCGTATTACAGATATGAGATCCCATGGAAAGACCGATTTGCGGAGAAATATCATAGATTTCTTCTTAGCGATCTAAACTGGACCTTTATCAAAACTAAGAGAAGTACCTACTTAAACTTACCTTACCCACGGACCTTGTATATGTATTCCTCGCTTTGTGCCTCAGTACGTATGGGAGATCAGATAACTAATCTTATACGTCAAAAACACTACCAACCAATCTTGGAAGGAAACTATTATTTCGAACCCAAGCAGATTCATTACATCAAGTTACGCAAGAATCACATCGATGTGGTGGAAACACAGATAAGTGAGTCGGAAAATAATAATTCGGCTCAGTTTACAGATGGCGCTTCTATCGTCACACTTCATTTTAGACTCATGGATGCCGCCGCCCAGGAAAAGGACAGAGGAGGAAAATTTCCATTCCATCCACTTACTTGCAAATCTGCTTCACGTCACGAGTGGCAAGACAACATTGAAAAGGAACTACAAGATATGATTCGCAGGGTAGATCAAAGAACAGCCTTTCTTAGAAAATGGATAGATAATATCACAGATGGTATGAAACGCTTATAAGGATAACACAGACACGTGATTTAAATTGTAACAATTTAACTTGTCTTATTTAAAAATAATAAAAGGGGAACAAAACGCGAAAGTCTTTTGGCTCGAAAGTCTTTCAATGTTTAAAATTTCTTCTGCATCGAATCCTGTAAACTGAGCATATACGTAGGTTAGTTAAATGTTCCTACATGAAGTATCCGCTTGTCTAATATCAAACCATATTTTTTGAGTTCTGTTTCTGTCTTAATCTTCTTGGCATTGTAAAATAATAAAAAGGGAAAAAAACGCTAACGTATCTTGGCTTGAATGTCTCTCATATAAGTGTTTCAATGTTTAAAATGTCTTGTGCATCGAATCCTGTAAACTGGGCATATCCGTAGGGATACGATTTAAATGTTCCTACATGAAGTACCCGCTTGTCGAATACCAAACCATATTTTTTGACTTGTGTTTCTGTCTTAATCTTCTTGGCAATTGGATCACGCCTAAAATGTCTCGGGTTCACAATGTCAGTGTCTCTTCTTTCGTCCTGCGGGTCTAAAATTTCATCCAAAATATTTTGCCGCATGACCTGATAATTAAGCTGTTTGGCACCACGCACGTTTAGGGAAAAGCCACGAACTTTACACACGATTTTCCCATGTTTCCTCGCATACGCATAGTTCTTGGCCCCCCCTCCCGACGCAAATTCCATTATGTAATCCCCTTCATCCAACTCATTGGTCATATCGCCAAGGTAATCACCTAAGGGAATTTCTGTTTGACCTGGCTTCCACGTGTAAATGACCGAGTCTGTATCATAATACAAGACTCGATCGCCCAACACCTCCAAAGATTCATAAAGCTTAAGACGGGCCTGACAGGTGGTAAAGGCTGCTATGAATATGTTGGTTTTGGACCCCTTTACTGCATCCTCATCTATCTTCTTATACGCCAATTCAATCACATCAGCACTCAAAATGCGTATGTCTGATATTTTCAATCGTCGTGTCGTTTGAATGATCAATCAGCTCGTGTGTTTCTGTGTTTTGCTTCGCTTGTGACTTGCCCCAAAAGGAGTTCAGCATCAGTTTGGCAGTGGCCTTTCTTCCTGGATTTTTCTTGATGTGCTGAGGGTCTAAGTCTATCCCTTCTCTTGCCTTGTAATTTTTAACATAGTCTTATTTTTGCGCGTCCGTTTGTGCCCAGTTGGGGTAACCACTACTTTCTTGTTTTATCTTCAACCAGGTGTCTACGTACGGGGCAAACAGACCTTGCTCTCTTTGGTCTGGTGGGAAATGCCATGCTTCGTGTGTGCGAAGAACCTGGTACCCTTTTTCAACAGCTTTCATGATTTCGGGCGTACACCAAGTACCAGTGAGCATGCGATCCTCCACACCATGACTACAATTATAATTTCTTCCCAACATCGGTTTGGCCTTTTCATCTTCCACGCATTTTCGACATAATGGAAACGTCAGTTTTTTTCCATGTCGAAGAGGCAATACGGGATTGTATAAATTATAAGGCGGTAAAATGTCCACTGTCAATATACCGTAGTAGGAGGCTGGATCTTGGTCGTCTGGTTCCAAAAATATTTCGGGGTGACCTATGGGGTAGGTGCCGTATTTGTTTACATAGGGATATTCTGAGGTGACGTCGACGTATCTGATTTGCTCGCCTTCATCTGTGTTGGCCTTGTAATAAAGCGACGCCGCCCCAGTTCGACCTCCAAAGAACGCATCTCTCGGATTGAGCTGTGGTACAAGATTGATTTCCTTGAGAAAATCTTGAATTTCCTTTGAGGCCTTTTTCTGCTCCTTCCATTGACATTCCCAGATTTGAACCACTTTATACCCCATCTGTCGGAGTGTCTGACATTTGTCTTCCGTCTGCTGACACAAGGCTTCCATCGTGTAGCTGCCTGATGAAAACGCCATTTTCTTGCGGTCTTTATGACAACGTCTGCACCCGTGAAACAAACAGCCATGAAATTCATACACAGTGTTTGTGTGGCTATCAAAACCATCGACATGGTATGCCTGGGGCCCTGCGGGTATCAACTTCTCCCCACCATTACGAACATGTTGGATACGTGGGCTGTCTGATTCAAGCTGATGTTCCTGCCACATCAACCATTCTAATGCAACTTCTGATTGATTGACTTGTGCCCCACGCCATCCTCTTACAGGTTCAACGGCCACAGTATCCTTGGAAAGATGTTTTTTACGCCAATATCTGTTGCATGCTGACGCAATCGTGGCACATTTTTCCATCGGATCAAACCCAGAAATGGACTGGAATTCATTCACAAATTTAAGACAGCCGGCTTTAAGAAGGGCGACATCTGATTGGCAGTAGGCTATGAGTTCTTGCTTGAGATCAAATGGGTGTTGCTTTTTCACTTGTTCTTCATACCAGACTTGAAATTCTTTTTTTTTAGAATTGGACATACTTTCTGGGTCGTAACAGGAGGCTGCTGGCAGGGCTCCCACATAATCTTGATGGTCAGGTGTGTGGAACAGGTGAGGAAAGAAACCTTTCTTGAGTTCCGTGAGACCAAAGGTACTGGTAAAGGCTGAGAGTGACATCGGGAGGAAGCTGAACGAATCTTTGAATGTGATTTGACCCACTTTGAAGGATAACCATTTAGTGCCTATGGCGATGATGTCCTCGATCTTTCTTTCTTCCTTTACCAACTGATGCTGTAGAAACATAGAATCGTACCCCTTTAAATTATGGAAAATGCATATCACCTCGCGTGGGTCGCCATATTTGTCCTCGGTGAGCTGGGTGAGAAAGTTCAGAAAGTCGGCCGTGCAATTCTCCCCGTAGTAGGTTTCGAAGGTATCATCTTCAGAGGTGAGGGCGCAGACCAATACGGGGATGTGTGTGTTATCTTCCGCTATCATAGATTCAAAATCAGCGTAGACGAAGATGGGAGGTTCTTCATACACCGAGGCCAAGGGATTTTTTTTTCTATGGCGTTTCAGGGTTGCTTTGGTTTTTTTCTTTCTTTGATCTTCTTTGGCTGCCACAGGTTGAATAAAGCATTTGTGTTCTGTAAGTTTTACATATTCATGGCATACGGAGCATTTGTCAAAGTAGCATTGGTGAGGTTCTTTTGACGCTGAGGTTTGAAACTCCTTACGACACATAGGGCATTGAACAAGGCTGTCGCAGATCTTTTTCTCTTTATGCATGTCATAACACGTCTGACTGTAAAACTTTCGGCAACAAGAAGAACAGGGTACTTCACGCAAGGCATAATCAGGTTTTGCGCCACATTCTACTTGTTTGCATGCATGACATCTTCGACCCTCACATGGATGATGTCTGAAGTCATTATGATCAAATCCCTTGTTGCACTGATCGCAAAAATAGGATCGTTCTAGAAAACCAGCGTAAGATGTGCAAGTGTCATAGTGACCAGTCTCAGAGTCATCGTGTTTCTGGAGCAAGAGGCGGATAATATGCGGTGCTTCTGGGCCTACAAATACCATCATGTAGGGGTAGGAAGTTGCCATGACTTTCAATTGGTAGTCTGGTGCTAGGAAGTCTTGAAATTTTTTTCAATTCTTGGTGCCCGCATGCCCCCAAAGGTACGCCCGCATCTTCATGGAGTTGATAGGCCATTCGTGATCGAACAGTCTCACATTTTCTTGCATTCTCGTAATCGATTTTCTGTCGATCCCCTCATCTTTATGGATCCATGCTTTTTGCGACACAGATGGCTCTTGCACAACACAATTCGTCTGAATTTGTAATTTGAATCACGGAATGTTTCTTTTTCAAAACTTCTGCCATGGATCGCTTTCCCAATAGAGCTTTTTGTCTACCACTTTTACCACCTTTAGGCATTCGAATAAAGGTAAGGTCGGCGGTAAACTTAGAAGAGGATTTAAACGATTCTCCTGAATTCAATTTATTAGCCATAGTAGTCATGTAATTTTCAAAGCGTTCTGAATTCTTCATGATTTCTTCTACTTTGAATGTGGCTGATTGTTGGGCGTGGGCGAATTGATTCGATTGTAATGTGAAATGGAACGCGTCATGAGATGAACATTTCTTTTGCTGAATTTGTTTCCGTATCGATCTAAAAAAATAACCCAAAATAAATTTCGATAAGAGTTTATCCCCTGAAACTTTTTTTCAACACACTTTTTAAACTCTTACCTCGCTAACGCATTTGTAATTTCTTTTCCGATATTATCGTCTTGGGATGGAGTTCGTGTCTGCTTGAGGGTGGCCTCGTATCTTTGTTTATCCGCTGTCTTTTTCCAATTTTTTGGGAATCCAGCATTTTGAAATTCAAAGTTAAAGAGAGCACCACCTGATTGTTCCACACCCAAGTCTATATTGAGTGCATCCAATTGTTGTTGGTCCAATTGATCATACAATTCATTGAGTTGATCATCAGATATTTCTCCACCATACTGTTGTTTTTCAAGTTCATCATAATGTTGATTTAATTGGTCATCCGAGATACTATCCTCTTCCTCCACATCATCATTCTTTCTTTTTGCCATCATCAACTAACAAGACATGACACAAATATAAGTTTCACTCGCATTTTATTTACATAAGTTTGTACTTTTACACGGTTAAAAATCATCAGGGTTTTTCATATAATCCTTCACTAACTCCGTTGCGGCTTTTAAGTTTTCTTTCTTAACCAGCTTTAAGAGCTGCAAAAAAACTTGAGTTCTATGAATCTTCTGTTTGGTTAGCTCTTCTAGAATTTTCTCATAGTCGATCATGTCGTCTCGGCACTCGGGACATATATAGGCGGTAGGGTCCTAAAAACGTAAAACATTTGTAACGTATTAAAAATGCTGCTTGCCTGCCGCGACAGTCTTATTTTGACACTATCATACTGACCTCCAACGTTTTGTTCTCTTGTTGCGCCATCTTCACTCGGTCTTTAGGATTTTAATCTTCAGTCTTCAGATTCTTCTCACTTAACTTCTGCAACTTTTAAGATAAGAGTGCGCGACTTATATACTAAATTTTGTGTCATTTGATTGGTCTGTTTTCCCGCATGGTGATTGGTGAATTCTAAAACGACGCCATCTGTGATTGGTGTATTTCGATCCGTCGGTATACTCAACATCATCAATGAAATGGTCCAACAAAACGTAGCGGTATCGTTTTGTTACTACACTTTTGCGTAGCGTTTGAATCTAAGAAAGAAGTGTGTCATTTTTCGGAATTAGATCGTAAAAATCCTTGCTGGACTTTTGACCAAGGTACGTACGTTACGAGTGATTTTTTTTTTACTTTTTTCAGTCGACTTTTTCCTAACAATGTCGTTTTTTTTTTAGATGCCACCTGTAAGACGATCACGAAGGCTCGCACGACAAGATGTGGAAGAAGATGGCAGACCGTATGATTGTTTCATCTGTTTAACGCAAATCAACGTCAATATGCACAATGCTACAGCTACACCTTGTTGCCAAAGACGCATACATCGCCGGTGTTATCAATCTCACGTTCATACATCTGATACGTGTGGTCTTTGCAGAGAACCTTTTACTGTCCATGAGGCGCAAGCTATGGCCGCAATAGCAAACCCAGAACCGGAACATCCAATTCGTCAAACAGATATGGAACTCCGTGAACAGCAAAGGCAACAAGCGATCCGCGATTTGGAAGCGTTGTTACAACCAGGAGCTCTCGAAGCAAGGATTGAACAGGTATGTTTCAAAGTTCTTATTTTGTCCGAAGCAGTGTTTTGGAATCGTGAAGTAAAACGAACCACTTTTTCAATTTTAGTTGTAAAGATTTTATTCACCTGCCGGTTTCTGGATGCAATCCATTCGCATTTTTTGAGTGTAGCGATATTCAGTTTCTAGTATTAGAAATTATTTCAGTTACTACAGTCGTTATTGCCATCGTGAACTATCGCATTTACTTCATTTACTATTTTCATTTTCTATAGTACGTTTTTTCGACATTCGTATTTTTTGATAATTCCATTGATTATACTCGGGCACTAAGTCGTCTTTTTTCTGTTCATCTCTAGATGCCTACTGCTTTATTTGAAGCCACCTATTTTATAATTGATAATTACTATATGAAGAGTTATTTACTACAACTTATTGGTGATATGAAAGATGTTCTTACAAGACTAGACAGTGAACACGATCTTATTCGTATTGAAATTTATAAACATCCAAGATTTAACTATTGGTTTCATCTCTATATCGATGAAGTTGTTACTGATCCTATACGACGTTTGTTTTGAGTCGTCACTTTCCTTTTGCTGAATTTTTTAGTATCGTTTTTTCGTCCTATTCGAAGAGTACTTCATCAATTTTTAGGATTCAAATGCGTTACCCTGTAGTTTCAACTCGTGTCATACCTCGTTACTCGCATTGTATGTTTCGTGAACGTGTTAGGTAATTTTTGGAGAAAAGTTTATTCGAAGACAACAATCTGATTTACATTGGGATTTTAGAATGTGTGCGTGTGTTTTTTATACTTAGATTTTTTTAATTAGGGATCTTTTTTTTTTGTGTTTCAGATCGGTTCCCATGATTACATGTCTACTTTATGTGCACTCTATGTGACAGATAGAGGTTATTTTCAAAATTCGGTCTTAGGTCTTTGTCAAGTTTTTACTCATTAGAAGACGTAGAATGGAATATTATGTAATTAAAGTATCTTTTTGTAGGGAATTTCAAACGAGTTTTTTCAAGCCCATCATCTATCTCCTCGCACTTTTTTTTTTATCAATTTCTTTTTGATGTTGTCTTAGAAAACACGATCATTAGACATAGATTAGGAATACATGCAGGTATCTTGGAAACAAGACGCTTAGACCGAGTGTACTGTCATAGCAATTTATTCATGCAAGTTGGTTTATTTTCTGTTTTATAGCTACCACCTTCAAACTTACTTTTTTGGCCAGTTTTTCCCATACATTTATATGGTGTTTCCCTTTCTTAAATTGAACCATTAAATTAATTTTTATACAATTTATTTTTAGACTGAATTTCCATTGGAAGACATTGTGGATTTTTTTGAAACATTAAACTCATTATTATGGTGGCATGATATCCAAGATGAAATTTGTGTCCTTTTTAATCAGTTTAGGTTTTTTATGATTGTCACCCATATTTATAATATTATACCCTTAATAAGTTTTGGTTTCGTCGAGTATGATGAAGATGTAGCGCCACCTATATTAGAGGATTATATATGGTTAACTACCAATTACCACAGAGATACTCATAATGTCATACATTTTTTTCTTGATTGTATTCCTCAATCATCCTTTTTGTAACGCTAAATTTTTTTCAACTTTTTCAGAATGAGTATCCCTTTATGGATTACTACAACTTTCTATTTACGCTATGTACCTTTTTAGATAATCAAGATCCCGAGGATGAAATTTTGGTCCTTTTAAACCAATTTGACTTTTTTATGAATGTTAATTACGTTTATAATGTCATGAACATTATCTGTTTCAATTTTGTACCCTTTCAAGAGGTACCACCACATCTAGAGAATTGTACATGGTTAGCTACCATTCCCAACAGAAACAGTGATAACATTTTTCATTTTTATCGTACTTCATTTGTATAATAATAAACTTTGCATTAGATTTTACATGTGGGTTGTCTTATCTATAATCTAACTCATGAAATGCAGAAAAAAAAGCCGTCTGCTATTTCTTTATCCCAGTTAGTATAGTAAATACATCGTTCATTTCCATAGGGGTGGTAAATGTATCGCAAGGCATCGTGAAATATAATGTCATGATGTCTCTCCCGTAATTTCAACTCCTGAATTTCTCTCTGATACCTTTCCACATCTTGTGCATGTTTCGATGCTTGCTGACGAATCTTGCGCTTAAGGCGACGCACTTTTAACACGCGACGGCTTCGTGTCTTCTTGCCCCTTTTAGACATGTGCATTCAACACGGTCACTCTGACATACATCGCATCTTGTGAATTCATTTTAGTTCTCTAGAGATTAAGGCAGCCTCGGACAGCCTTCATTTAATCCCCTCGAGGTTAGGGCAGCCTTGGGCAGCCTTCATGTAATCCCCTAGAGGTAAGGGCAGCCTTGGGCAGCTTCAGGCAGCCCCGAACAGCCATCTTTTTCAGACAAAATCTTACACTGCGCATGCGTAAAGTCTCTGACAGACATCTCACACTGCGCATGCGTAACGTGTTGTAACATCTCCCACATGGATGGGAAGTGAGGTCTTGACATACATATATATCTCATCATGATGTCGTATGTGTAACATGAACATACAAGTACACGTTACATTTCCCTAAGGGAGGCCGTGAACCAATTTTTACCCCACCTACACCCTCATATTATGAATATATTACACCGCCATCTTGAATGATGTCATTTTCTGATGACGTCTCCGCCGCCATCTTGAATCCTCCCTAAGGGACTTAGACGCCATCTTGAATCCTCCCTATGGGACTTAGAGGCCATCTTGAATCCTTTGTTATTTATGTTAATTGATGGCGGCATCCCTTTGCTCCCTATGGAGACGCCCTATACTACTGTCCCCAAAGTGAGAGAGGAAATAGAAAAACATTTCAATGAAGAGTTTCCTGAAAGCGCCTCGATCACCTCGACTTCTTCAGGGTCTCATGCAAAGCTTCAAACTCTCAGTATGTTCCACAAAGTCTCGAATACAAAAAGGTACTCAACAAAACAAGTAGCAAGTGAGTTAGCCATATCTGACGAAAAACTCGCAGAAGATATCGAATACATCTTGAATGATGACATCAGTCCTAATGAATCAAATAACCAAAAAACGAGGAGGAAAGTATCGACGACTAAGAAGGCAAAGCGACCCAAAAAATCTTCAACGAGGGATGACAGCCACAGTGAAGATAAAGAGTTACAAAAGGGCGTTACTCCTAACTTAAAAGTCACCAAACAAGTGGCAACAGCACACCACTTTTCTGGCGAACAAAATAGCCTTTTCCCGAATCGAAATCTTGAAGATGGCATTTTTGCCAAGGATTTGGAAACTTCATCGATTGTAGGGCCATTGCCATCTCCCAACAAGACGACTTCTTCAAGCAGAAAGGAAAATGAACAATTGACTAATGACATAGAATACATCCTATGTGACGATATCTTTGCTCCAGGACCACATGAAGTAGCTTGTTCTGGGTCTACCGATTTGGGCCGCCCAAAAACAAGCAACCCTAAGCTATTTTTGACAATGGAAATGGACAAAGTACCACTTCTAAAATCATTGGCGCCCTTAACATCCTCGTCCCGATACCAGATGAATAATTTTCTAGATCTTCAAAAACCAAATGAGGACGATGATATTGAAATAACAGAGATTATAGAAAATATTCTTTCAGACGATATTATAGACATCAACCCGGAAAGATTAAATCCGTTAAGTTCTGGTGGCAAACACCAAATCGCAAACCGAGTAGGTGTGTGTGAAAAGAGCTCGTCGACGCCTAATTCCTTGAAAAGCTTTAGAAAGAAGACATCTGATGCAAAAGCAAAGAATATTGCGATTCCACAGAGAATCTCTGGCAAAACGGACTCACGAGTTTCAAAAGTTTCTAGTGATCCAGTTTCGCAAATGCTAAGAGATTTCTCAGCACGCACTGAAACAAACCTCAAGACAAATTTCCTTTCGGCTTTAGACATTACGGCCGGGACAAAATCCTCTACTTTTGGCCTTAAGGCTCGACCAAAAACTAGAAATCCGAGACGTTCATTAGCTGACGATGTTAACAAAAGCCAAACTTATTCGCTGGACGCTAATCTTCCTGGCGCATTTCCAAATCAAAAACAGAATTTGCACACTCTCAAACCAAGACAGGCAAAGTGCATGGTAATCGAAGATGGTCTGTTGGAGGAGACAACGAATCGACCAAACCGATCATGTTCCTACACAGCTTTAGGTGCTGAGAACAACTACACCACCAGGAAATCCGATTTTGCGAGGGATCTAGAAGACTTTGATTCAAATATAAAAACCGTCGTAAAATCTTTCACTGGGTCACCTTCCCCACAAGATTTATTTAAAGGGGAAAAACTTCAAAAGGGCGTCACTTTGGCAAAACAGGAGAACAATAAGTGTCAAAGAGATGCTTCAACAATATGTTCTCCTCAGTCCTCTTCTGTTTCTAGGAAAACAGAAGAAATTGCCATGGAGGAAGCCATTAAGGAGATTTTAGGTATTTCAGCCATTGACTTACGTATGTCTTTGCAAAAAGGTCCTGTGGTTTCTCAGAAAAATGCAGAAAAGAAAAATGCTAATAACGCAGAAGAAATTGACTTGGATGAGGCTATCAGGGAGATCTTGGACATTCAACGGACTGATTTGGATGCGTCAGTGAAAAACCATATTGAAAACGATAAGAATCTAACAAAAAGTTACTCGAAGTTTTTGGAACTGAAACAAAGGATTTAAGAGGCAGAAATGAAAAACCAGCAGCGAAACCGAGTTGTATGATAAATGAGACAAAGAACTTTGAATCCACAACTGTCGAGTCACGCGATGTGAAGGAGCCTACTACGCAGGCTCTTTCATTGATAAATGACTCTGCTTTTAATTTTCCAGATGCTAAGATGAGTTTTGCGAACAATGGCTCGGAGAACTACGACAGTGTATATTCTTTGGCAAATGGAGATGCATTAAGACCTGTGACAGCTGCAGGGTCAGCTGTTAGTCCTCTTCGATCAACTTTATCTGACAAAGCAATACAAAAGCTGATCTTTTCCCTTTGGGAAACAAGAACGATGTCGGATCTCTCAGTTAAGGAAAAGACCACCACGCTACTGACAAAAGAAATACAGCAACAAAGCGTGGCTATGCAGAGAGCAACTGTTATTCCAGTAGCTTGTGAAAGCAGCCATAGAGCCACTGATTTTGGAATGCTTTATAACTCAGAAGAATTGGACTTGATTAAGGAGATTGAACGACAGCCTCGATGAAATTGGCTAAACGTTTGATAGCAGAAAGAAAAGCAAACGAAGTTTGTAATATTGCTCACAGTCTGCTGAATTGCAAGGGATTAAAGTATTTGCTATTTTTTAGGCGTTAAGATTTGGATCATTCCTATTTTTAGAAGCAGAGAACAGATCTAATCAAGACAAGAGCAAATATTCTCCTTTTTATAATTAGAATTTCACCTCATGAAAGGAGTGTAGCGTGAAAAGGTTTTTAAAAGTTTAGGGAAAAAGCTTAGTGAACAGCACCAATGAAATTAAATCCGCAAAAACAGTCACAGCATGCAATTATATTAATATCAACTAAAATATGGAGCTGCAATGATTTATTTAAATAACAGTTTTCCTTACCCGAAACCGTATCTTTACACTTTTCTTGCAGTTATTCTAGATAATTTCCAATGCTTACATAAAATGGTGCAGCTAGTAAAGAACTGAAAAACGAGCGCAATGAATAAAACTGCTTTTAATTTATGGTAAAAATTGCTTATAATCATGGCAACCTGGCGGAAGTTGTTTCATGAGTTATTTCTCTCCAAACTGTAAAATTTATGAATTTCTTCATATCTTCTCCTTTCATTTGGTATATAGGTTATTTAGAACCCACACTTTAGTTTCCGCATCTTTTTATCGCCTTTTGCTCGTGGACAGATTGGTTACTCCGGCTTCGGCGAAGGATATTTTCTCATCAACTTGCGTTGTGGTTATTTTACTGAAAAAAGAAAAAGAGACAGAGAATTAAAACCAGCAAATGAGAGATCTATGTGCATTTCATCTCCTCGACGTCTTATTTCAACTTTCAATATAATGTATATCAGCTCTTACGACTTAACAGCGCAATATATGCCTTAATATAGCTGCTACCCAAGATTAAATGTTTCTGTTATATTTTGACTTGTTGACTGACTAACTTTCATCCAATCACATAGCAGCATGTTCCCGGACCTGAGAGGGCTCTTAACTTTAAAGATGCAATATTATCACATTTCACAGCCCTTGAAGCCATCATTATTATTTTAAAGATACTTTTAATTCTCGATATTAAAAGTGCTTTACACGTTACACCTCACGGATCATTTTCAGCGGAGAGCCAATACGGAAGGAAAATCTGAGTGAGTGGGTGTAGGTAATCATAGGGGCCAGTGAACAGCCCTATGTTGTAAACAAAATGGTTCTTTGTAGCTGTAGTATTTTATTCAAGGTGTTTTTTTATAGTCACGGTTTTTTTCTTCTGCGTATTATTTTGGTGCCTCTACGAATACAACCCAAGTCCGTAAAAATTCAAATGAAAGCTACTTAGCATAACTTGATTACACTTTTGTTTGTCAGTGTTTCAATGGATGGTTCCGATTTCTAGCTTTGGGTGATTATTTTATCATGATAGCCACTGCGAAAAACTTTGATGCGTCCTATGTCTGTGTTTTAACGAAGCAAGTTCAGGTTATTTTATGCAGTTTATTGCGAGGGGAAATCCAGTCACCTTAAACGTTAAGGGAACTGCGATAAAAGAATTGGTTTATTAAGCGGAAAAGTATAAAAATAGTGCATGGAGGGGGAGTAAACAAATAAAGCGAAGTGGCACGGATGACAGGATTGAATTCGACTGGAATAAAAGGAAAAACATTCTGTACACGAAACTTTTCGAGTGACCGTTTGATTTTGAAAGCCACTGAGCCGGTGGCTTAACAAAGTAAATGTACAGACAAATTTTGTGGCATGAGCATCCTTGAAAAGAATACTTTCCTAAAGTAATTTCCCTAACAATAAAGTGTCTCTGTTTTTGTTTCCATGGATACTGAAACTGTTGTCTCATCCCCTTACTGAACACGATTAAAAAATGTTCAATAATATTAGTTGCCCGAAGTTAGTAAAATCCGTAAAAAATTGAAGTAAGGTTCTTCTTTGTATTTTTATTTCGTCAATGAATGAAATCTCTCAATTAATATTTGTCATTCACCAGCTTTCATTTTTCTTTCCCTTAAATTGAATTTCGCACACCTTCGTTCAATACAACAGGCAATATCTCATGAAGTTTCTCTTAAGTATTTTTTTGACCAAATGGTCAAGCAGAATGGCTTATTGAAGACAATAAAGGTTGGAGTCATCTTTAACAGCGTGTGAAACAGCATCAAATGAAAGGAGTACTAACTAGCAACTTATTGAGTGGCAAATACTATGGCTTTATTCTCAGACCCTGAAAAAATTGCGAAGCTCCTTGTTCATCATTGTAAAGGAAGCAACAGAGAAGCACTGCTCAGTCGCTCTCATTTGATCTGTCTGACACTTCTTTTTTAGTTACATCCTCCTTACAAAGCGTGATAAATACTACCATATTCAAATTGTGACAAGCTGAGTTTTATGCCCAGACTACTGATCTTGAATTTAGATTTTCCTCACACAGCCTAGTAAATGGCTCCGTTCTCCTTGTTATAGAATCGGTGGAGTTTGTAGTCTACAGAGAAGGAGTAAATATATAATTGAATGGAATTTTTCAGTAATTATGGCATTTCCGTTACAACTTGAAACAAAAATCGATCTATCTCAGGAATAAACAGAACTTGTGAGGAATTTATTATATTAAACTATTATATTACGCGATAAAGGATTTTTAAGTGGTTTCTTTCATTCTTTTTACTTCATTCATCTAAAGTGCTCTTGCTCGCTGCAGTTTCGATTTCCAAACATAATTTTTCCATTTCTTGAAAGACGATTACTTTATTGATTTTATGGTACGTTTAGAGTTTCTTTTTAGCAGAATTGCTTCCCGGCATTCAATTTAGCTCATTCAAGACTTTGTAAGTCCAAAACTATATTTCGAGGAATGGAAACGTTTCCTTTTTTTTAAATGAAAAATAAAGCTCAGTTCTCAAATTTTCTTAACTTCAGCTCGACGTTCTTTCATCGCTAAGAGCTGTTGTCAAGGAATTTTAAAATAAAAACCTCAATTAGGATATATAGAGTCTCCACTTTGGGAAGAAATCACAGTTATATTGGCATTAGTTGACTCGCTGTATTGCCCGTGTATTTAAAACGAGATTTAATTCATAGGGCATAAGAAATCTCGGTTTGAAACAGAACCGATGACATACTTGTTTGTGTATGTATATTGTTCTTGAGACCAGGAACCTTTTAAGTCAATGCGCGTTATAAAATAAAAGCTAGATTACAGGATCAAGTGGTCGATCATACACCGAATTGTGCGATCGCTCATAGGTTGAGATTTTTCGTGGAATATTTTTTTTAGCCAAAATGGATCGTGGATTTTTTCTTGCCGTCGTGGTTTTAGCAGTTTTAGTCAACTTCATTCAAGGTTCAGCTGAAGATAAGCCTAATGTGATGAGACGAACCTCACTTCTAGAAAAACTTGGCATGGAATTACACAGGTAAGAAAAATGCTGAAGTAGATTTGTGGCATCAATTTGTTTCAGGGAATTAGTGCGGTTAAATAGTTGTTAAACAGGCTCCAACAATTCAACAGTTTTACATTTTTCCTTCTCACGATTGGATTCCTACCAAAATTGTCCTTAGAAGCCCTCAAGGTGAGTTAGAATTCAATTGAAAAGTTCATTTTTAACGCGAATATTTGTGAAACTTGAAAAGTACCCGATAAACCACCAACTCAAAAAGCTCTACACCTTGGATCAATGCTTGATAACATCTGCGCAAGGTAATTTAAGGGATCGCCACAAAATGAGTCTCATGATTTATATAAATATATTGCTTTTTACTCTAAAAGGGATGTTAAAAAATCACTGATATTATGGCTTGGGATTTCCTCTATCAATTAATCTTGACAGTTTGCCCAAACATATGCTAGGTATTCTCCAGGGCTAGAACGAAGTGTGTACTATTAAGAAAAGGTTATCGATTTAAAAATTCGGACGTAGGGAAACAGAGAAGGAAATAAAAGGAAAATAAACCTAAAAATGGAGAAGAATAGCTAAGGATTTAGGAGAATCACTGTGGATTTAAAGACAAGAAACTGCCTAAAATCCTGAGGGTTCCCCCTAGAAAGGGAAGGAATGTTCGATGTCTTGCTTAAAGTCCCACTTCACCCGCCGGGAATTCAGGACAATGCACTATTGTTCCCAGCTGCTAACGTATTCTTTACAGGCAAGGGAATAAAAATATTAATTAGAACAAGAAGTGGAATCTCACAGGGGTTCAACGCTACACCACACCCTAGACGGTTTCAATCGACGACTTAATTAACGAGAAATTTCCGGCGGACGTTCTTGTTATTTCGAATGAGAGTTCCCCAGGGGCAGTGCCAGGGGTAACCCCAGGGGTTACCACAGGGTTGTCAAAACATGAGTTATAAATAATTTGTTCTTAACACCAGGGATCCACACCACCATGTTTATAAACCGTACAAACCATACAAAAAGCGCTGTTACTGTGGACCTAAGCGACGCTATTACCGGAAGCGTAAGGGTGGTTCTGACTCCGACTCTGACTCCGGCTCCGACTCCGACTCTGACTCGGACAATGGTGGATCTCCCGGATATTATCGGAAGTACGGAAAATACAAGAAATACGGGGGATACAGGTATCGGGGGAACCGTTCTTCAGATGAGGAGTAGGTGAGTATCAAATGTCCTTCTTGACCAATAATCAATTTAAAGTGTTATAAAAACTAAAACCAAAGTAAGCACAACCGCTTATCAGAAGAAAGGAAAATACCTCTTAGAGCCAATCAGGTCCCGGTTTTTCGATGGTTGGAAAACGCTATCTACTAGATAAATATTTAACCCCTTAACTCCCATGAGTGACCAAGACAGAATTTCTCCTTACAATATCAATACAATATCAAGCAGAAAGGGATGAGAATAAAGAAAACTATCAATTAGGGGATTATTGGTTGAACCAATATCAAATTCTCCAAACTAACACCACAAGAACTATATGGCAGATAGTAAGGAGAATTTCTAAGGAGATCATTGGAGTTAAAGGGTTATCTGGCGCGTTGGTGCAGCACGTTCTGCTATCACTTATCCGCTGGATAGCGATTAATCCGTTGGATAGCATCATCCACCCTTTATCAGAACTGTGCCAAGAACTCTAAGTAACGACAAGCTTGTTTAAAAACAAATAGTCTTCGTCAGAAAAGCTGTACGAATCAAACGCGACAAATAGGAAATAAGCCCCCGCCCCCACTCCCACCCCCACCCCAAACTTGAAAGAGTCTTCAAGGCAAAGACTGTGCAGAAAGCAGGACTTCTTATTTGATAGCTATCTTGGAGAAGGGAGTTGAATTGAATATTTCTCAAGAATTCAGACCCTAATAAAAGTAAATCCCAAAAAGTCTGAGCTTAAAATAAAAAACGTCTCAAATAATTGCTTTAAAAAGTATTTTAACACACTGCAGTCTCTCTTGCAGAGAATCAATATTGAATGCACCACTGGACGGAATCTCAGTATGAAAGGACAAGGACTGTGGAACTGACGGAATATCGATACAAAAAGAAATAGAAAGGAAAAAAAACAGGGGAATCTCTGCTACGATTATGAATTTGCTTTTTTTGATCTTACAGCTTTCGTTTTTGCATTCTTTTTAAATATTGTAGCCTAGTAATAATTAAAATAAAATATCTAACTCTCAAAATGCGACTCGCGATTCTCTATTTCAGCTAAATAATAAATAACGATTCCTTATTTATAAAGTGCTATTTCTACCGCTATCCAAAAGCGCTTTACAATAACTGAAATAAACATGACGTGTTAATGACAAATATACAATTTTTTTTAATGAGCTAAGAGATATTGGTGTCACATCAAGACAGCAGCAATCTCTTTTTAACAGGTTTGACAATTTTCGTCACCTGCTGGGAGCAAAAATAATATTTTCATAATAATATGATTATATTTATCTCCTCGGGGACTGGTCATTAGTGACCATCTGGCAGGGGGAGGGCGGTCAGAAGATTTTGGTTGTGTCGCAAAAAAATGTGCCTAACTTCCCCCCCCCCCCTTTAAGGCCCTGTAGTATTCTTATAATTTTCCTTCATTGGCTGTCAATTTTCTACAGTTCCCTGTTACACTTTGTAAGTAACGACTGGCCCCCCTATCCGTTCCCCCTTAAAACCACGTGATCCCCAAAAGTTTGTATCTGAAAATTCCAAACATTTCCATATGCAACCGTATATCAAATACGTAACAACCTCTTTTAAGACAACTTCTTTTAAGAAAGTTCGCCACCTTTATATAAAATGACCTTATTTCATTGGGAAAAAAAAAAACGTTTTTGACTACAGATTGCTTTTGTAAAAGTTCGCCCAAACCCTTTCCTTAAAGTTTACAATTGCAAGATTACATTATAGTTTACAATTTCCGTTATTTCTCTTGAATTCTTTTGGCTTTGCTGTTCGTTGATATCCATGTCATCTCCTGTAGATTTAATCGGCGCAAATTTCGCAATTTTGCAGAGACACTCGTCAAATTTACCACCTTAAATTAAATTACATCAAGCTGAAAAAAATAAATGACATAAAGAAATAACATGCTCCAAAAACTCGTCGCATCAGCAAAACAAATTTAAGTAGCAGTTTTCATTTCTTATGACAGAAACTGAATCTTAGTTAATACACCTATTAAAAATTTACATCTACGCACGTTTTTCAAAATTTCGCTCAAATTTCAAGTGGCATTTCAAAATGAACTGTGTCAATTTTAGAAGTCGAGTCGAGAGATGAAACATATTTTACTGCTGAATTTTCACTGAGTTAGATGGTTATCGAAAAATATACTAAAAAAACAAACTTAAATTTATCTTTAAAAAGTCGCCGGAGTTACGATGAAATTTCACCCTGAATTTGTTTCAAAAATATTTCTTAATTTGAATGACCAATTTGGCAAGGTGTTAGAAAGCAGATGGTTTAAAGTTTTAGTGGTAAGATGCGTAAAAAAGTTTGGTTGAGATAATTCCCTCTGATTGAAAAATTCACCAGGGGAACGAGGTTCATTTAAAAACCGCGAGGTATTGATCGGTGAGAATAGCAATTCAAACTGAGAGAACATAAGGGGTTCTCTTTATGTTATCTTGTTCACACTAATTAACGTTGTATTGAAAATGAGAAAATAACTTGTTTTAGACGACCGATTTTATACATAATTGCGTAAAATGTGGTGTAATCATGTTACCCTTAGATATTTCGATCTTTTTCAAACCTTACTTCGGTCCTCCATCAACTCTATCACTCAAGAGTAAATGTAAAAAAGCACTGTTGAAATATTTTGCCGTAAAATAGCTTCTGAGCTGCACTTGATATCCAAGCTACCTGGTTGTTTTTGTGCGTTAGCACTGACATCTATCTCCATTATCTTCAAGCTGCAATTCCTTCTTTTTGTTAGAAATCTAAATATTTTTATATTCAAGCTTTAAAAAGCTTTCTTTTATCTTTAATTGTCGAAATAGTAGCATTAAATAAGCCCGGAAAATGTAGCTTTTATATTTTAACCACTCGATTCATGAACTCAGACAAGAAAAATTCAGACAATAAGGAGCGTAATTAGAAAATCCAAAATTGTTGAAAGCAAAGTGATTTCTGTCTTTCACCGCAAACTAATGAAACGAAAATAGAGCAAATAACGTGAAATGTCAAAGGGAAATTGCAATAAACCTTTGTACACAAATATCAGGAGAAAAGTGAACTTATGAAAGATTTTAATTTCGCAGTAGAATTGATAATTACTCCTTTGACATTTTTCTATCAGACTGTAACATGAATTTTCCAATACAATCAGATAGGAACTAGCTACATTAATTTTGAAGATCAACTAAAAAAAATGGTTCACGGCGGTTATCAAAGCCAGCAAAAAAAAAAAAACTATGACAGGACGGTACAGGTACTGTTTACATAAACAGTTTGAAAAACGAGAAATTGAGTCGAGTATTCCCGAACCGGAAGATGAATTTTAACTGAATAACTGAGTCTAGTGGCAGACTTTGCTGAAGAACTCCGAGAAACCCATTTTGATTAGCCTCATTTGATGAACATGAACTGGGAGGAGAAGACTTTGAAGTTCTCCTCAGAAGAAGATCTAAAGGGCTTGACTCTTCTGTCGAAAATAACGACAAATTTAACTTTACAGGTCTTCAAACCGCTTCAAATGATTCCATTGATTCTCCTCTCGAAAAATAAAGTAAAAGTCGAATAAAAAAAAGACAAAAACTGCCCATACTTCAAATGATATAAAGTTCTTCCCGTAAAACAGAATCACTTCAGGTTCTCCCTTTGAGCAAACAGGCTCTCACCAGCAAGATTAGAGAAAGTAAACGATTTGCGCAAACAGTACGTTTCCCATTTTTTAATGCAATGTTTAGTTTTAAAAAAGCATCTTTCAGCAATTTCTAAGATTTAAGAGCTTCATTAACCTTAATAAATACTTAATGGTACAATGAATAAGAAAAAACTTGACCCTCTGTATGGCTTGTTAAAATTATCCTCATGATATATTCCAGTGTAAGGACAAATATTAACCTAATTGAATATTTACAAGGTGCGCTTAAACCTCATAAAATTCTTAAAAGGTTTCCTTCCTTCTTTCGTTGATCTAATCGAATTGGCGCCAATATCCCCGCTCAATTTTCATGTGAGCCAAATTAAGCTTGGCATCAAAGTTCATCCGAAAAAACTGAAAGGTGTTTGAAAGATAAATCAAGGAAACCGGCCTTTCTCGATAACCAAACGTAAAGTAAAGGTTGTCGTACAAGTGTCACATTTCTATAGCACTGCGGACAAAACAGGCTCCGGAGTTTGCTTATATACGGTGGACAATATTCTCTTTGCCTGAATTGCATTGCGCTTTGTAAAAATCTTCTTAAAACCCTCCCAGTAGTTTGAACTACGAAAGGCGTAGAGTACTGGGTTTAGACATGAACTAGAAGTGATGAGGAATTCGAACACTCGCAATAACATAGCAAGGGTTTCTTCATTGGCAACTAGTTTTTCTCGATCTTGTAAAGCGATGTACATGATGAAAACACCATAAGGCAAATAACAGATATAGAAGGCTGCCGTGACGCCAATTAGTAATTTAGCCAGTCTTTTCTTCGTCTGGTGATCACTGCTTCCAGAAGGCGCGCTCGAACAAATGGTGTTCTTGAAAAACAGTCCGCGAATTATTTGAAAATAACAGTACGCAAGAATAAGAAAGGGTACACATCCCAAGAATATAACAGTGCAAACCACATGAACCCTCAGCGAGTAGGCGATCTGCAAGCTGAAAGGGCAAACACACCGTCCATATCTCTCACTGTACTTGTTCTGAGAAAAGTCTGGAAGGCTTGTTAAGATCGCTGCGACCCAAACAAAAGTGAGAACGTATTTAACACGTTCCCTGGTCAGGCGTAATTCTGACTGCATTGGTTTCATTAGCGCATGGTATCTTTCCGTAGCAAGAATCGTAAGCGTAAGAACTGAACTGGCGATCGCGACACTTATAATTGCGTTGCCTGTGAAAATCTTGCAGATGTAGTCACCAAGGATCCCTGCGGGATGAATCGGGTAAAAGGCGAAGCTATAAGTCCTGGGACACCACAACAGAGTGATGACATCGCTAACAGCCATATTTACGAGGAGAAAATTTGTGGTTGTATGCATGGATCTGGTCCGGTACACCACAGCCATAACTAAACAATTTCCAATGAGTCCAATAAACATGACGAAACCATAAAGCACGGCAAAAATAATATCCACAATTTCGACGGAATACTTTTTGAAGTCAGGAATTGGGTACACAGTAGTTTCGTTGATTGACATGTTGCTGCCATAAAATGGGTTACTTCTTGGGGTTTGTTTCAGGAAATTGAAGAAAATCTCGCTCGCTTTAGAATAAAATGTTTTTCTGCCGAAAATTAAATCGATTCAGAATAGAAGTGGATTTAACTTGACAGCTCTCGGAGACACATATTGACTTCATTATGGTTCCATGACAGCTGTGTTTGAACTGAAAGCCAATTCAAACGACGCTCTCCTCTGCCAGAGAACAATGCTTGATAATAAGGGAATACTTATAGAGATTCCCGCTCTCATTTCACTGGCACGTGACGCACGCCTTCAACGCAAGCTAGAAAGATTAACTCTCCCCACTGATCAACACCCATTCCAAACAATGTTAGATAGTTAGATATTTTGTGCGATTTTTGAAATACTCTAAACCTGAAATTCCAGTCAAAGAAATATATAAACTTAGGATGCAATGTTCAAAATTATGTCGTTCAGTCACTTAAACCTTTAAAAAGCTTAAACAAACTACCGGTGAAGACACACAAATTTAGTTTTGTTAAACAGAACGCAGAGCGATATTGGTTTATTTGAAAATACTATTGACTGGACTCTTTTAAAATCCCTTTGACATAAATTCGGAGTGAATTGTAAATGGGGAATAAAAAAAAACTTTCAGTAACGAGGTACAGAAATTTAAATAAAGTTTACAGATGATCGGAAAATTTCCTATCTGTTAAAACGCTCAGACATATTTTGTTTATCAGAGAGCGAAATAGGATACTGCTGTATTGGAAAAATATGGTAATTTAAAAATCGTTAAAAATTCAACTTGAAACAAAAGCGAAATATTTCACCCGGAAATACACTTTTGGGCTAATTTCGTTTCTCAGTTCAAAATCTGAAAAAAAGGAAAAAAGTAAAAGAGGTCGCAAAGTCGTGTTTCGGTAGTTCGCGCGCAAAATCTCACCTGCTTTAAGAAAACAAAGCTGTCATAACCAAACTTATCCAAGTTTCTATTAATTTCCAAAGGAATAACCTGTTAAAAAGTGACGCAAGTTTGAAAAGACGGAACCAAAATTGCCACAGTTCCTTCGCACCTCAATTAAATTTCGAATTGTTCTTCTTTCAATATGTCACATTGAAAGCGTAGCATGTATTGTGCATGGCCCTTTGACGATCTTCTCGAAAATTCATAATGAAGGTTTAATTACAGACATAGTGCTACCTCATTATACTGCACAAACATGCGTCAAAGATAAAGAAATGATTAGCAAAAAAAGCGGTTTTGACCTACTAAACAAAAGCATGCCGAAAATGCTTTTAAAATGGAAATCAAATACGGAAATATTTTCCGCAAAGAAAAAACAAACATTTTTCTCCTACCGAATCTTTAATCAAAATAAGAATGACAATTTGTGTTTAATTACTTTCAAACACACAGCTAGCACAAAACGACAAAATTACTTTTTTCTCTTGTCATTACACTTATTAAAATGGTTTGCTGCGGTACTCCTTGAACAACGCCGCTCGGAAGGTTTTTTATAATCTTAATGCGTCACAGGTAACCCATTCAAGCTCATTGCGTAAGTACCTCTGCGATCCGTCAGCTGCGAGACGGTTGATGTTGCGCAACAGTAGAATTAGAAGGATTTGCGAGGCGAAAACAGCTGCATTCGGACACATAAAGGGCGACTTCGTTGCTCTTAGTTCCTCTGCCTTTTTCCAAATTTTAGATGTATACAATATCTTGTGAGAAAAAGCTATAGGGAACTGAAAAGCACTCAAATCACAAGGCAGACAACGAAACTCACATTTGAAGCGAGGTCAGTTTTTTTTCAAAGCTGAATAACCGACATGTTTTCGTTTCTACGAGAAACCGTTTTTCCCTTTACAAATCCTTATATTTCTTTTGCTGTGTTGAAACAACTCAGTGAAGATGTCATCGTGGGTCGAGCTCAGGTCCCAGTGATAACGAACGGTACACATATCTCGTTCTCAGTAAATTCTGATATATTTTTAGTATAAGTTCCCCATGCATCTATTTTGAAGTTTCATATTTTAGCAACCTAAATCTGAGGGAGTGTGAAAACTTCGAAAATTGCGATGAACTTTCTCATTTAATGTCAAAGTAAACGGACATCTTGTATTCCTTGAATTCAAATTGATCCTTGTTTCCTTGTTGACCATCTTGTTGTTTTATTGCGAGTTGCAAGTTAGAGGCAAGACGAATGTGGGAATGAATGTTTCAAACAGCTCTCCAACCTTTCACTTCTATTTCATAATATATTTTTTCGTTAACCTTAACAAATACACGACCCTATGTCTTAATACCTGACTGTAAGATTAACTGCTTACGACTGTCATTACTCACAATTTAGTCTACAAGAGCTCAAACAGTTTGGGACAATTTTGTAAACACTTGTCAAGCAAATGCTTCACAGTATAATGGATTTTACCCTGTTTCCCATTGGCCAGGGTTTTTTGTACGACAGCAATAATCATTTTACTGAAAAAATTGCGTTTTTGATCCTTGCCGTAATTATTCTACATTTCATAATAATCTTACTAAGAAAATCACTCCTAAAATTCAGTTTGAAAAAAGTTCCCAAAATGAAGCCTAAAGCGTAGCCAAATAGGTGCATCATTTCCAACAATCATCTCTCACCTTCTCGATACTTCAAAGTAAGCTGATTTTCCAACTTGAAACCTGATTTAAAACTCTCACCTTTATCAATTACACCCATTTATGGTTATAACCCAATAAATTTAGAGTGTGTTTTTTTTTAAATCAACTCTTGAATCCAAGAAATAACCAGATCAGCCAATCATCTCATGTATATTCTATGCTCAAACTATCCTAACACTAAATTACCAGAACACATGCACGTCAATGATAACAACTAGTTGGCCAGTGTGTGTAAGCTAAATAGCTTAACTACATGTGCACGTTAGGTGTTAATGGTGGTAGCATAAAAAAAAGCCAGTTTTGCAAATATTCCTTGATCTGTATAAAATGTAACACTTGTAAGCTATATTGGTAAATAAATGTTATTACTGTGATTTGTATTAATAAATGGGTAAAAAATAAGAAAAACATTATCCCCTCAATTACAATACACTATCCAGCAAACACATGATGAGAACAGAAAAGCTTCAATGTCAGATTCTTCTCTCCAATTTACAAGAAAATTTATGACAAACGGAAAGGAGAATTTCTAATCTAATCGTAGGGGTTATGGAGTTAGACAGCATATTGGTTCAATGTTCAAGCAGCCACCTTTTGTATCCAAGAAGAAACCATTTCAGCAACTTCCTTTGATGATTCAAGTACAAATGCATGGTCAAACTTCCTTTTACATAAATATATTTCCCCTCTGGGAAACCTCGCTTTCATGTCCTCATAGTAGGAGACCGGGACCCACTTATCAGTTGTTCCATAGTAGAAGATCAGTTTCTCCAAATTTGTTTCAATTACCTATAAAAACACACACAAAATTTTCGTCATAACTGAATAATAGTTGGTGTATAGCTATTGGGTGGGTGATCATTCAAAGAAAAGTTGTATGAACAGCATTTTTATAATGTCCTGTTAACCCTTCTCACCCTAAGATCAGTATGCATATTCTCCATACTGTTTTCCATACATTTCCAAATGTGTTTACAAGGAGAATTTGTTTAACAATCAAGAGCCACTTCAGTTAGTGATCATTCCCTTAGTTTATTCTTGTGGTCTTAATCATGTTTTTTTCAGGGGTGATATTACAAGAGGAAATAGATGCTCGTCATTCTTTAGCATTAAAGGGTTCACTTCATTTTATATACTACCCACCTCATCATCACGGTGAACCACATCTGCCATTTCCTCCTGTGCCATTCTAGAGGAACAATCCATTGGTTGATAGGTAAGGAATTTGATCACAGTATCAACAACACTAGGCATTATTCCCTTTCTGTCACTAAACCACCATTGAACACACCATTTCTTCACAACTTGAGGTAAAAATGAGAATGCAGCAGCTGCCAATATTCCTATCCACCTCAAATACATCACTGAGGGTGTCACAAATCTTCCATTTGGAGATATTGCCATTCGTTCCACTGTTGGGAACAACAGAATAGCTTTGGAGATATCTGATAATCTTTCACAACCTTTTAGTAGATTTAGTATAACATAAGCTCCCATTGAGTGTCCAATCAGTATTATTTTAGAATGTGGTGCAATATGCTTCTCCAAGAATAAATTTTTCTGTAGGATTTGTTCCTCAAGGCTCAATGGAAATCTGTATGACTCAGCAGCATAGCTTTGTTCAGCAGAGCAGTTTTTCCCTGGACACACTGGATAGCAATCTATGGGAGAATGACCTGAAAAAAGAGAGAGCCTTGTGATAAAAGTGAGATATGACTTGTTTATTTAGTTTTTGTTTGTTTGTTTGTTTGTTTATTCACTTACTCATATTTTCTCTGTCAATGATGAAGGAGCCCTATGATTCCAGGACTCTTGTAGTCAATAAGTCTAAGCTTGAGACCTGGCTGGGTCATTTTCACATGTTCCTGGGCAAGACACTTTACTCTTACCTCACCCCTCCCCACCCAAGAGTGTAAATGGGTACTGGAAAACTGATCAGTTGCTATAAGAACACTAGGGGGAGGATGGAGGGGTGGATGTTCACTTTCCTTTGACAGGCACTCTAACCAGGGGATGGAACCGTACTCCATATCACTTTTTGCAAATAAAACCAGAATGAGTTTTGCAGATGTAAGTCACGAGACTTGTGTTCAGACCTGACACGTTCTCTCCCACTGAGGCAGGCACTCTAATTTTGAATGGCTACTGAGTAGAGAGTCAGCTTGAACCATTGTACTCTTATATTATTCAACATTGACACTGTTTACTCATTGAGTTTTGAAAGAAAGAAACATTGACATTGAAAACAACTGGAATGATCGGTATCAATATCTGTGCGTGATAACTGTGCGTGACAGTTCATCGAACTTTGCCCTTGTCACGCGATAGAAATCTCGAGTTCATAATCTAATATTGACAAACACATCGTCTCATAATCACAGCCACTATAGGTCCATAGTTCCTGATGAAATGTAGGTTTGGCCCAAAAAGCCTCCTCCAACATAAAATTTGGAAGAATACACCACCCTTCATTTCTCAGACATGAAATTCTCAATAATCAAATTTCAGAAGCACGCGATTCTTTCTTGGAAAGTCCCATTAACAACAGAAAGCGTCTTGGTACTTGACCTTGCCCCAGTTTTGGATCACGTGAAATAATTTGCATTTGCTCGTGAAAAAAAAAATGGAAAACATAATTTCAGTGATAAAATATATTCAAGGCTGAGGTGTCTACCAACCGGTATGAGAAATTCCAAACACCGGCAACTGCCCTTGAAGCGCGTCAAACAATGACGTAACAAAATCATCATAGAATTCTATCAATCCAGGATTTCCAGGAATTACCACAATCACGTGCTTGTGAATTTTCCTCTGTGGTAAGATTTTCGATAAAACCGTCCGCACACCATCAAGAGTGATGACCTCCTTATAGAGTTTACCCGGTTCCGGGCAATCGTTGGCGGCCGCCATTTTGACCGACCCTGCCCTACAGAGAAGGCCTGGGTTTGTGAGTCTACCGCTGACGAAGCGCTGTCACATGTGTTGCATAATATGGCGGCTTTGATGTTTTTATCAAGCTAGGTTAGTTTTCAAGGCCTTTATAACCTTTTTTATCTTTGTTTTTATGGCACTGCCAAGTCATATAGTAACTTTAATCTTCTGAGAAGGTAACTAAAATCATTTAACGCATTTTTTTGTCTTAACTGCAGGAGATGTACTTTGTGAAATCTATCATCTTCAGATAATCTGGCTTTTGTATGTTAAATTCAGAATGCTTTCAGTTGGTAACAAATTGATTTTCGCATCTGCTGGGACATTCAGACGGTTATTGCTGTCGAAGAATGTTTTAAATCCAAAGGTTGTCCAGGTAACTGTAGTACTTCGTGTGATGTGACTTCTAAAATGATATACATGGTTTAACTTTTCGTTGCATAACACAATACCTTCATGTACGTCCGCATATATATAGTCCAGCACAGTGTTGTCACAACAGGATGAAGCAACATACAAGAAACAAGAGAAAAATATCCCAAATGGAGAAGAGAATTGGGGAAGTTTGAATTAGCGGGAGACAGCAGATATGGTCGAAAAGGGCTTTAGGGATGGGTAAATGCCTGAAATGTTAATCAAAACTGAAAGCACATCGAGATACCGGTAGTTTTGACAATCTCGACTAGATGTTGGCTCTAGAGCAACTCCACGCATCGAGAGGTTTTTTTTCAATTTATCTAGTTTCTGTCTCTTCTCCTATTTATTGTTTTTTATCCTTCCATGATTAGTAATAATGAAGTGTGAGTAATTTCATTTTTCCTCTCTTCTACCTAAACTGAACCCTCCTACCAATATAAAAGTTAATAGTCAGGTTGCACCAATATTTGTGCATGTTGGAACACAAACAGTGATAAGATTTCCACACAGACCCTTATGATTAAACCAAGCAGTAGTCCTAGAGACAATCTGTTGTTTTTGCTTTTGTTTTCTTTATCTAAGAACTGTATGCATATAGAAGTATAGGACTGTGTAGATGTCTTACCTAGAAAGTGACCAGTTTGACTCAACTGGAGCCAGCACACTTAAATTGGGCAGTCAAGGGGTGCAGAACTTAAGTAAAGAAAATTATTTGGAGGGAAATGCCACCTACTGCTGAACAGCAATTACCGCATCATAAAAAAGCTAAATCAATACAACAATTTATAAATTCCCCAAATACTATTATTATTTATGTAGGTTCCACTGAGCTGCTTGGCATGTGGAAAGGTTCAGGTATTGCAAAATGAACATGAAGTCAAGGGCATAAAGACCAGATTCATACTGAACAATGCTAGTGCTTACAAAAGAAGATTCCAGTCGACAGCTCCGGTAAAAAATGATTTTAATGTTTTGTTAAACAGTTGGCAGAAATACCTATAGTTTGTTGTACAACAGAAGTTTACTCTTGTGCAAATTGCTTTTAACTTCTGTTGTTTGAGCAAATATTTATTTTAATTTTAATTTAACTCACCACAAATTGCATGTTCTATTAATTCAAATGAAGTATGATTTTCTTTCATTGTTGATTAAAGGGATCTGAAAGCACTGTTGGTGCAATAGAAAATAAAGAAAATGGTGGAACATGGATTGACAAAATCATCAAGGTTTTGAAAGTAGTGGCTGCACCCTTGGTGAACAAAACAGTGAGTTGCAGTTTATTGAGTAAAAATATTTAATTTTGTTTCCTAGATCAATAAATTTCAATAAGGAAGAGGGGAGGGTGTTAATGATAGTTTTCCTATTTTTAATTTGTTATTGATGCAGGTAACAAAAGCTGCTTTGGAAGAAGTGTATAAACATTTTCACTACTGGTTGTAACTTATCACATGTATTTTTTAGAAATATTTTTGAGGAAGATTACCTTTCCTACACATCTGGCTGGAGAGATCAGTCACTGAGATAATAAAATGGGTTACCTAAGAACTCGACACAATGACTCAGGCCAGGGTTTAAATCTGATATTTTCAATTCCTTGTCCAGTACATGTATAAACTGAGGGCAATGCATTTGCAACACAGCATTCAGTAGGTGCACTACATTGAATGTGCACTGTTAAAAACCCTCTCTTCAATGTGATTTTAATTTATGTCTTTGTGATTACAGGTTTTAGTGGGTGGTGCAAGGAACATGTATGAGTGTTGTGTGGAAGGAATGAATTTTGAGGAGTTCTTTGAAGGTGAGCCTTGATAGAACAAAATAGTTCTACTAACTTAACCCTTTACACCTCAACATCAGCATCCATATTCTCTATACTCTTTTCTGTACCTTTCTTTTGGTTCTGAAAAGGAGAATTTGTGTAACAATCAAAGCTTCTGGATCAATATCAGTATTTGGGCAACTGCCCACCGACTCCTCCCCTAACCCACCATTAACCCTAACTTGTCATCAATTGACTCTTGTTGAGTTAGGGGAGGGGTAGGTGGGAAGTTGCCCACATCCTGATATTAATCCAAGCGTCTTAGGTTGGCAATCACTTCCTCTTTTCTCAGGATTGCAATAAATGACTCAGCAATATTATCATAAGGAGTAATCAAATGCTGGTCACTCTTAGGGTTTAAAGGGTTAATGACTAATTTAAAATGATTTATCCTCTTCTACTACTGAATGATAAAACCAAGAGTTTCTTATCAAAATTAGGTCTGGGTATGGATATCAATAATAGTGTATTTCAGGTTTACACAAGTTTAGTTTGTCCAAATTTATTTTAAAATATATGCCTTTTGTATATTATTTCTCTAGTTTAGATTTGTAACTTCTTCTTCACAGATTTGATTTTTAATTTGTAGCCTATGTTGGGTTAAATAGAATATTGTGTAAGATAACAGAGATGTAATGGTTGAAAGAAGTGCACTGAGTATGGTTTTCAGTGAATAAAATTACTTACATTTTGAGTCTTGTTCTCTCTGACAGCTCTCGAATTACCTGACACATTGCAGTCATGGTTTCTTGTACTTCACCTTCACATTTGGTGAGTTTCTGTTAGTTTGTACTGAATCATTTATTGCCTGCCAAGCATGTGTAATTTTGGGGAGTGATTGCTCAGTATTTTCTCAACAAAAATTATGGCTGCCATTTTTTATTTTAATGGCAGAAGAAGGCTGGGGGGAGAAAGAAATTTTTACTAAGGAGGAGGGTGAGGGTGGGGTGAGTAAAGGTTATATTAGCTACAAGATAGATCCTTGAAATAAGTGTTGTCGCAATGGAGCACTAGCTAAACATTTTTTGTGCAACTGTCTCAATGAATACTGGTGAAGTAGATTGGATAGATTTAGAGATCAAGAAAGTGCGATGTATCACTCACTCTGTTGTGAGCAGGATTGAGGAAAAATTTATCACTGGTACTTCTTTTTCTGAAATGACCCATACCAAAGCTGCTTTGGAACTCTACAAAGTAGTTTACCAGATTTGGAATAGCATGGAAACTAGATATTAAGTCTGGAAAGTTCTTTTTTCTATTCTATATCTTGCATTGCGGTAAAATAGATAAATGTTCCAGAATAAGGTTTGCATTTTTTACTGCATGAAAATGAGGTCAAACTTTTTTCCTGTAACTTAAAGCAGGTAGGATACACAAGATAGTCTGTTTGGCTTTCCTTTGTCTGCTTCTGAAAAGATTTGGTGTTTTCTTTTATTTTAAGGATGTGTTTGGTGCGGCTCAAAGCTGAAGGTAAAGATGGGAGATACATGTACAAGACACTTGTTAGGATGATGTGGCTTGATGTGGAGGAAAGAATTGATAACTTAGGGGTAAGGCTATGTTACTGTGCAGATGATTATTTTTATATACTAGGAATCAGTAGAAGTTAGTTCAAGGTATGACTATTAATCTTCACAAATAAGTTGTTGAAAATGATTTATGGATTGTTGTACTACTGTATGCTTCAAGTATGATATTTCACATGGCCTAGTGCCCTGAAAAATGGTTTGGCCCCTCCACACTCACTGTGTAAAAAGTACACTTATGTGCCATGTATGAAGGACAATTTATGTTATTCAGTTAAGATACTGAACTCTGGTTAGAAAAGATTGGTAATGAGATTGCTGTTATTACCTTTCACAGACCATTGACTCGGTTCAGAAGCGAGATACCCTGCTAGTGTTACAGCAGCAGTTCAATGGTCTATCAATTGGATATGATGAGGTATGATAACAAGTGTTGCACCCTTACTGACTGACTTTGATGTGCCGCAGCTTTTGAGGTCCTCTTCAAGATGGGTTAAAAGGAAATTTAAAAAATAAATTATCAGATTTAAGGGGGAGGAGGGTCCTGCTTCACTGGAATTTTTGAGCATGGCAGATTGTTTTGCAGATGGTTTTTCAATTTCATTCAAGTAGTGTTGATGGAACCTAAGTAAGAGGAGTGGGGTCCCAAATAAATGTGGTGTGTCACAGATGATATAAGTAAGGTGTTCTAATTTATATTTCCAGCTCTGATAATTTTTGTGCACAATTAATTTCTTTTCAGGGTTTGCTGTGTGATGACAGAGTCCTGGCCACAGTTTTATGGAGGTCAGCTTCACTTTCTCAGTTTCATATAAGTTCCCTTTGGTTTCAAAGGAAATAGTAACTAATGGAAGGTGTTGCTCTACCTAACTTAAGCTTTGAGGTTGATCAAGGATTCATTATCCCCTTGCCATGTTAATCTCTCTCTAAAAAAAAGGCAACCCCGAATTGAATTGTTTTTTACGAGAAAAGTCAGTTCCTCAAACAAGAGGGAATATGGCTTATGAATCAAAAAGTGAAATATTTAAGTAATATAGTTGATAAACTATATTACTTAAATATCCTTGCTGCTGTGATAAATATGGTGAAGCTATCTGAGATGAGCTGGCAAAAGGACACCATTCTCTTATCCCTGACCCCTAAGAGTGGACTAGCATTGAATTTCTCCTTACAATATCAGCCCTGAATCTCACATCAAGGTCACAAGAATAAAAGAAATGATCACCAAATCAAGAAGTTTTTGATTATTAAACAAATTCTCCCTGTCAGCATCTTAGGAAATGTATAGGGAACAATATGGAGAAGATGCATGTTGATGTTAGAGTGTTGAGGGTTAAATCTGTACATTATTTCCTGCAGGGTTGTTGAAAAGTCAGCAACAAATTTCTTCGTCAATAAATTCCTCACTTGAATAACTAATGGTTTACCAATGAAAAATAACTATCTGTCCCTGTGTTTGATCATCAGAAACTTGTTTCAGAACAAGAATCGCACAGATGCTGAGCAGCTCGGCCGGCTGGTGGAGTATGTCAGAAAAAACATTCAACATTTGGACAGCCTTCCCACCGAACATGTCCTACAGGACGGAAGAATCACATGGCTTCCTTTAAATGAGCAGTTTGAAGAAGGAGACAAGGAGGATAATGATTGATTTGGACTAACTTTTTGAAGTTCAGACTTGCAGGCAGTGGACTGAATTTCAACCAACACGACTTTCAATTAATTTTTTTTTTGTCAAGCTCATCCAATTTGACTCGTCTCTCAGGTCGAATTTAAAAAGCTTTGTTTATAGCAGAGTTACGCTGAAGAATTGTTGCTGTGGTTTTCTGCTTCACTCTCACGCTTAAAAAATTGTCGAGACCAAGGCACAGCGATGCTATTTTGCTAGGTTCAAAACTATGCTTCAGGCGAATGAAATTTGTTACGTGATATTTAAGTACAGTAAAATATCCACGAAAACCTAATAAGCTTCTAAAAAGGATCACTAAACTACGAAAAAGATTGATATTATCTTTCAACTATTTTGATTTCTGTTGTTTAAGGTGAAGAGCGAAAAGTTTTTAAGGGAATGTACTGAAAACAACTCACCTTTTGTCTGTAATTTTTAATTTCATCGCGGGGGAATAAATTATGGTTTGCTTACATTATTTCCCTCTTCTTGTTTTTCTGCTGTAACTGTAAAGTTGAAAATTTAGCGGCCCAATGTATTTAATTTAGAAAAGATTTTGTACATAATAATAATTGTTTTCACATCGAACAAATATTGTGTTTACTTATTCCGATATCTTTTCGGAAAATGCTGTGTTCCCAAACTCCTCTCTTGAATATAATATGCAATCGCGAATTTTACTTCGCTCTGCGATGATTTCAGAACACGCGTACTATCCTCTCAGCCAATCAGATGCAACATCAGAATGAAAGGGATCAGGCTTGGTCTCTCGTTTCCAGTACTTGAGAGACTGAAGTACTTGTTTAATCCTTCTGATATTTACTTTATTAGCTCTAATTTGCCGATATGATTTCTTGGGTTGGGTGTTACGACCGTCAGTCGAAATACTTCTGACAAGCATCCCGTTTGTCATTACAACCAGCCCTCACGCTCGTTCATGTTTCATGGAAGAGGATAGAGGTGTGCGATTTCTATGAGCAGAACACTCAGTTTTCACCCCTTTGGCTATCCTTTCTTTTCTCGTTGCACGCACATCTGCCTTAGAAGTGCCAAATTGTCTGGCAAACACCCGGGCATGTACGTATACTCGGAGAAAATGATTTGAAGCGCAAGCGGTAACGACCGCGAGGCGTGAGGGACCATGGTAAGGAGTTAATGCGACTCCTTTCACTCTTGCGCGCCCATTAGTTTACTTGGGTAGGAGGTGTTGTCCGTCGTCGCACGTGAACATAGCGCGAAACTATGTTGTAGGTCGAGCATGCGCTAGTTAGTTATCAGAAGAGAAGCACTCTGGGTAAAAGAGAGAACATACACCTTATTTACTAACACGTTAAAAATTCCCCCCATCTCTGCAAGCAGAGCCAAATGTATAAACGATAACGAGAAGATAAAAATGTTGAAAAATGTTAAATGAACAGTTTATTGACACAATTAGAAGGATAATAATTTTTCTTCTTTCTTTGAAATATTGATCGTGCGAAATAAAAAGAACAAACAAACAAACTAACCAAACACCTGGGTGTGACCCAATTTTCCAATTCGTTCGACTGCAATAAAAATCAACTCGCGGTCGTAAAGTCAAGAGATAGAATTCCCCTCTTCACAGCTATCAGAAATTACATGAGAGAGAAGATCACCAAATTTCATCTTTGCCAATTATTTAAGAATTACTTCATTAACAATATGCAAAGAAATAAATAGCATGCATTATCCACAAGGGAAGAAACCCACTCCAAGTTATTAAGAAAGGAATTGTTGAGAAATAGTGTCAATCGCATTCGTCATTCGCAGCCGTTGTTTGGTTTCGCCACGCAAACCCCTTCTCACAAAGAACGAATATTGAAAATCTTAGTTAAGTTTTTCGCAAGTACACACTGACTACTCAAATTATATCCATATAATACCAAGTAACCAACTAATAGTCACTGCAAACCGGCGTTTCAAAACCGTCTCGACTCCTTCCGTGTCAATCAGTCATAAAATTGTAATTCAGTATCTCTTGGAATGAGGTATTTTTACTGTGTTTCAGAAGTAAATTCGCCAGGCCTGGCTTCCCCGTGAGTGCTGTTCCATGATTTAAATTGGCTTTCCCGTCACAACAACATTGTAAGAGGTTTCTCTAAATAGCTTTTAAAAGCTGACAGCCATTGCGCTCCAACAGCGCCATCAACAACTCGGTGATCGCAGCTCAAAGTGACAGACATCATTGTTCCGGTTGTGTATCTGTTTTTAAAAGTGAAAGTAAAACGAAAAAGAATTAAAGTGACTTAGCGTAGAATTCAAGGGCCAGGACTTGAGCTTTCGCTATCTGTCTTTCAGCGGTAATGAATCTGAATCAGATATTGAGGTCACGACAAAAACGGAAATGATCACCAGTTAAAGAAACTCTTGATTGTTAAACAAATTCTCCTTATGGCACCTTTAGAAATGTATAGAGAACAGTATGGAGAATATGTATAACGTAAAGGGTTGAGCTGTAAAATCAAATGAAAATGTCCGATTTTCTTCATCATGAACAAAATGTTGTGATCGTTTGCGAGATACGTTACACGATGACAACAAAATTAAATCTCTGGTGAATATTTGTTGTTCGCTTTCACGGTACAATTCTATCATATAAAATGCTCGCTATTTGCCTGAATACTTCAGTTACTGATCAAAGTTTTAGATTTTCCAACCAGATGACGAATAATTCTCGGAAGGAAGACTGAGATAAGTAAGGAAAAGAAGACGGAGGGCAGAATTTCGAGCAAAATTTGCTACTGTGAGCAACCGCTTACTCAGAATTAGGTAATGAATTACGCATCGATAACATAACAACAACAAAAACAGCAACGACTGCCACAACATAATTTACCCCTTTTCGCTACTTTCGTCCACAACAACCTGTTTTTCTGCCTTTCCAACAGCTAAAATGCAGGCCTGAAAAAATACAGGAAGTAAATGTTAAGAATCAGTATGTGGGATAAAGTTAATATCACCTTCAACCCCTTCACTACAAGCTTAAGATATTCTGCTCCTGCGTAGATGTGTCAGCCTCGTCCATGAAAAATGGCCGATCACGTCTTCAAGCTGTAAGAGCCTAATTTCCCAAAAATAATCAAGAAAAACAAATATGAAAATCGAAGAATATGACAACTACCGAACTTTTTTTATCGTAAATTATTGCACATTGTCAGATTGGACTACCTGCTGCTGACAAATCACGATGTTTCGTTCAACCTCGTCCAATAGAGCAATTGGGTTCAAAGTGATCCGCGATAATCTGGAATTGCATGGGTTTTTCTTTACTTCGCTTCGCGATTGTTCCAGAAAATTCGTGCCACTCTCTAAACCAATCAGATGCAAAACCCAAACCAATCATGACTTGGTCAACCGCGTTTTCCCGCGCTTTAGACCGTTTAATTGTTTATATTTCGAATCCTCATTGGCTCTTAAAGGTACTTTCCCTTTCTTTTGATTGACCGTTGTAATTACTTTGGATTTGGTTTCACGACACTCAATCGGAAGGCGCTTCGTGCTTGCAGACAATTCGAATTGAGATAGCAGCACCAATTCGAAATAAAATCACTTACCTGAGGGGGGTTGATAATGGCGGAAAAGTTCTTAACACCGTACATCCCAAGATTTGACACTGTAATTGTGCCTCCCTGGAACTCATGAGGTTGAAGTTTGTTATCTCTGGCTTTGTGGGCTAAAGTAGTTACATCAGCGTTTATCTCTTGTAAGCCCTGAAGAAAATTCATCACAGACTATTGAGTCTCTGGAAAGAGGACTATTACAGTCTTCACGGCTTTATTACTCAACAAAATTATTCAAGGGTGTTGGGAAAGCAAACCACCTTGCTTTTAAACAAAAAGTATGTCACTATACAATGTTACCACGGAAAGCAGCCAGACCTCTGCTAATCTCAATTTCAGCACGAAGCTACACTTTCTAGGTGGAATACCACTGGCCTACACAGAGGATCGACGACTGAAATATGCTTTCGTTCAAAAGCTACTTCGCAGATACCCATTTATACTCCTGAGTGGAGGGAGACTCTGCAAGAGAAAGGTGCCTTTCTCCGAAACAATACACAATTAAGCTATAGCCGTTACGTTACTGCCTTTCCCACAGCTATTCTACTTAAACAGTCCGTAAATAAGCCCATTCTACAACGTCTGCCTTTTAAGAAGGTCAGGAATGGGTTACTGAATATCCCCTCTATTTCTGTATTAAATGTACTTTTTCTTTATTTCCCCAAGCTTTCCCATTCACTTTCTCCTTTCTCTCATTTTGGCCTTGTTTTTCTTTTCCTTTCTCAACACACTTCCTTTCCAACAGTAATTGTTTCGCCATTTTTCTGTCTAGTCGTTTTCTGCGATGATGCCTTGCCGTTCCTTCTACTTGAGATATTTAGACCCTCTCTGAGTTCAGTTTCCGCGTCACGCAACTTACTTTTAGGAACAGTTAGCATTGCTTGACCTTGTCAAACAACAGCTGCAAAGGAGACTATAACGGGTTTTTTGCACAGTGAAAAACATAACAATGCGTGACAAAGGTCAGACAAATGACTAATTTAAAAAGCTTTCTGCCCACCTTTTTATCCGCATTGAAAACTATGGGTGTGATCAATCCAAATTCTGTACTCACAGCAACACTAACGTCAACATTATGGTGTCTGAAATTAGATTTTACATGAAGGTTATCATTTTAAATCCAAACCGAACATCCCCCCTTCTCCCTCTCTCCCTTCCCGCCCCTCCTTCCCACCCCGCCGTCTTGATAAAGGGAGAGAAATAATTAGCTGTAAATTTATAACACTGCTAAACTTACTGTCTGATGAAATCCGTCATCCACGACGAGTTTGCTTCTGGAACCTTTTTAGAGGCCAAAGCACAGGCCTTTAGGACGAAGTCGTTGACTGAGAGTTTGTATTCTTCATTAGAATCTGCATTCAGTTGCTTTCTTACTCTGAAAGACAAAATAAAAATCACTTCATAAACAGAGTTTTCAGGAAGAAATGTAGCCACAGAAGAGTAGTATAAAGTAACAACAGAACATTCTCCAAATCTGACTTAAAATAAATCAGGCCTGTGAAATATACGTAAAGAATTCTACATAGAAGCTGCCGCATGATTCTCACGTCTCTGCTGCTTAAAAAAACAACTTGCAGCTCATTCCTCTTGCTCATACCAGTGATGAAACTGGAATTTCTCCTTTCATCATCAGTACAATTTCCAGCAGTGAGAGATGAGAAGGAAGAAACATATCATCAAAGCTATATTGTTTCACTTAACACCACATTTGCAGAGCTAACACTATAAGAGACGTATGCCAGAAAGTGTAGAGAATTGATAATTAGGTCTAGGAAATGAAAGGATGATGCACTAATTTGCCATTTCACCCAGAATAACAACAGGGATTTGAATCAGGATACCATTAATCTTTGCATCTTTTCCATTGACTAATTGTCTATCAAGTCATTACACTCACTCAAGCAAATCGTCCAATCTGATATCCACTGACAGGTAATAATGTGGAATTGTCTGCTTTGATTCAAGAAGTCTTCTAGCAATAACCTGTGGAAACATGTATTAAACTAAAATTAAGAACCTGGTATTGAACTTTGACCTCCAAAGGAGAATCTTGATTCCATTCCACTTACCTTTCTGACATTTGATAGAGGAATATCAGTAAACTCTGCACCTAAAATACACAGAGAACACAAACCAAACAATGAATAAATATGCCATTCACCCAGTGATTACAATGCTTCTAGGGTTAAAATTATAGCCCAGGCCTCATATGTTTGGAAGCAAGCTAATAACACGAAGTGTAAGACACAAAAGAATCAAAGTCTTCTATGTTAACTTCTGTCAGTAGGAGTACAAACAAGTCTGTTTCATACTAATCTGTTTCTACAATTAATTGGAATTTAATCTAACCATTTTGGTACCAACCTTGAGGAAAAGGCAAATGAAATAATTCCAAGCAGGAAATCTTATTTTTTCCTTTTAAATTCAGTGAGTTTGTTTGATTGAACCAAAAACAGATAGAAGTAGGACAAAGAAAAAATCTGATCCCCTCTTAAACCCTAAGGGTTTTTATAAAATAATTCAAATAGTATGTGCGCTCTGATTGGCAATAAAACCATTTTACATAAGCGTATGTAAAGACGGTTTTCGTTCCTCTTTCATTAGTTATTTTATAAAAGAAATGTAAAATGGTTTCCGTGTTTACATAGCCTGATGTAAACACTTGGGAGGTTGGGAGAACACTCGATAAGCTGGAAACCACTCCACTTTGCGTCGTGGTTTCCTACGCTTATCTCATGTTCTCCCAACCTCCTGTGTGTTTACATTAGGCTATGTAAACATGGAAACCATTTTACATTTCTTCAATATTACAGAGCTTCTGATTCCACAATTGTTTGAAGGTGTGAGGTGTGAATTCTTGTGGGGGAAGAACTCAGATACTTTTCTTTGTGTCCCACTAGTGACAAAATAGATAACTTTTTCTTCATTGGACTGGCATTTGTAAGAGGTCAAAATCTACCACCTTCCTTGACTGACTAAAACACAAAATTGACCCAGTCAACTTTGATACAGGCTGTTTTTATCATTAGCCATTAGACAACAGCCATCTTGGGTATCACTGTAATTCCATCTTACACTTACCTGGTACATGAACTGGTGCAGGTGCAGTTGCTGCAACAACAGGAGTTGCACCGGTCACATCTTGTGCTATCACCCGTCCACCAGGACCACTCCCCTGAAGAGACTGAACATTGGACAAGAATCATCACCAAAAAGTACACTTGAACAAAATTTGTAATTTAGTCTGCAAATCTGTGCCACCTTCTCAACCACCAATAATATGATACAGTTTTAGCTGGGGAATATTCAGCCACGTGATGCCTTTAGACCAACTGCACTTCAGCAAAAATATTTAATGGATCAAAATGGAAGATACTATATGCCCTTTCTTCCATTTTAGCCACAAAAATGTTTAACAGGTATTCATAGTAAGTTCTAATTAGCTCCTCTTAATTTTCACTTTTTTCAGATTGGTTGTCATGAAAAATTTGACTTCAGGTTTGTGACATTAAATACTCAGTCATTCATCACTCATAAATGTCTATTCAACATAAAATATGTCCACTGATCTCACAGTATTACTTACACTTAATTCTATGCCTTTCTCCTGAGCCATCTTTCTTGCCAGAGGACTGGCAAATACTCTACCACCTGGTGCAGCCACTGGGGGAGAGAGAGGGGCAAGAGTCACAGGCTGAGGAGGGGATGGGGGAGACGGTGCTGGGGGTGGGGGTGGGGGAGGAGCAGCAGCAGCTGCTGGTTCTGCAGGCTTCTCCTACAAGAAAAAAAAGTAGGTAAACATAAGTCCAAATGAAATAAACTTCCTTGGAGTTTATTTATAGATGAGATGCTGGTTGAGGTTATTCTTTAGCATTTTGTCAGGTTTTCCTGACAGTTTTGTTTGACTCCTTTTTTGCCCAGGTTAGAGAGATCTACTGTGAGGGTTAATTAACTTACTTCAAGTTAAGAACACAACACAATTTCCTGGCCATGGTGTAAACTTAAATGTCTAAACTGCTAGGAATAGGGTTCATATGAACTTCTTAATACTTATGAACTTCATAATAGACCTTGCTTGCCATAGAGTCTCTGTGGCTCAGTGGTAGAGTATCGGAGTGTGGAATCTGAAGGTCTGAGGTTTGATTCCTCACAAGCACTCAGAATTTTTTTCTTTGTCCCACACTCGTGACAAGACGAAAAACATCTTTCTCTAAACTCATTCAGTGTTTTACTTAAAAGGAAGGGAAATCTGCAGTGCTTGTGAGACCCTTACAGAGCTGTATAGGGTTTCTACGACTGGAAAAATTTGATTTCAATTTTTTGATTTCATCCTTTCAATCACTTTTAATACTTTTAGCCATCCTTGTTTCTTCTTGATGTAAAATTGATTCTTTTATTTTTCTATCTCACATGTACCTCTGGCACAACACTTTGAAGTCTGCAGTCAGTTGAAGGCAGTTTTGAATGTCAAAGGAAAAGACTCTATGGCAGGGGACTGGAAGGAGGGAAAGGATGGGAAGCAAAGTGGAAATGGGAAGGAAAATGAAGGGAGAAATAGAGGAGTATCATGCAAACGTTACATTCACTTACTGCAGGTGGTGCAGCTGTCTCTTCAGGCACAAAAGACTCAAATGCTGCAACATCTTCTTTCTTTTCAACAATAATACACAAAAGTTTACCGATAGGAACATCTTTGGAACCAGCAGGAATTAAAATCTTGGCAAGGAAGCCTTCCTCAGGGGTTTCAAATTCCATTGTGGCCTTGTCTGTTTCGATCTGTGCTAGCAGATCTCCTTCACTAAGTTCATCACCTTCCTGCTTGTCCCAGCTCACAATGGTTCCCATTTCCATTGTTGGTGACAAAGCTGGTAGTTTTACTTTTGTGTGCGGGGGTAGACCTACAGAAGAAAGAGGGAGGAGGGTGTAAAACTGTAATCATAAGCATAGGAAGTGGGAAAGAAATGCAGAAATACAAATGTCTGTTACACATAGTCATAAACCTGGACTGTTTATGAGGGTCACTGAGATTTTTATCATAATTACCTTTTGTATATGAAGTGGAGGATTTTTGGGGATATGGAAGGTTTACCTTAGGAATCATCTCTCAGAATCAAGAGTTGGAAGGTTAAGCCAAAAAAAATATGTTTTTCTCAACATCTCCATCTCATCAAATTGGGATCAAGGGGGGTTCATTATGGGAATCTTCTTTTACAATCAAGATTAGGAAAGTTTTTAGAAAACATTCCAAGATGTGTTTTTTCTCTACTTCTTATCATCACTAAAATTAGGATCAAGGGGAGTTTGCATATCAAACAAAGTTATCACAAGAACCAGTTTCCAATAACAGCCCTCCACTTATGATCTGATACAAGACCAACAGATGTTACATAATAGCCAGGCATGGGTAACGTAAACATATAAGGAACACTCAGACTCTAACAGACTCAAGAACTTTCAACTGCCGGCCAAAGTAAGAGTATAACTGAACCCTCTCTCCTTGAGGCTGTTTCAGTTCTTTGAGAGAGAGGAAGGAAGTTGTTGAGTGTATGATCAAAACGGAATTGGGACTAGAACACATTCCCTTCCGTTTGTTTATTGCACTGATGATAAAATGCAAATTTGATGAAGTGCATGAATTTTATCAGGTAATTAATCTTTGCAAAAGCTTACCCTCTGAGCTGAACCAGCGAAAGCCACATTTTGGTAGACTTGTAGAGAGCACGTGTCTGAAGCGTGGTACATCTCTGAAAATAAAATTGTAATATGAACTGTCTGAAACTGATGTAATGACCGATCCGGTGATCTCCGAAGAATATCGGCGGCTCTTACTCTTAAATTGTGATATAGGTTAGATCAGACATTCTTTTCTTCTCCTTCTTTTGTCCTTGCCCAAATGCAAGGGCAATAAAATCTCGGTAGCTAAATTCCATCACATTGAAGCAATAGAGATCATGTAATCAAAAACAAAGTACCATTTTACATTCTGTCCGTAGTGGGTCGAAATTGCTATACAATAGACATTTCTCACCTCGTGGACCAAACTAACACTGTTCTTCGCTGTACCTGTGAATGTAACTCACAAAGAGTTGATCGCAAAGCCACAGAACGCCCTCTGTGACCAAATATTCGAACAGCTCGCCTTGCACAAAACATCCCAAGTTCCTATCGCTCGGGCAGTCACCCCACTCTTGCAGATTCTTCGAAGCAACTAGTCCACCATGTAATGGACATGAATAGTCCAAAAGACACCCACAACCTTTAGGGGCCAGCGAAGAGTATGCGCAAAGACCCCTGGGAAGCGTTTCCTGGGAAATCGAAATGGCGGTAAACAACATTGATAACACATAGTTATTACGACAAATATTTGTGGTTAATGTGTTTGAGAAAGTGAACTTAAATATGGCTGCGCAGCAAGTACAGGAGTACTTAGAAAGACACCGCATAGGAGCTTTATTTGAGGTAACGATGTACATTTTTACGCGCTTTATTCCGACCCCAACTTTTGATCAAAACTTCGAATTGAATAAATGAAAAACTGACCACAAGTGCTTACACACCTTCTAAGGGTTTGAAGAAAACAAACTAATTAGACTCCCAGTTTGTGATTTCTACTAGTTACCGCTTGTACTTAAAATCGAGCATGTCTAGGGAAACATTCAGTCTCAACATTATTCCTTATCATAATAAAAAAGCACATCGTGCATTATTTAGCTTATGCTAACTGTAGAATACAGAGGTGAGAAATAGGAATGGTGTCTTGATATGTTTTTTTCAGGTTTTTCCAAAAGAAATCGTTATTTATTATTCTTGATTTCTTTTCCGTCTTCTGGGCTAGCTTCACATCAAAACGTTCATAATTTCGCAAATTTACGATACAATTTCAGCATATATTGTTCTCAAATAATTTTGGCGGAGCAGGGCGTTGAGGTCCGTTTTTAAATTCAAAAGAGAGGGGGATCTGCTTGATGCGGGTGAAAAGAGCGAGGCAGATTTATATTTATAATCTGTTAAGGGGTTTCCCTTGATCCCAAGCTCAACTTTTTTCTTAGTCACCATTTTTTGACTTCAAATTGTGTGACATGAAATAGTTGCCGTAGGGTCAAAGTTTTCAACATATATATTGTAATGTTGTTTGAAATTTTTTTTACAACTTTTATTTTAGGATCTTATGGCAAAAGTGATCAAGGATACACCTGACGATCCAGTTGGTTATCTGATTAAAGTTTTGAAAAAGTTGTATTCTGAAGGGTCTAAGGTGATAGTCATCTCAGTTTGTTCCAAAAATTTACCACATCATATATCCCTTAGACATTATTCTTTAGCTGGGGAGGATTTGCACTGATGTCTTGTTAGTCTTGGTCCAGATCCCACCATGGGACTTGCAATTAACTGCTTACAGATATTTTTATTCTCATCTGTAATACCATCCAGGTGTGTCTTGCTGTAAGCAGAATTTTGCTCATCACTAACACTGGAATATGTCCATGGAAGTTGGGCAGATTAATTCCCAAACCTGTCAGATTATGATTTCTTAATGCGATTATGAAAATATCTCGGGTATTCAAATAATAAACAGTTATTGAACTCAGTTGTGGCAAAACATTCCTATTATACAACTTCTCAGAGATCAGTTATCATCCCCAGCCTTTGGTTCTATTGAATAATTTATCTACTTTTCACAAAAAGTCAGAATACTTTGTGAAACCTCATTCAATAATTGTTCATTTTAATGATAAAAATCTCATTTTTGTCCAGAGACCAGGGCACACTGGACAAAAGCTAGTGTTTCTAAGTCATAGGAACACATATTGTTTGTTATCCCAGATACTTGTACATGTAAGTAATGAAATGTATCTTTGTAAACAGGGGCATGGATCATCCCTACCTCCTTCAGGATCAAAGGTATCTTTTGCAAGATCTATGGGTGTCTCAGGGTCACCAGTTGCACGGCATTCACTTGATGATGGTAAGCCAATTAATAATACTATACTATAGGTTGGTAACCCTGAACATAATATACAGCTCTTCCTCTTTCTGTCAGTTTTTAAATTTTTCCTTGAAATTTATGAAATGTGTTCAAACAGTATGAGGTTATTTGATAGGTCAAAAAAAGGCACCTTTATTTACTCATAGATCAAAACCTGTTGGCCAAGTCTTGGGCTGGTCCAGACTCCCGCACAGATGGAACACGACCACGTCCAAGCAGTGCATCTAAAACAATGGGCAGAGATTATCCACGGCCTTGGTTGAGTGGTAGTAAGCCAATGAAGAGTGTAGGAGCAGGGGACAGGGACAACATGCGACCACCTGCTCGAACAGGTATGTACACTGAAACTCTTTTAAAACAAGGAAACAGTAGCTAACAGACAGCAATGAGTCTCTGTGAAGCACTGTGTTATGTACACTGCTTTAATACAAGCATTGCACAATTTCAAACTGACCTGAGCTCATGAGACCTCTTAATACTAAAAGATTTTGTTTCAGGAAGAAAGATTTTTAACTGAAAGTTTCTTTTTCATAGGCAGGGAATTGTTGCTGCCATTTGTAACTTAAACCTGCCCCAAGATAAACTTTTTTTTATTCTAAAAGTTGTCAAAATAGTTTAATTAAACAGATCACTGTTTAATTCAACTATTGCTTGCTCTCCAGTCGCAAGTACAAGACTCATAAATAGCTGCTTACACTAGTTATTCGAACTTAGCAGAACTCTATAAGTGAGATCAGTTTTGAATTCTTGTATAATTTTGTTGCAATGAAAGATGAATTTAATTTTTCATTCTCTCTATCTGTTGTCTTATTCATTTATTTTTAAATTTAGGACAAACCCAAAGTGATGGCGAGAGACCACCATGGAATCACAGGACTGCTGTACCATCACAGGACTTTGATGAGTGGTTTAACATGCAGCACAGGCAACCCAGGACTGCTGATCAAGATGTCAGGGCATATCAAGGAAGTAGGTGACATGCAGCTTAATGCAAAGTTAGATACTTTTTAAACTCAGTTGCAGTGTAGGCCTGTTCTTTTCCTCAAATCTTGTACTGACTACAACATTTAAAACAAAGGTTCTTGGTAAAATGTTACAGATATGCATTTTTATTTGACAACGGCAATTGTCACAAGGCATTTTCATTTATTTGAATGTAAATCTCTTTCTTTATAGCTTCATCATGGGGAAGAAATGGGGAAATGGTATGTACTAGATGTAAAATTATTCAATTTTACTGACTACATTAGTTTTAGTGTTGATTAAAGTAGTCTACAGTCCTGATTAGACAATTGCACCACTTTGTGTCTGTTACTCAAAAGATGACTTGCCAGGTCCTATACTTGTACTTTGAATTCTCTTTTATTAAATGCCCTGGCCTTGAGATGTCTAGGGTTAATCAAGATTGTATAATTTAGTGTTAATTTTGATATTCAACATTTTCTACAAGGCCTTGATTGAGTGTAAGGTACTTTTAATGAGAAGTGTAAGTAATTCTTGCATTACTTTCATTTAGTCTGCCCCCCAACTTCCTAACTTCAATAAGCATGTTCTCCATATGCCCTCAATTCATTTCTCATGACATTGACAGGGAGAATTTGTTTGACAATCAAGAGCATCTAAGGTTTGCAATCCTTACCTTGATCTCGATGTTTGAGTCAGCGGTGACACTTTGTGTGGAAATAAGTCACTTGGCATTAAGCAATAGAGGAGGACTGAGATGTTTCCTTTTCAAAGTATTGTTGATTGAGTGTAATTTAATAGAGAACAAATTACCTGGTTTTTGTATGCAGGGTGTTTGAAACCTTTTCATTTCCTTTGAATTCACAGGCAGTGCCAGCAGAAAGGAGAGTAATTTACAACCGCCGGACTTCTTCATCAGGTTCAGCAAACTATGTTGATGATAATCTGGAAGATGAGCTCAATATGGGGAAGGATATAAAAACCAGAGAAGAAGAAAATGATTCATCATCTGTGGCATCATATGGGTGAGAATGAAAATGTTCAATAAATTACTTGTGCTTGTAACGGCTTTTTATGATGAACAGTGCCATGCAACTGCACAGTACAACTGTATTTAGACTACTGAGTACATTTTATGATATTTTTACAGGTCTTCTAGGTCACGGAAAACAAAAGCAAGACATGCGGCTGAAGAACATCGCCGGCAGCTTCAAGCTCTTCTCGTGAACAAGGGTCACCAGGGTGGAGATGTTAATGGCATAAATGATGGTGAAGACCACCATGATGATGGCACTGAATTATTAGGTAGTTTAAAATAATGATGACATGATCAAATTGGAAAATTATTATGCATTGAAGATGTTCATTGTTGAATATTTTTTGTCTGAAGAAAATGTGGATGATCTGGAGTCTGAAGGGGTGTCAAACAGGGGCAGTAAGGGATCAAGACTATCCAAGGTAAAATTTAAGATGTAGTGGCCTAAATTCCTGTAAAATATATGTATCTAATTGAAAAACAAATTTTGTAATGGGCTAAGAGAGCTTTTTAACCAGAAGCAGCAGTCATTCAGGTTACTAGGCTGAAATAAAGAGCCTGACAATTTGGTTTGTTTCTTGAAGCATCTTGACATTTTTTTTTATTGGCAGTCCATTAGACAAGGAAATGGAACATCAGAGTCTATACGTGTTAGCATATGTGCCAGATGCGCCAAGTAAGTTCATCGATAATGAAAATTTGTTTCGACTATTTTTTACAGTTATGCTGGTATGCAGTGCAAACTGGGTGTGGAATAGGCCATGCTTGTGGCTATGCTTTGCACCAAGTGCAGTTTTTGGTTTGGTACTTATTAGTCCAAACAGTTCTTTAACATGCTCTTTTGCATGTTGGTGAGATTAGTTCTTGTTTGTAGACCTCTTGCACACTGGCAAGATTAGTTCCTGTTTTTGTAGACCCTTTTTGTATGTTGGCAAGGGCATTGCCTTTGGTTGCATGTTGTGAATCCTGTGAAATTAAATCAGCTGATGGCAGCTTTAACACTCATTGTTTCCAGTGGTTGCAAACTCTAGGCAAACTTTGTTTATAAATATGGCAAGAAATTAGCTGACAACTTTGCACTAACTTGGCCCTAGCCCTTCTGGCCATATTGTTCTATCCTTGCAGTCAAAGAGCTGAACTTAGAATCAACAAGTATGGTTCAACTCATGAATTAGGTTGTCCTTTTGTGTGATCTTTACTCTGGTTCTGGTTGTCCAAAGGTTGGATAACGCTATCCACAGGATAAATCTCCATCCAGTGAATAGCGCAGCACATTTTTTTTGACACTTATCTGCTGGTCAGTGATTTATCCGTTGGATAGAATTTTCCACATTTTGAACAGCAAGGCACAGCTGTGCAACTGAATTACAAAGGCCAAGTTAGTTATGATAATCACACAATAAATTATCTAAGCTACATGTATCAATAGCCTCTAGAGCATTTGCTGAAAACAGGATATCTATTTTTGATACAGGGTTATTACTGGTCAAGCAAGTGATAAAAAGTCAGAAGGTGTGTTTGTAGATTGTGCATATATGTATCCTTTTTGTCCTAAGAAATTATTTTTGAGCAATATGTGTATTTTTACATTTCAGTTGGAAGTATTTATTCAGGAAGTGAAGGTAAACAGCTTTGGCTCTAAATTCTCTTTTCATGTGAGATGTGTTGTTTTTTTAAGGATTATTGTTATTGATCTTGATGTTACTGTATCAATGGTTAACAGTCAAGAACTTCTGTAGTTGGTGATCATTCCTATTATTCTTGCAACCTTAATGTGTAATTCAAGGGTGATACTGTAAGGAGAAATTAGATGCTGGTCACTCTTGGAGGTAAACCAGTTAAAGGATGTTAAACAGGTGACTAAAATATGGTTGACCTTTCATATTTTTTTTCCCTCTGGTTTTCATCTCAGTTGATGACAACTTTGAAAGTGTTTCTCAAGTTGGAAGTACGGTAAGTTTTTTTATTGGGTATATCATCATCGTTGTTGTTGTCATTTTCATCATTATCATTATTGCTATCATTGATTACTTTCAAATTGAAGCCTTAAACCTATCACTTGTGTCTTTTTAGACTGGACAAAGAAGACCTCCTGTGTGGCCTTCAGGATTTGACTCAGAAAGTAAGACGACTCTCTCTTTACATAATTTGGGGAAAATGAAGATTATCCTTTGCAATTTTCAAAAGAAATTGCATAGTCATTTATTTAGAAAAGCCATCTTTTTTTTTTTGTTCCTCCCTTTCATCCTTTGTTACTTATCCAGGATTTTGTGGGTTTTTCTCCTGTTGAGTGTAATTTGGGCTTCAAAGAAAACCACTTCAAACTTAGCCAATGACTTAGTACATTTTATAACAGTTGTACGATAGGCATAACTTAACATTCCTTTCTTCGTCTGTCTTCCTTTGTGAAGGTGACTCGAGCCCACGGAAAGGTCAGCAGCACATGTGGCAAAGTCCAGGTAGATCTCCAGGTAGATCTCCAGGCAGATCTCCAGTAAAGGGAAAACACATGTTTCGGTGAGTAGACTGATAAAACTCTGGCCGGTTTTTACTTTCTCCTTCTCTCCACCTCAGCTTTAACCTTATCTTGGCCTGTAGGTGAAATCTTAAGGTTATGATAAAGAAGAATTGTCGTGTAATTCTTTTCGGAGTGTCCAGCGTGTATTTTCACTGATGTGTTCTTTTTCAGGGGTGGTTCTTTTACCAATGAACAACCGGACAGTTCCAGGCCCCCTTCGGCTTCTTCAAGTCGTAGTGACCTGGTGTACTCGGGAAGACAACAAAAGTCTTGGAACTTTGACGGATATTCCTCTGATAATGACGTAATGCAGCATTTTTCAAGCGTTTTTTTTTCTCTTTTTTTTCATGATTTTGAGCAGTCTTTTTAACATGGTTACTCACAATTTCATTCCCTCTTTTCTCTTCAAATTTAGACCGAAGTCAATTTTGACCGAGTTGGGTCCCCTCAATTACAAGGAAGTCGTCCATGGAACCGCGCCCCACTGGAAAGCGGAAGTGAAACGGACTTGGACGCAAGACAAAGTAAGAAAGCATTGCTTGACTTCAGACAACGATAATGTTACGTTGCGTGACCTCCAAAACCACTGCACTGTGAACAACATGACACCAATATTGGGTGATTTAGAGCACAGCTCACGAATGAAAAGTCGCGTGACCTTTTCCTTTTTCCTTACGGTACTTCCAATTGTATCGCCAAAAGAACCTTTTCCAACAAAGAGTCATAACAAGAGATATGATGTCTTTTTGAAACATTTAATTGCAGGAAGACGAATCCCAGAACGGAGATTTGCTCGGTTTAACAGCGGGGATGAGTCAGACTCAACTTAATAAAAGGCCGCGAAATTACACATGAAGACTGTCGATTATCGCCACTGGAGAGGTTCACGATATTTACCGAATCAATTTTATCCGATAGGAATTTTTTATCATATCAATCTTTGCAACACTAACCAAGATACACGTATTTATTGTCTCTGTGGACTTAGAAAAGTAAAATGTGCACTTTAGGAAGAGAATGATTTTTTTGCTGAAGGACTCACCCCTATTGTATGTTCCCCTTAAACTGGAATATTAAAGTTTATTTTATGTACATTTGATTATACTTGGCACACAAATACTATCAAAAGACAATAATATGTCTGCCTTTTTAAGCTAGTTTTATATAATAGACATGCATTTATCAAAATCGAACAAAAGCTTTTAAAATAAAGTTAGATTAGCAGCATGGAGATAAATAAAATATTTACGTATAGAGTGCCTATCAAACAGTCCAGATACTGTAATGATCCTTGATTTCAACGAGATTTTCCCTTCATCCTCCGCCTAAGACTTAAGAAACCGTTAGTAGGGTAACATTAGGTACAAAGAGAGATTATTGAAGTGTACACAATGTTTCGTGCGCTATTTCCTACAGCAATTGATTTTTTTCTTTTAAGCCAGGGTACAAGTAACTAACTCGTACCTACAATTATTTGCATGCAGCGTTGCTTTTTAAACTTGATCATTGCAATCCTCCAAAGTATCCGAAGTCTCTCGGATTGTTTTTGACCAAGTAAATGCGGCGTTACTTCGCATCAACGCGGGTTCTCAAATGTTTCGCTCGAGAACCCTTTTTTCGTTGGCTGTTCACGCGTTTGAAAACTTATTTTGCGCAGGATCAATGGTACATATTCAACAAATACTCTCAGCTTCTTCCAGATCTCTTAGATATTCTTCAATCCATTCCCACACCATTTTGGCCACTTTTTCCGACGTATCCAACACGAAAGCATGCCTGATGTCTTTATCCCGTGACAGTTTGATGTCACCATCCGGGAACCTTTCTTTCATAGCCTCATAATAATTCTGTGGAACCCAGGGATCGCCGAGCCCGTAGAAAAAAACTAGTTTGTCCAGATTGGCGCGTATGCAATCATTGTCTAATTCACGTATCGTAACGAGCTGGCGGCCAATCTCCAAAACGTTATCAACTGTACGATAATTAAGCATGGATTGCGCCGCTTCCATGATAGACTCTTTGTTTTCAACCTTGTTCAAGTACATCCACCAGTTAATGGACCACCTTTGAAGAAAAGAGGGTAAAAAAGACACCAAAACTGTTCCCATAAGGAAAGGCCAATGTAGATAGTGGCAGATAAATTTCCACATTTTCCCACTAGGTGCAGAATCCACTTGCTCAATTGTTGGAAATAGAAGGACGCATTTTAGGATTTTATCCTTGTCGTGATATCGCTTGAGCATTTCCAGAGCAATGTACGCCCCAATCGAATGGCCAATCAGAATGACTCTGCAGTGTGCAGGGATGTAGTAAGCCAAGAAGGCCAGCTTGTGCTCGATTTGGTCTGTGAGTGAGAAAGACGATGGCAAATCAGGCTGATCCCATTGTTTGCTTTTCCATCTGCATGGTCCAGTCGGTTCATCCACTGGCGCATGGCCTGAAAAGAAATGTATACGCAATGGACTCGTGTTTACTCTTAACGCTTTTCGAACCAGTGTCGTAAAACCAAAACTAAAGTAATCACGTACAACGGCCAATCAAAAGAATGGAAAGAACCCCAAAGAGCCAAAAAGAACTCGATGTTAAAACAAAGAGATTGTGTTAAAGCGCGGGAAAACGCTAGCAATCAAGTCGTGATCGGTATTAGCTTGGCATCTGATTGGTTACGAAAGTGGCGCAAGTGTTCTGGACCAATCATAACATTGCAATTTCCTCACATGTGATTGGTGCACTGACTGCTTTATTTTTCATTAATTATTTTAAAGAGTTATAATCGTGCAGTTGAAGCAGCCGATCATATTAAGTCCACTCAGCTAAATTCACCAATAACAGAATTGATCAAAATAACCATAGCGACAACCACTTATCCCAGGAAAAACTGGAGAATTTCCAAAATGGAGGAATATTTTAACTTTAGACATTGTCTCCATAGGAGACATTTTTCTAGATGTATTTGTTTTTTCGAAAATTGTAATGGTAATGATTAATTGGTAGCAGGAATTCTTGTCGTTGAGTTCTGTGTTTACAATAATAATTCCTGGATCACCCATGAGTTCTACCGACGGATATCGACACGAAGATACTTACATGACAGTTCAATGTGTATATAAGAAATTCCTGTTTTGTCGGAATATGCATATACCTAAGCTTTCACAGTGTGATTAATATGAAATTTGTGTATAGTTTGACATCATTTGATGAATTATCAAGCAATTCCGTCTGTTTCGAAGGACAATTCCATCTTTAAATTTACACTCTTCCGAACTAATTTCTTAATACCGTCATCCAGTTTTTTGCGGTGATAAAAAAAGTCGAATATCATCCCCACCATTTTCAGTGTCATCATACAACGATGAAATGAACATAAATTGTCGTCGAATGAGAAATCTTAAATCTTTCATTCGTTTTTGCGCCTCCACCAATTAAGAAATAACGAAATAAATCATAAATTGGTTCTAAATTTGAATCTTCCACTCACAATAGCAGCCTTTATGTTCAAGATATTATCCAGGCTCAAAATATACAACGAGAAACAAAACTGTAAAGATAATTCTGTTATTCACCTATAATACAACATTGATGAGGTTGTCGTTTTCATGGCACTTATATCAGTTAAAATCAATTCGTGTAATTGCAAGTGACATCTGACGCAAAATATAAAACAAATCCATTAAACTTCTTAACGATATATCGTGCGCTCTCAGAAAGTTTTCACGTTTCTATCACACATTTTTAAAGACGTATATCAATTTTTCAGTTTTTTGTGAAGTAAATAAGGAAAGTTTCATTTAGGAGGTGGCGACGGGAACTGTTCGCATGTTGTGGCTTTTTATTTTTAAATAGATTTTTCCCTCAGATTTGAGTTTACAGCAGATGGCCGTATTTGACTCACATGTAAGTGTATATCGACGGTTACAAAGTGGACTACGACGTCGCAGAAAGTGGATTGAAGTGAAATCTAAAAAGATTTTGCCAAGGAGGAACAGCTTTATCATTTTTGGTTGATGATTCGAAGGTTATAGAATAATTTGAGAAAAACTATTATAAACAAAACCATTGAGATCGATCAAAACATTCTCGCTTATTCGATTTGCCCAAGGCCTTTCAAGCATCATTTTCGTTGTAGCATTGTTTGTAAATTGTTGTTTGACTCCTACCTGCATGCGAAACACCGTAAACGGAATATTTTCCTTTTCCCGCTTGAAATATTGTTGAGATAAAAATATCGTAAAAACCAATACCACCTGGGTTACCAGGGATCACAACGATGCAAATATTTTCTTCTGTAGACATTGCACTGGATATTCTCGTCACCACTCCATTGATGAGAGCAATTTCATGCTTCACAGGATTGTTATTCATCTTTCCCCCAGCGAAATGTAATTCTTTTCCTTGCAGACAATTCCGTTTTGATGTTGACAAGTATGACAACTTTGGCACACGCATGCGCTAACCACACGAGCGTACCCCGAGTTGCAGGTTATAAAATTTTAAACGGTAAACTTTTTTTGTTCAAAACAAAGGGGCACTTTTCATGGGAACTAAGCTTTTTTTCTTACGAAGTGTCCTTCTTTCTATTGGGATAACCTCCCAGTGCATTTCTTTCGCAGAAAATGTGGCAAATTTTTGTTCTAAAACATAAAATATGATTTAAATTTTCGCTTGACAGATCGCCTTGTTTTTTCGATCACGGAAACGCTCGATTTAAATATTTATAACTTTCCATTGTACACGACTATCAAAGCAAACAAATCGATCTATAGCTTGACAAAGCTAAAAAATGAATCGTAGTTCTGTGTAGCCATCAATGGCATTCGATTAAAAATGAAATTACAACAATAATGCAAACATTAAAATATAGATTTTAGACGCTTACCATGGCTGATCAATCTTTACTTACTTTCTACCCAATCGCACCACGGTGTTCTGTCGATGTAGGGAGAGTTCTTAATTATGGTTCTTTTAAACAATTTCCTGGTGTTATTTCCTCTTACATTAAGCAAAAAAGAAAATATTTAAACGGAATGATTAAAACAAAATTATGGCAGTAGAACGTGCAATTTGGCTTTCTAGCTTTTCTTGACTTTTCAGCTGTTTTAGGAAGCCGAAAACCCATTTTGGATTTTATTTCATCGATAGAAATTCTTGTTGTTGTAGGAAATTGTTGTTATTCCTTATCTCTATTCAAATAGGGTCGAACAGTGTAATAAAAAATAAAGTCTTCGAAAAAATGGCACAAGCAGCACAATTTAAGGTTAATAGACCTTAACAGGATTCTCCATTCCACGCTGATAGTGATCAATCAAAATAAGACAACGTAATGATAATCGAAGGCTCTGAAAAATTAAACAGTCTTTGATTGATAAGCCTTGTCTTAAAAGCAAGCGCATCGATCATTTTCCTTCCCATCCCCTCACCCCCTGCAACTGTTTCACCTTTTTAATATAAATTGATCTTTTTTCTAGAAGTGCTGTTGAAACAAGCGTCCATATTCGCGCGTGGAGCACGCGTAGGAGAAATATACCTTTCTTTTCCACGCGTGTCTCCTCGCTCCTCAATCTAACGACTCTCGTGCCTCTCGCTTTGCAAAATTAAAAATTTCCCCAATTGTTTATCCTGTGACTTTCTGTTTCACCTGCTCTTTCCCATGATCCTTAGCTAGTATCTTGTTACTGCGCCTACGGTATAGCTCAGCGGTGAATTTCTGTGGTTACGCGACGCCATCTTTCATGTTGTTGTATCGAATGCGGCTCTATTACTTCCATGGCGACGTTGTCGAGATCTAAAGGGGCGCGATCTGGTAAGTTTTTCATAGATATTTTACATGCAAGTAAAATAGAAGGCTTTCCTCATCAGAGTGTTGGGTTTTTTCTTTTGAATAGCGTCTCCACTTAGGAACAGCACGCCAGACAATCTACGTCGTTCTGGAAGCTTTGGTAAATCGAGTGGGAAAAACTTACATTTAGCTGCTTCGTTTGATTCCAAATCGAGGTGGGTAGATTTTTTAATTGCCACTGTTGCAATTTATTGCTGTGATCAAATTGGGTTTCAATTTTAATTACGTCGGTCCACTGTGGAGGAATACCGTAAGGGAATAGCGCATGCACCTTTACCAATATTCTGTGCATTCTTCAGTTGCTACAACTATCAGTAGATGTTTGCACATCTTCTTAGATCATGAGCTATTTTCATGTGTGTGTCTAGGATTCACGCCAAAACGACTTTTTGTTTTTAGAAATATCATTATGTTGACTTGATTGACTTGCTGCCAAAAAAAATGTAAAAAGTATTTAAATAACCTCATTACTGATATTCATGTCAGAGATATGGGAAATTCAGGCTGCCAAACTTGGCACGAGATGAATTTTAAATTTTTTCAACAAATCACCATTGGATTAAAGAAATGTAAAGCACGTTTTACTGAAGGATCTGTTTTGTATGAATTTGTACGAAAAGTCATGTTTATGTGTAATTTAAGCTACAGACAACTATTTTTAAAGTTACTCTATATAATTGTGTTTGGATTAATTAGTTAAATACTGGATCTACCATGCAAAGTAAATTAACACCTTCGATTCGATTGGTGTAATCAGTAATCAGTAATTTTAATTAGCAAACATCCAGTGTTTATAAAAATATATAAAGTAGAAAGTGAACAATTTCATAATGACTTTTTTTTTTCTTTTTTCTTTTATTAACTTATGGACCATATTTCTGTCATCTTTGATTAATCTTCTATGCTTTGAGAAAATAACTTTTTGCTAGGATTCATTGGCTTCTTTCATGTATTGTGTCCCTTAGAGAAAGCCTTTAACTCACATGACTGACCAAGACAGAATTTCTCCTTACAATATCAAAGTAATATCAAGAAGACAATTGATAAGAATCAAAAAAATTATCAACTAGGAATTATTGATTGATCCAATACCAAATTATTGGAAATAACATGATAAGAAACACCAGAGAGAAATTACTCATGAGATCTTTGGGAGTGAAAGGGTCAACTTACTCTTAGAATTTTCTGCTCTGTTATAGCACCTAGACCTAAGCCTCATATGACAGAAGCACAGTATTTAACCTCTGAATATGAATTATGTTTTTGTTCTCTTATAGAAAACATGCAAGATCTTCCTCTTCCACGACTGAAATTGGAAACATTGAAAATGAGTACATTAGGAATCTTCAACAACAGATTTACTTCCTTGAATTGGAAGCTAACTATCTGTATCCTTTATACGACAGTGATTTAAACCTTTAGTGTGGTAATTTTCACTGCTTGAATGCAGCAGAAAGGTTTCTTTAGAGGATTTTTTTTTTAAGTCTAGATTTTCTATGCCATACAATATAGAAAAAAATTGGCTTTTTATTCTGTAAGAGACTTTTCCAGAGAGAATATTTAAAATTACATAAAAGTCTATACCTATGCATAACTAATTATTTTCTGGTGATCAGTCACCAGTTTTTCTCAGTTTTGTAAGGAAATTATTGCATAACTGAAGGGAAAAGCAGAACAAAAATCCATTTTATTCAAGTGAATTGAATTGCAATGTCTCTTTTACTCTCTATTGTGCATAGGCTCTACATGTTAATTTGGAAGGGAACAAAGCAGTTTTAAAAGCCACTTACAAATAGGGCTTCATATCATTCATTCCTTCAATTGTTCGATTGCATCTGTTTCCTTTCCTTAACTTGTAAATACTTCTTAAGACGAGAACAAGCAAGGAAAGCTTCAGGTAATTACTGGGAATGAAGAACATTTGTATGAGATGTTTTCTTTCATCACATGTTTTGTTTTGACCTATGATCAGGAGAGTCATACAAAAGTACACAATTGACTTACTAGTCAAGGGTAATTTTTCTTCTCATGAACCCATATTATGTCATTTCAGATGGTTCTTTAACCCTCTGTTTAGGTAATGACATGATTTCAGGTGCAAGTTGGTGTAAATAAGCACGTTAAGTAAATTTTTCAAAGTGAAAAAAAATTGCATGAGCCCATACTGATCTCAGTAATCTCTTTTCCCCTCACTGTGTCTTAACAACATCTTCATTTGTTATTGTAAGGAGAACTTACAGGCTGGACGGGTCCAGAGTCAAAAGGGTTTCAACCTTGGTATATTATGTATTTGTATTACAGCCATTCCACCTCGTGTCACTGAGGAAGCAGATCGTATGATGCGAAAGCTACGAGATCTTCAGACTCAAGTGGATGAACGATCCTCAGATGTTGCCAGGAAAGAATCTCAAATGCACATGTTGGAGGCAGAGAAAGAATCTGCCATCAAACGCCTCAGGGATGCTGAAGGTGAGATCTACTGGTACTATGAAATACAAGATTGTTACTCCACCTCCCATTTCTCTTCTGCTCCATCTTCTGAACCCTTTAACTCCCAATATCTGGTTGTTCATTCTCCCCTCCAGCTGTTACACATTTCCTTGTAAATTAGTTAAAAGAATTTGGTGTAAGATCAATACAACAAATTCTACCTGATAAGTTTGAACATTCTCATAACATATTTGCTGAAAAATGTACAGGTATTTTAGGGAGAAGTTGCATGTTAATCACTATTGGGAGTTAAAAGGTTAATTCAATTCCAATGAGAAGACTATTGCTCACAGTAGATGACAAAAGAAATAGCCTCCTCCCCCCATGCCCACATGTACACAAACCCATATACACACTCAAAGCAGCAGCACAATGCTCTTTTATCTTTTTGGACTTTGCTGGGCATATGAATTTTTTGACTCTGTCTATATTTTGGAAATACATACCCCCTTCTTACCAATCAAACCAGAAACTCAGGCTGGCTTTTTTTTACTAGCAGTCAGCTGTAGGCAATGTTTAACTAAATGCTTATTTTATCTCCAATCTTGTGTCAACTTTTCTCCAGAGTCTCACGCAGCAGAGAAGCGTCAATTAGTGAATGAGATAGTCTCACTGAAAAAGATGTCTGACCTACGTGAACGTGAAAGTGCAAGACGAGATGTGCAGGTACATCAGTACAAGAGTGAAGCTGATAAAGGACTGACTGCTTTACAAGAAGCAGAGAGAAAAGTGCAAAACTACAGAATAGAGGTAGGTAGAAGGTTTACCATCTCAATGGCTCTGTCTCTATAAATCCTTTACATCCTAACATCAGTTTGCATCTTCTCCATACTGTTCTTCGTACATTTCCTAAGGTGCTGACAGGGAGAATTTGTGTAACAATCATGAGCTTCTTTAGTTGGTGATCATTTCTTATATTCTCTTGACCTTAATGTTTGATTCAGGGGTGATATTGTAAGGAGAAATTAGATGCTAGTCACTCTTTTGGGGTCAAAGGGTTAAATGAGCATTTTAAACAAGTTTTGTTGAGTTATCAAGCCATCACAATGACCAATCATAGGAAAGGAGAAAATTTTAAGGTAGCGATAAGACATCAAAGCAAAAAGCAGCCATTTACATGCAAACCAAAAGCCAAATAATCAAAACAGCTGATCAGCAAGCAAACTGACTGAAACATGGGAATCATCCCTCGTCGTGCATGACACTCACCTCTTGCATTCGTGGATCACCAGTTGGGTGACAAGATGGGCTTCTGAACCCATTCACTCCCAAGATCTTATTAGTAATTCTCCTTACTATCTGCCATACAATTCTTATGATGTTAGTTCAGAGAATTTGGTATTGGATCAACTAATAATCCCATAATTGATATTCTTCTCTATTCACATCACCTACCTGCTTGATATGGTATTAATATTGTAAGGAGAAATTCTGTCTTGGTCTCTTGTGGGAATGAAAGGGTTAAGAAGATCTGTAGAATGCATATTATTCCATAGTCCTTCCTTTTCTTGGATTTTTCTTAAAAGATATCATTTACTGTATTTCCTTGTTATGACTTTTTCTGGATCCACTCTATGCTGTATGTAAAATAACAAAAAGAAATGGTATAGAAGGCCAAATCTTTGGTATTTTTTTTCAGCTGAAGTGTTATGTTTATCTACCAGAATGCCGTCTCTTTAATATTATCTACAGTATGCCGTCTCTTTAATATACTGGTAGTTTACCTTTGTGTGCGTTTCTGTATCTCTTTGTTTTTGTGTCCCTGACCTAAACATTTAAACATCTTTTCTTTCAACTGGCTGCCTGGCATTTTTAACTCTTAGGTTATTTCGGGCAGCCAGTGCCCCTATCATTGTCTGTACTATTATTATAAATTTTTCTTTCTTGTATATTTTGGGGTGAAAAAAATAAAGTTGTTGTTGTTGTTGTTGTTATGATTTGATTTTAGCTCGACCACAAGACTGAAGATTTGAACAATGTAAGAATTGAACTTGAAGAGAGGAGAGCAGAATGTTTGAAGCTTAAGACGCAGCTGCAAGAGATGGATGACAAGTTTTTTGACTCTCAAGCAAAAACAAAAGAGGAGTTAGGAAGGGCACTCAGGGTGAGGACAGACTACTGTTACTACATGAATTGCACTGTCAAGGATTGTGCAAATTGAGTTTACTCTGTTATTTTGCAGGAAGAGATTCGCCAATTAAGACTACAGTTAAAAGAGAAAGAAATAAATGCTGAACAGGACAGAAGCTTGAGAAACAAGGTAAATATTCTTGAAAAATTACCTTTTGAAAGAGCCGGGCTCGATTTGTGAGCCTGAAAAGTTTTGCCTGTTGCAACCATCTTCGCTCACCTTTAGCTTGTTCAGTGGCCTCTGTAGTATTTGTTCACCCAAGTAAAGTAAAATTTTAAGGTGTTATTCATTATTACCCAGTTTCCATACCATGATAATAGTTATTTTGTTTATCCATAATTGTATCACTATGGAATAGTTCTTTGACAATACCGTTTTTTTTTTTTCAGATCCAGGATGATTGCACTGCATTAATAAAAGAAAATGCTGCTATATCTGCTCAGGTCGTAGAACTTAGAAAACAAATAGATATGGTAAGTCCCAAATTTTCAAATTTGTTTGAGTGATTTTGTTAACAGTGTTGTCTGTAAAGGGGATAACATGATTTCGAATGTAGTTTGAAGTTCATAGGCACGAGTAAAATTTTCAAAGACAACAAAACCGCACGAGCCCGTAGGGCAGGTGCAATTTGTAGTCTTTGAAAAATTTACAAGTGCTTATTACACCAAATTACAAGAGAAATCATGTCATTACTTGTTAATAACGTGAATGAAAAACATCACAGAGAGTCAAGACAGTCGAAGTTTTGAAAGCGTGCGCGGGCTATTTGTAATTTGAACTCGTGTTACAACTTTGCAATCGTGTTGCATGAGAATGCTCTCGTTTTCAGCTAATGAGAAGCGCGTAATTTTTCATGTACATTATTATGAGGTAAGGAGTATCAAAAGAACTTTCTCGCCAATACAAATGGTCACACCACATTCTATCCGCTTACTCACTATCTATCATGGAACAGATAGCGAGAGGCGAAACCAATCAGATTGTAGAATAAGTCAACGAATAAGTAGATTTATACTAATGGATATTGCTTGCCTTTTATTGTTTTCACGCGATCACGCGCGATTGTGTAGCTTTTCCGCGCTTTTAACCGGTTATGAGCAATACAGATAAATTCATTAACGATCGTGATCAGCAGAATTTTGGTTTAAAAAGGAAAACAATTATAGTAATCATAATGTTTTTTTTCTCTTTAGGATCGTGCTCATAAGGACGAGAAAGATTTTCGTCGACACGCAAACATCCAAGAGCTTGTGGCTCTGAAAGAAAGCGAGAAACACCTACAGCATGAGCTTGAACGAATCAAGGAGCTGCTAAAAATTGAACAGCAAAATCACAGGGAGACCCTTGCCAAGGTATTTTGAATTACGGCGCGTTTCTATTGCTTTTTCGCGAAACCGAAACGGAAGGAATCAATATGGCCAATCAAAAGCGGAAAAACACTGCAACGAGCCAATGAGAACTCGTGTCATGCAGACTTCATGAAGCGCGGGAAAATGCGAGTGAATTCTTGCTCCTGATTGTTTGAGAGGGTTGCGGAAGTTTTTAAAAGCAATCACAGAAAGCCGATAAAAAAAGATCATAACCAATGGATTACTTGCGACGCGCAACGAAGTTGCTCTATCAAAGGTTTTAGGTGACTCTGTCCAGTTTACCCTAATACTCTTAAAATGTTTTCGTGGCGTAAACCAATTTCGTTGCATCGATTTTGACTAATATTGATTTGAGTCTTCGTTTCTTCATCTATCTTTTTGTTTTATAAAGTTGTCAAGAGAAGAGCAAGCTTCCCTAGAAGGTAAATATTTTAGTTCAAACTCTCTAACACTGCTTAAAAAATCATGAATTTTAAACCCGCGGTTTTTGTTAAAGTCGATTTAAATGAAAAAAGTAAATGAAAAGAAGAAATGAACAGATGGCAAAAGGAATTTATTTAATAAAGCATACAGGTTTAACTCTCATGACATCTTTCCTTGCAGCGAACTTGAAGCGAACTCAACTCCGTAACGAATTAAACGAAGTGGAGGGACACCAAGACTCAACTAACTCAGAGAACGTGGCTCTAAAGAGAGATAAACTGCTCCTCGCTGACGAAGTAGCGAACTTAAACGCAAAGGTACTATATAGCGACAAAACAAGTTAAAGCATGAATCATGTATCCTCGTTGAAGTATCGATTCTTACCCGCCTGGTTGCCATACTAGTGCGAAAGCTGCTGAAATTTTTCTTGGGGACCTAAACTCAGCCACTTTTTCCATATCTTTACCCACGGGTATGTCACCCTTCACTTGTGGGTGTGAACCTTTTCACTCGCGGGTATGTCACCGTTCACTCGCGGGTATGCCACTTTTCACTCGCGGGTATGTCACCGTTCACTTGCGGGTATGCCACTTTTCACTCGCGGGTATGTCACCCTTCACTCGCTTGTAGACCACGTTTCACTCGCGAGTATGTCACCGTTCACCCGTGAGTATGCCACTTTTCACACGCGGGTATGTCACCTTTCTTCTGCGGGTATACCGCTTTTCACCCGCGGGCATGTCACCTTTTACTCGTGGGAGTGTCACTTTTCACTCTTGGGCTTATCGCCTTTCACTCGTGGGTTTGTCACCTTTCACTCGCGCGTATGATATCTTCCTCTCGCGGCTATGTCACCTTTCGCTCGCGGATTTGCCACCCCTCACTTGTGGGCATGTCACCTTTCAACAGTTCAACCGCGGATCTGCCCAGACATACCCGAAATCTCTTCTTTTGCAATAAAGCATTCATTCTTGTGGTCTCATAGTCTACTGTTTTCATTTACTCATGTCAATGTTTTTTCTCACATACTAGCTTGACGAACGTGACGAAGAAGTAGAGCGCCTCAAACTGCGACTTGAAGACTCCGAGTCGCGCTGCTCGCATATGGAATCCAAAGTTCGAATGCAACGAAGCTTGGAATCCATCAAATGGGAAGAGTTTGAGAAGCTGGCCACAACCATGAGAGAATTCTCCCGCTCGATGAGTCCATCAAAAAGTGGTAGCTTGGTGGATTACTAGACGTGTTTCCTTTTTAACTTTTCAGTTCTTCTAGAATGCAAAACCAACCCCATCATTTGGTTTGACAGAGATTCCTTTGGTTAAGAGCTGTTATAAATCCGTTTTCGTTTTATATTCTGATAAGTTCATTCTGTAATTCCAGAGCGCTGTGGTATCTTTGCTTATTTGCAACGTTACACGGCGAGTTGCAGCAACCTTTACAGTGCCAAGGGCACCAAAGGCCTTAAAAGGCATCACATGCCTATCGTAAAAGGCTTTTTGCAATTAGTGGCCCATATACAAGTACAAAACTCACGTTACTTGAGAGGAAATGAGGAGGAAAATTTCAGTTCGTTTGCCTTTTTGGGTGTCTAAGGCGAATTTACTTGGGAGAGATTTGCGCATTAGAGTATTCGATAGAAAAGGAATTTAAATTCATTTGCCGTTTTGGATACCTAAGGCGCAAATTTGCCCCCCAGGAAGGTCTTTGGTATCTAAGATTACTGACTGAAATGAGCCTGTTTTAACTGTAAACATTTTTATATAAGTGTATCAGCTTTGACCTGTTCCGGGGTTTTGTTAGTGAAAGAGCTGCCGATGGTAGCGAAAAACTCGACAAAGACTTTGGAAGCTCCGTTTACTGACTCAACGATCTGGTCCTCACAACGAGAAAAACGTAAGCACAAGCCAGCATATGAGCTGTACGGTGGTGCTTTTCGTTAGAATCCTTCCGAGCAAGTGACGTTTTGATATACACACTTGCTCGACTCGTTTTTGAAAACCAGCCTCATGGGTTTGACTTCCGTTAGAGTCCACTTCCGCTTTTGCGTATGTTTGTCTTCCGGTTCTGTTTAAGCCGACATCCGCTGGCCGTTACAAGGAAACTTCATAAGACTATCCTTAACCAGGAAATCATTAAAGAATTATATGTAGTGATAATTTTGCATTTTCCCCCTTTTTTTTCCAAGTTTTTAACTTTTTTACCTCTCTTAGATTTTGGTGGTTATTTTCTTTTTCCTCAATACCTGTACGTTTAACAATGTCTTGACAATGTAAAGAGAAATTAGAAAGGGATGAGCAGAGTGTTTAAGTGTGAAAATGGTTTTAAAAAAGAACTGCATGGAACTATGAAAAAAATTATTAAGAAAACCATTTTTAATTTATTGTGATATTAATTATAACTTTCTGTTGTTTGAAAGAATCAAAAGCCAAATAAAATCATATACAGGTAAATCATTACCAAACGGGCTGTGAATTCTTGATAAACTGGTTTAATAATTCCTTTACTCGGGACTAACACTTTCCAGTTTCCATGGCAGCTTTCTTGGGAAATATAGACTCATCCATTTAAGAAATCCTTCAAAAATTTAGAATTACGAAAGTGACGAGGAAAAATTTCCGCTCATGGATGCAATCCTGTCGAGAAAGGAGCGCTTTTCTTTCTTTTTTTTTTTTCTTTTTTTTCCCTCGTCCGCTCCGCTGTCGCTAGCACGTTCCGGAATCGTTTTCTGCGTGTTTGTTCCTCCCTTCGCTCAACTAAGCAATAAAAGACAAGAATAAGAAAAACGAAAAAAACAAAATAAAACGGCTGTTGAAAGACTTTAATTTCCAAGGATAGACTATTTAAAGGGCTTAAAGTTTTACCGCCAATTGGGATGGACACCTAAACCAATGAAGCGAAATTAAACCATAATTTCTGCATCCTCGCATCTTTTCGAGTTCTTAGGTCTCCGTAAATTAAGTTTGAGTTTTAAGCAAGAAAAGTCCGTTTATAAACTATCTTTCTGACTTCTTATATTAAAGACAGAAACGTGGAGAGTTCGCTCTGCTTGCCAAGTACCGCAGGATCCTCAATCCTGACCGTCAGAGAAGTCTGAAACAGGAATATTTCTTGAACTGAAAGCTCTTGCTCGTACACTGAAGCTTGAAAACGGATTTACGTTCTCGTCTAAGATACTTGAATTTTTTTGAAGTGTCATACAGCGCACCACTTCGTTGAATCCTTTATGAAATTCTCTTTTACGAAGGGAATATATAATTGGGTTACACACCGAGCTGAAGAAGTAAACGCCCGTTGTTGTTAGAATGACCTCTGCTGTAACTTTGATGTCTTTCACGAACTGACGGAAAATTCCTGTAATCCAGCCTGGAAGATAGCATAAGAGAAATGCAATGATGATTATATTGACATCGGCAGCGGCTTTCTGTTCCCTCTTCTTCCTTAATATGATCTTATTTCGTTGGTTTTGTTGTTGTCGCTTGCAGTCAGAATCGTCGAAGCAACCAAGGTTGTTGGCCACTGGGTTTATCTGAAGAGCTTTTGCTGTTCGAAAGACTCTCCAGTTAAGAAAAACAATAACGAGAAAAGGTAAAAGAAAGCTGAAAATCGCGTACGAAATGATGTTTCTTGCCATGGAATCACTATGAACTGACCATCCTTGCTCGCAAAAGAACACTTCGGGGTTGTAAACGTAATTACCAAAACCAAGGAACGGACCAATGGAAAACGGAATTGGGACTATCCAGATGAGAGCCACCAACATCATTTTGCATTTTGTCATCGTACCATCGTAAGTCAAAGGGGATTTCACAATAGCGTTGTATCGCTCATAAGAAACAGCCATTAGATGCAGAACAGAGTTGAAGTAGAAATAACGCACAAATGAAGGATTAAGGTAACACATTGTTCCTCCATACAACCATCTCTGTTGCGCTATGCTTCCGATGCGGAAAGAGTTTGCTAGAGTCAAACAGAGAATATCTGAAACTGCAAGACTTGCAAGCAAAATATACTGCATCACATGAAATCTCCTTTCCAGGACGGTCGTCACGATTACCAAAAAATTGCCTGGAATTCCAATGACGTCGAAAAGGGCGTGAAATGTTGCAACGATTTGGTGAAGAACCATGTTTGACTCCAGCGAGTTATTTCTTCAAATGAACCATCCTCAGAAGCTTCTTCCAATAATATCTTGGAGGACCTGAAATAACAACAGACACTACACAATAAGGGCAAATGAAGTACTTGACATGTTTTAGAGAGAGAATTGAAACGGAAACTGAGTTATACTTTCTTAAACTCCCACATGTTAGTAGCACGTAGAATTTCTCCTTATCATATCAGTGAATCGTCCGGTGAAAAAGTGAAGAGAAAAAACACCTAAACCTAATTTTTTTTGTCCAATTTATAAGAAAAGTATAATGACTAAAAGAGGAGATGACAAGCGAAGATTTGAGGACAAATCTTTAGGCAATGGATTTACTTGTAATATAATTTGAAAAGCAAAGTATCCTGCTAAATGTCTTGAAGACTCTATACGAGTTCTCGAGATTCACATGGCTTTGAGAATTTTCTTTTCTTTTTCTTTATTATCATTACTAGTATTCTTATCATTATTTTGTATTTGGAAAGTATAAGAGAAATTATAGGCAGCGACCCCAAAAACGATTCGCGAGCCTTTTTGTGAATCACGTTTTGCGTTTCACAAATCTTTTCTGCACGTGTTATCCACATAGGAAAGAAGATTTGGTCTACATGCATTTGCACCAAGATTCAATCTATTCCTAACGTCAATACGTGGGTAGAAGCTGCGAGGGCCTCGAAAACTTCCCTTCATATTAAAACGTGTTAAAGATAATTTATAGACGACGTGGCCAATGAGTCCACAGTCCTTAGTTCAATATATCAAAGCTTTTATTTTTCTTTTCTTCGTCGATCAAGCTCCATTTAATTAAAGTTATCCATGTTAGGTGTTTATCAACAAAAAAATCAGGATTATCTTGGGAAAGAGTTTTTACCGACATGTGTTTCCTCCCTTCCTTATTATCAACAACAGCAACATGCAGATGTTATTTTCTGAACTGAAAAACGACAAATGAATAAAGGGGGTAAGTTTCTAAAGAAACTGTGGTGCTGCGTCGGTGGGGAAGTGTAAAAAGATCATTTGGTTTTAACAACTGAGTTGATAAAAGTAAATTGGCCACCGTAAATAGTTAAAAATAAATAGTAGATAATTTGGAAAGCTGACATTCAGAGCGTTAGCCATTCGTCAGGGCAAATATCGAAGGGCTCTGACCAAGAGCTAACGCTCAAAAAGTGAGCTTTAGAAACTTTTCACGGTGGCTTATTACATTATCTACTCAGTTTATTAGACCAAATTATCATATTAAATTTATGCTTAAAATCGCATCTTTTTCTCAGCCAATAAGACCACTTCACTAAAACACAAAAACCAATTAAATTTTAAGACTTCTTCAAAAAAAAAAATCAATCAAATTGCAGAAAAGACTGTTTTTTTACAAACCAGCTCTAAGTATTTGTACAGATTACAAAAACTTGTATTTGGCAACTGGACTTCAAAATAGATGTAATAAAATGGTAATTAAACACCGTTTTGTGCAATTTGGTCTGAAATCATAACTTGTCACTTAAATATTAAACATTTGTCAAAAAACTGAAGCCACTAAGTTTTCAAAAATCGATGAATTGGGGGAGATATCTCTGGAATCCCTGTCACTGATTTTTTTTTGATCATTAAATCAAATCACGTTGAAAGAGAAAGCGAAATTATCGAGATACGAAGAGCGATGTCCTAATTGGCCAACAACCTACCGTTTGTTTGAATTTTACAAAAGCAATAAATTGCACTTTCTATTGGTTTATCGGCGTAATAACATACTTGGTACGTTGGGGGAACACGAAAAAAGTTTGAAAATTAGTCATCATGCCGGTAAAGCCTGTTACACAATAGCAAGTTTTCCTCGACAAGTTTTACTTGCTCCTGAGTGTGAACGACAAGGTATTTTTGACAAGTGTTGCCCTTTTATCATCATTCGTTGTATCCAGCGTTACAATAGTACAGCCGTGTCAGAACCGAGATCGCTTAGCGCCCACAACTTCTTGTCAAGTTTTCTGTGTTGACACATACACACCAGCAAGTTTTGCAAAATTAAAAGTGAACTGTCCTTTAATGTAATATTTAATTCTCTCAGATTTTTAAGATGCATCCGTCCATACCCTGTTTCAGGCGTTTCGTTGGTAAAACAGCGGCGCGATAGAAGTGGAGGAGTGAAAAAACGAGAGAGGCCTGAGTCGGGTTTTTACAGCTACCCCGCTGTCTAAGAAAGGATGAATTCCTAATTTCTTATTTTAGTACTTTCAGATTTCTTTCACCTAATTCATCCTTCTGATTTTGTCATTCTCGTTCGAGTGGCGATTCTATGGCGTAAGCGAAATCACGAACGTGTACGCAAAATGATCATTATTTCGTAGTCATTCTGCACAAACAAATAACAACTGTGGACAGCCTGGATAACAGAAGAAACTGGGTCGCCGGTGGTTCTTCAAAGGTGAGAATATGATAGCATCCTCTCAATTTCAATATTAAAGCGCTATGGAGAACACCTAACAAGAGTTAGTTCCCACTGGCAAAAATACGTGGACCGTGCGTTCACGAATCCTTAGCATCCACGCCTGATTTCCAGATTTTGTGTCTCGACAGGTACCCAGTCATAAACGGTTAACTGTTCTCCGGCATATTGATTCAAGACCCCGAAAACCGCGTTCTGTTCGGCGTCACGTTACGGTAATCCTTTCACCCCTAAGAGTGACTTGCATCTAACTTCTTCTTACCGAATAACAGGATTCTACGATTGACTAGAATTCGAAAAACGTTCTCTGAGAAAAGAGGTGTATTGTAACTCAAAAACGATAAAATTTGACGCTGGCGCGTTAAAATTTTCTGCACCCTTGAATAGAAAATTACTCTGAATCAGTCACAATGAGAAAATTTCAATCACCTCGAAACTCAAAAGGATGGTCCCCTCCCCCCCCCCCTCCAATTGCCATTCCGTGAAGTCAAACTCCAGAAAGAATTTCATGTTATCCTTAACCTTCAAACTGCTTTTATTCTACACCCACCTTCTTTTAATATATATATATATATATATATACTGCATTTCCTCGAATAAGCGCCCACGTTATAATAAGCGCCCACCCCTCCATAGACCATAATGTCAAACAAACGCCCCCCTCGAATGAGCGCCTCTCCCCACCCCCCTCCTTCACTTTCTTAAATAATAGGGATACAAAGAAAACCTGCTTAATTCTATTTATAAATTTTTAAGCTTCAGGTAAAAAGGAATTAGTACTGGAAAATAATAAGCGTCTCCCTCGATTAAGTGCCCTCCCTTCAGTAAGCGCCCCCGCCCCCACTTTTGGCCGAAATTTTAAACAGGCGCCCGGGCGCTTGTTCGAGGATATACGATATAAATGACCTTAACCTAATGGAGGTTGAAAATGAATTTCCGTGCGTTCTCTACAATTCATACGTAGCTTTGTTGTTGTACGGAGTAGCTTTGATTTAAAATGATGAAAATGAACATCTTGCACTTGAGGCTTCCTGTGTCACAACAAGCTTTGTTTGAAGGCGTGAAGCAAAATTTGTCAACACTCCCCTGATCGCAAGTTTTAAAAACTATTTCAGTGATCTTTCTGTTACTTTTTTTGCAGTTTTCGTATCGTCAATTACTTTTTCAAGGATAAAATCTCGTTTACGAGAGAGGCATTTCTAAACGAAATCTGAAATAATTACAACCGCACATCAAAACACAGGGGTTCCTCACAAGATGCCACAGAGAATTCAATAAAAAACAAGGAAACTTTCATAAGCGTGGGAGAAAGAAAATTGACCAATCGTGATTATGTTAAGCTTTGATTCCGATTGGCTGCTGGCGTGGCGCGAATTTTATGAACCAATCACGAGCTAAGTAAAGCAAAATACTCCACAGTTTCATTTTACTTTCGACACTCAATGGCAAATTGATTTGTTTGGCACAGGTTTTCATGGCACCCACTAATTCAGGGTTTTTATCTGCGTTTCCTCCGAGTCCGGAATTAAACTGATGCTTGCATCTTAAACCAAAAGTTCGATTTAAAGTCTTTGATTCTTAAGTCGATTCTTAGGTCTTTGATTCTTAAGTCGATTCCAAGTCTTGACCAGAAACCAACGAAGGAGTTTTTTGTGGGTCTTCTTAAACTTCATCAAACCGAGAAGTCCATTTAGTTTAGTGATTTATAATACAATAGGAAAACCAAAATAATAAAAACAAAATTGATGCAAACAAAATCTTGTCACTAAGTATTGGGGTTCATTTTCCAGTTAGACAACACTTTTACGTTTATTTTACCGTTTATTTTATGCTGCTTGACGCAAGAAAATGGGAATGAAGTATAGAAACGCAATTTGGCGACTCTCAGTTTAAAGTGCAAGTTGTTTTTATTCTTCAAATCTTGATCAATCTCGCGTTGCAGCGGAAGATGATCAACACTTCAGATGAACAATCCACTGCTTCCGAAAATTTGAATTGTTCAAAAACAATTTATTATTTTCTTTTGTAAAGTTATTTGATGGTTCTGCACAGATATGACAAGCATTGAGGCAAAGATAATATAATTTTTCACCTCACTTGTTTTCGAAACGTTCCGCGTAGATCCTGCTACCAGGATGTAGTTTACGTATTTTTTGGAGTTACCTAAGTTACGCGTCATAGCGCTCGTGCCCCAAACGTCATTGACTCTTGCAAAGTATACTTCAAGCGTTTGATTCTAAGATCAGGCATGTCTTTTCATCATATAATCGCAGTTCTCCACGCTATTTTCAACATCGTCGGACTACCTGGAAACGTGCTGGTGTTCATGACGATCGCGTTTGAGAGGAGATTCAATGTAATGCGATATATTTTACTGGCCAGTCTTGCAGCGTCCGATATTCTCTGTTTGATTCTTACAAACTCGTTCCGCATCGCCAGCATAGCTGAAGAAAAATGGCGCTACGGACAAACGATGTGTTACCTTAATCCGTTTTTTGTGCGATATTTCTACTTCAACACCGTTCTGCATCTGATAGCTGTTTCCTACGAAAGATACAACGCTATAGTGAGATCCCCTTTGACCCACGATGGCACGATGACAAAATGCAAATCAGTGTTTATCGCCCTCATCTGGATAGTTCCGATTCTAGTTTCCATCGGTCCGTTCCTTGGTTTTGGCAATTACGTATACAACCCCGAAGTGTTCTTCTGCGAGCAAGGATGGTCAGTTCATGAGGATTCCATAGCAAGAAATATTGCGTTGTATGTGATTGGCATGTTTCTTGTGCCTTTTCTGGTAATAGTTTTCCTAAACTGGCGAGTCTTAAAGACGGCAAACATTCTTAAAAGAAACGCTGCCGCGCCGATCCTCAACGAACGCACCGTTGGAGCGGAGATCCATCGCAAAGAAACGCTGAGGCGCATGAACGAACGGAAAGCAGCCGTCGATGTCAGCATTATCATTGCGGCGTTTCTGTTGTGCTTTTTACCCGGTTGGATTGTAGGACTTTGCCGTCAGTTCGTAAAAAATGTCAAGATTCCAGCAGAAGTTACTCTATCCACAACTTGTATCTTCTTCGTCAGCTCAGTATGCAATCCTATAATATACTCCATCCGGAAGCGAGAGTTTCGAACCAGAGTAAAGAATTTGTTTAGGCGGGTTGGGGTCGCGCCTCATGTTAGCCCTAACGAAATCAGTTGCCAAGTTGAAAGCGCAAGTCTTCCACTTCGTCGACAATCGAACGCTTTCTTCTTGAAAACAAGAAGAGGACCATTCCCAAGTTTTTCAGGTTGCCAACAGGGCTCCAATCAATTTCTTTCAATCGAGGCTGGTGTAATGTCACAGAGACCTTGCCTCAGTCCCATTCCAGAGATGGATACTGATAGCGAACTTCACTTCAGTGAGATTCCGATAGACTATCAGTTAAGAAATTGTGAGTCAGAGGTTCTGCCAAGTCAAATTCACAGTTTACACTTTGGAAGAGTGGGCTTTACAAAAGAGAATACCCTAACCTTTCTGTAGTTGTAAAATAGATCTATATTCTTGAACAAAGAGAAGTAAACTATCGAAAAACGCGTCGCATGCACTCTTAAAAGAAACTGCCTTACCTAATTTAACCTCCGCTATAACAAGATATTTTCGGAAACGTTGAAACTGAAAATCTTCCCCAGAACAAGTAAAGTAAGCAATTTGCATGACGAAAACATTTTGTATCACTTCTCTTCGCTATTAATGATAAAACAATTTCAAGGTAATTTTCTACATTTCGCCTTTTGTTTGTTTTGAGTGTATTAGTGTAGAGAAACCAAAACAAAAGTACAGATTAGGGACTAGCATCACAAGGAGCCAATAGAAGTTCTAGTTAAAGACACGTGACTTGCAGAAAACACGGCGAAAAAAAAAACTAGTGACCAGGCCGCGATTGATGTCGAGTTTGCATCAGATTGATTGAGCTTGAGAATTTAGCGTCAATAACAGAGTAGTAGAACAAAGCTATCATTGCAATCTCCGATTACTTTCCATATTAATATTTAAAAACCACTCTCATGAGCAAGCCTTGACTAGTTTTCGTCACTGCTGCGGTATTTATTAATACATAATTCATCTTTCTCCGCCAATTTTGTGTAGCCTGGGGCCCCAAAGGATTAACAGTCTGATAATCCTTAGTTTTCATACAGGAATGCGAAACAGAGAAAGTAAGATTTCCACGTCGTGTTTTGAAATTAGGTTTCTTCCTACTCACTCACTCTTATTATGAATGTTATTCCAAGAAAAAACTCCAAAGCGTCAAATATAAGGAAGGAATGAAACAAAGAATAGAAACACATATTTAACAATTTAGGACGCATGAGAAGGAAGAAGAAATGAATTCATTCAGTTTCTCTAAGAAACTCGCCGATATGCCCATATTCCATGTCTGTTCTTCGGACACTAACTTAGCATAGGGTGAGGGGAAGTTAAGTAAGAGAATGTTTGGTAGACAGCATGAAACAAGGATTCAGGTGAGGGCATATCGTCCACTGGCAAAATTTCACTAATTATTACTCAACACCTACGATCCTTGCCCGCCAACATCACAGTTGTTAATGATTTCACCCATTTTTCTCCTTTTTAGGCCGTCACCACTAATTAGCACCTCTTAATACCGCCTAAATTCACTGAGAATTCTTGAAAATTCAACAGGTTATAAAATTGCTCTACCGGTTTGAAAACATCTTTTAACCTGTCATGCATTAAATAAGGAAGCAAACTGAAACGAGATAATGTGCAAAGAAAACACCATTAAAGGTATTTTACCCAAAGTAATTTATAAAAATTGTAGCTATTGTCCAAGTGCTATGCACCTCCTCCGACGAGAAAACCTTTCACTTCTCACCACACTTCACCTTTCACACTTTTGCAAGAACGCTCGACCCAGGACTTAGATATTCTAAGTTTCTTACAAGAGTATTAAGTTATGACTTGTGCATTGTCACCCTTTCATGACGTTCTAAATATCAATTCTCAACACTGTTTGGGATACATTTCTTACACTTTCAGAACTGAGAGTTTGGTATTTGATCAAACATTTTCCTCATCAATATTTATACCCTCCATCAGCACTCTGCTAGAAAATGAATAATTATTGTTGAGAGAAATTCTTTGGGTCATCCCTGGGAATTAAATGCTTAAAGTTTTTAAGTGAAACAAATGCAAACATACAGAAGGAGGTGAGAATTTTAGTGACATCAGATTGTACCATTCAATCAAAGAATCAAAACCAATATCACACGATTGTGGTTTATTGTGAAAGGAACCCCAGCTTAATAGCAGCTATGCATAACAGACTTAAGCCAACAGCACCACCTTGGCTCCAACCTACAGTACTCAAGGAATAAAAAACAATGATCCTACTACATGTACTTGGGGAGCTTTTGAGCTCATACCTACCTAAAGACATAAGCTTCCTCCCAGCACGAGTCAGTGTATATTTTTTTTAAAGTTTATACTGGTGATTTGTTATTTTGAAGTTGAGACTATACAGAATTTCAAATCACCATTGGAAATTCTCCAAAAGCAAATCATTAGAGGGTTCCTTTGCCCAACTAGAAAAGAATTATTGGAATAATAGTTTATTCAGACTCTCTGGCTAGTGAAGGCAGACTTATGAATGCCCTTCTTTATGGTGCTTTGACTCCAACAACTTTCTTTCCTCCCTGAAAAACAAATAGAAAGAATTTTTTTATTCAGTAGATGTTAACTTCATATCTTTTCTCTCATAATGCTTATTTTAATAAGCAATTTGAGAATTCCCTAATTATGGGATCTAAGTGCAACTGATTATCTCTTGGAAGAGGAACCTTTCCAACCCCTTTGCTGAGGTATAGAACTTGCTATCTATAAATACAGTAAAGCACTATGTAAATCTCTTCCCACTTTAACCCTTAAACAGAATTTCTCCTCACAATATCTATACAATATCAACCAGATAAGTGATGAGAATAAAGAAAAATATCCTTTTGAGGACAATTTGTTGATCCAATACTAAATTCTCTGAAATAGTGATATAAAAACTGTATGGTTGACAGTAAGGAGAATTACAAATTTGATCTAGGAGTTAAAGGGTTAAAAGCGTATCAACATAATTTGTGATTTCATCTTCAAGTGACAATTTCAATATTCACCTGCTGTGTCATTGCACCACAATTCGTACTAAAATTTTCAGCATGATAGAATCATAGAAGTGTTACTCAGTATTGTGGCAGAACTGTAACAGCAGGACGTGAAATTGCGCCTAATACAGGTGCCAATGCGACAAAATTTTTCACTTTGGCGACCAAATCCTGAAAGTTAGACGCCAAATTGGCGACTAGAACGTTTCATCATAACCTTACCAAGAGATATAGTGAATTAAAAAGATTTGCAAAGATAAACCCGCAGCAAACTTCCTCATTAAGTTTGTTTCTAAAACATAGCACGTGCTTCTCGATCGATAACTAGACGCCATCTTGGATTTAGATGAGCCTGACGTTGTATATCATCCATCCTAGTGTCCACTTTGTAGCACGTTAAAGATCTTTTCCCTTACTTAATTTTGGAGGGTCTATCTAGAACGCTGACAGCGTAAAGAAAGATTTTGTTTGTCTTTGAAAATGGCGACCAACTTTTTGAGAATTGGCTACCACTTTGAAGAATTTAGGAGCCAAGTGGCTATCATAAAAAAAGTTAATTTCACGCCCTGAACAGCAGAGAAACAGAAACCAGGAGACGAAACAATTATTCCATTCTTGATAATTTCTTAAATAATATGCCAGTGACAGTCTAGAAAATAAATGCCAACAGCTAAAAGTACATGTGCACTAATACATTAACACAATCATGTCACCATAAATAGCCAGAGTTGCATCATTTTAAATGGTTCTACTTTCTCTTATCTTTTTTTTTTTTTAATTTTTAAAATCAAAAGTCTTACTGCCAAAAATTAAGTGTGAATTCCTTGTTCATGAAGGTAGAATGCAGATTTCCAATCTTTATTTTCCAATTACTACTTTCCAATTATTACCAGGGGCAAGAATGGTGGATTTAAAATTTTAAACAAGGATGTTTTTTGACCTAACTAATGCCTAAAAGTAAAAAGAAGATGCACCTCTCAGGAAGACCTTCAGCTTGCACTTCCAAAGCTTGGCTTTACACATGAGGAAGTAAAATTACTTCAAAAGTGATGCCTTAATGTCGCTGTGTTTCAAATCAGCTCAATCTTACCTTTTTAAATTCTTCATCCTGTCGTTTCTCGTAATGGCCAAAGTCATCAAAGATTGACGTCTGGTGCTTGTAAGAATGAATGATCTTCAGTACCTGTTTTCCTTTCTCCAGTGGGACTTCCTGGGTATCCCGGGAATTGGTAACAGGCTTGTTGTCATTGTTCTCCAAGCGAATATGACGTAATGCATTGTTTGGCACATCCTTCACATAGAACCATTTCACATCAAACTTGCCTTTCCACTTGTCCTGAGTCCAAATTCCAGTTTCAATCTCCATATCGACCTCCGATGTCATCATTGCAATTCCACAGAAATGGCCACTTCCATTCACACTGAAAAGCAGATAAATTGGAGATTTACTGCCCTGCTGCTCTTTAAAAGCATCGTTCAAACGCCTGTTTCCATGCTCTGTGCTTGTCCACACGGAGTATTTGATTGAACGATGAATATCGTCCTCGCTGTAACTTTTGATAATGAAAAACCGGGCATTTTTCTGAAGCAGGCCAAATTCCTTTGGATTGTAACAATTCTTGGATCTCAATTTATCAAGAATTGGAACAGATTCAGATGAATTAACTGGTGGATTCACAGGTCCTGGATTTCCGGACATTCCTCCTGTATTGGGTCGCGGCCTTGTGCCGCGGCCAATCGCAGGCTTGTTGGGACCAGATTTTACTGCATTTCCCCATGCCCCAGATTCAACTTTAGAAGGCCCAACAGTTTGTTGTGAGGTTATTGGAGGAGGCAGTTTTGGTTTTGGTGGAGGTAACTTTGCCTTTGGCTTAGCTGGTTGGCTTGCAATAGCAGCCCAAGACTTTGGTTTAGTCTCAGAAGGAGTAACAGTTGATGAACTAGTTGCCTGAGATGACAACTTGGTTTGATCGTTCAACCCTTCATTTCCTTTGTCATCTACTCCTAGAGCCAAACTAGAAAGGGCATTTTCCACATTTCCAGCAGAACCAAACTCCTTTCCTTTCAAAGAGTCCAAATCAACTCCAATAGGATTCAAAGCTCCGTGTTCAGATGTCGGAGGTGGTGGTGGTTGGTAAAAATTTGGCAACATTGCTGACCCCTGAGACTGTTCCCCCCATGAAATATCAGTAGATGTTCCAGGAAAATAGAGTGCTTGGGGGCCCTGAGAGTTATGGGTTAAACTGCTTCGATAAGCGTTTGTAGCGTCTGCATTGTGATTGAACATCTGGTCTTGTAATAGTTGTTCTCCGTTCCCAACTGCTCCGAAACCCGATGAAGGAAACAGCGTGTTAGGATTGAGCGAAGGCACTCCAGTGGACCAAGTGCCGTCGCTGATTCCAGCAGCATTCAGATAAGGGAATGGCATCGGAGGTAATCCTGTATTGGAACCCGTTGTTGTCGTAGGATAAAATGGTGGCAGATAAGTGTCCGTTAATTGGCTCGGCAAGCTCGTGTTGACTTGTTGAGAGTTCAACTGTTTCTCGGTGCCCTAAACACGAATTTATGATTATCGTCGTAAGCCGATCCATCGGGAATGCCATGACGTTATCGAAGGGATAGAAAAAAAGACATGGCAACAGTTAGTGTAGGCCCTTGAAGGAATCAAATCGTGGTTAAAGCGGAGTGGTGCGAAGAAAATACGCCTGCAAAGTAAACATCTGACAAATCTCACCTGTTTCGCTCCCGGATGGAGGTAGCGATCGATATCTTCACCCGCCACATTCTGTAATTCGCCATTTTTGTTCACGTACCCTGTAAAATATTCGAAACAGCGTTAATCGATTAACTATCATGCAAACGGCTCTTTGCCGCTTAAAGCACGCAGTAAAAAGACAGTGACGTACCTTTTCCGCTGTGATCCTTGGGTCGCTGCGCACACACGAGGGAACACGCATTCAGGAATGCAGAGGAAATTAGAATCAAATTAGTCGTTGTTGCCGTTGGTCGCCAAGAAATCGACGAAAAACGAAATGATTTAAACTGAAAACATACCTGGTCGATAGTAGCTGACATTCCCTAAAAGAGTACAATAGTCTCCAATACTAAAATCTCCAAATGATGGTCACTTCGTTCCACGTCGTTTAGATTATGAGGAAAGAGAACAAAAGAAAATGGCCGCTCCTTCTGTGGTTCGTCTGCGCGTGCTTTGCGTGACTTCACCAATTTTACGCAACTTGTCAATCAAGTATTCCAAATATGGTATTTCCCATAGGCCTTTTTGGGTAGGATTCTAAACAAGATGGTGGACTAGGGTACGAGGAACCAGGAATTGAAATATTTTGTTGACAATACTTCAGCGCGATGGCATTATTACAGGTTTGTTTTGGCCATTTTGATGTTTTCAGAATCACAAACCAGGGCTCAAAAATGAAAGTTTTCGTCTTGCAGTGGCGCCGGTTCAATTTTTTCGACAAGGAGGTTCTGAAAGACCCCGGAACGACTCAGCCATTTACGGGTCTGAAGGTTGGTTCTTACAAACATAACTAGGATTTAGATGACGTTCATAAGAGTATGATTTTATTCAAATGAAACTTTTGCTCCCCATCTCTTTTTAAATCGATTCATAGCTTATGTCATCGATGAAAAAACTTCAAAATGGTTTGCAACCAGATCTCCTTCCATGCTGGGGGAGGGGTGGTGTGGGATGGGGGAGGGGGTGCCTTGCTCCATCTCACAAAAATTTGTTTAAGTTAAGTTAAGTTTTTACTCTACAAATTTACAGCAAATAACCAAATACTGCAAGGACATTGATTGGATGATCCCTACAATTAGTCAAAATTGCAGACTGACATAGATTTCATTGCAAAAGTGATTTTCTTAGTAATTTATTTTGTCCAACATGGTGCTCAGTTTTAACAGGTTTTGAAAATATGTCTGTGCTTAATTTGGAATGAGAAAGTGAAAGTCTAATGAAAAATGAAATAAGAAACTGAAAAAAATGTTTTAGGCAATTTGCACAATTTCTAAACTAGGACAAATCTTCCAGCACTTGAGTGCTACAAGACATGTTTATAATTCTGACTCGCATTACAGTCAAGTGTATTCCTTTCAAAGCATGTTGTATATAGAAACAAGTTTTTGATGGCCTATCCTAAAAGACTGAGACAATTTTTACTTCTCTGTTGGCAACTCTTTAAAAACAATTTCTTTTTTGTCCCATTTTTGGCCTTTATTTTGTGGTCAATTCTTTTGTGAGTGTGGAAGCTGACAAGAGATTTTAACACCCACTAAGTTCAACTCTTATTTGGAATTTATCCCTGATACTTCTAAAATCAAACCATCAATCTTGATACTATGGGTATATTAATTTTTGTTGGGGGTGATGTGTTAGGGTGAGGTCATACAGCCTGTGGGGTGGGGGATGTGTGACCGTTTGGACACTGACTTGTGTTGATGTCATGGAGATTCATGTAAATGTCAATATTTGAATAGAATTCATGTTTGTGTCATATAGGATACTAGTATCACAGCATGCACAAGTGGAAGAGGCCAGCTAGTTATTGGAGGCAAGTGATCTTTATTACAGATTGAGCTCAAATTTTGCCATTATGGTTTATTTTAAAGATGCAAAAAGCATTTTAAAACATGTCTTTCAAACAGAAAGTAGCTGGGGCTGTGAATAAGTTTAGAAGTAGAAGACAGTTAACCCTTTAACACCCGAGATCTCATTAGTAATCTCTTTCCTGTCTGCCATACAGTTCTTTTGATGTTAGTTTGGAGAATTTGGTAATGGATCAACTAATAATTCCCTACGTGATGTTTTTCCTTTTTCTTGTCACTTGTCTGCTTGATATTGTATTGATATTCTGTCTTGGTCACTCATGGGAGTTAAAAGGGTTAAAAAAACATAGGCTGTTAAGTACCGTGGATGCCATGTAGTTTTGTTTAATTATGCTCAAGACTGGCTAATGTAAGATGTAGGAAAAGTAATTATGTTTTTTTTTGTTTTTTTTGTTTTTTTTTTAATATTGTGCAGTGATTAAAGTATTTGGTTTTTGTATTTTGACAGATTCAGCTGGTTTTGTTCACTTCCTAGGCCGTGATTTAACCATCACATCTTTCCAGGCCTACGAAATGCGTGTGTCACATTTTTACCAACTGAAACAGCAAAATATTTTATTTACAGTTGGAGTAAGTGCTTCATACTCAGTAAAACAAATTAATTGTGTGAAATACTTCCCTTTACACTTAACATCATTGTGTATATTCTCCCTACTCTTCTCTACACATTTCTTAGGTTCTAACAAGGAGAATTTATAAAACCATCAAGAGCTTTGTTATTTGCTGATCATTTCCTTTATTCTCGTGACTTAGACATTTTATTCAGGGGTGATATTGTAAGGAGAAATTAGAATCTTGTCACTCTTGGGGATCAAAGGGTTAAGGAAGCATTAAGATGTCACTGGACTACAGCTCTCTTTACAAATACAAGACAATTATTTCAAGCTTTTATTATTTTCAACTATACTATATATTCCTAAGACAAGCAGTGTGGTGATGGCAGTTTTGTACATCATGTCATAATGATATTGTTGAAAGTGTCCTCATGAATTGTAATCTTTTATCTCTACAGGAAGATGAAGTAGGAGGAATTGATCCAATTATGAGAGTTTGGAATCTAGACAAGGTTTGTTTTCTTATATTTTTGAGTTACACCTTATGACTTATACTGTAGATAATTAGAGCACATGTGCACATACTTAGGTTTCTGCTTTTAACAGTTTCTCTATTAAGTTGTTTGCAAGCTCCTTTAAGAGTTTAGCAAACTCATTAAATTTTAGAGCAAGTTTTTCTAGGTAGTAAGGAAACTCCTCTAGGTTTTTCAGCAAAGATTGCTTACTTGATGGTGAACCCACCTAAATTATTGGAAAACTCGCTTCTGTTGTTAGTGAACTCATCTTAGTTGTGAGGAGATTCATCTTAGTTGAGCTCACTTTTAGCTGTTAGCAAACTCATCCTCAGTAAGTTGTTAACAAACTGCTTGAAGTTATTAGGAAACTTATCAAAGTTGTTAGCAAACTTATCTAAGTTGTTTGAAAGTGATGATATTCCATGTTAGTGTGTGTCTTTCACTGATGTTATCAATTAATGAGAATTGTTTTTCTCTAGATTGACAAGTATGGAAACCCTGTCTGCTGTTGCATGCAGCGGCTTATTCCAGGAAACAAGCCAGTTGCGGTACAATTAATTTTGTTTATGATTATTTTACATCATCTAATTTCACAAAAATTTTCATTTTCTCTACTCAGTACTTATAATTAAAGAAGTTATAGAAATTGGTAAATTTATCCTGAACTAAATATCTAAACCTGGCCTGGAGTGGTATATTGAGGTCTTAAGAAAGGACTTTTATTCTGAATGGCAGGTGTCTTGTTTGGCATTGATGGAAAACTTGACACAGATGGCTGTAGGATTCGCCGATGGTACTGTTCTTGTATACAAAGGAGATATCACCCGCGATAGGTGAGAAGCAAAATGTCATTGACTTAAAAATGCACAGTAAACAATGTATGCAGTTACTATTTTTAGAGTACTGTCTCTCTTTCATTCTGAAGGAGATTTTTGTTTGTGAAAGTGAATTATTTTTTGACAGTCCCAAAGGAAGTCATTATGAAAATCATTCATTACCAGTGCCACACAAGTGGCCTATTTATCACTAGAGAATTTTACTAGGTAACTTACTTTTCATTCAGATTGACAGTACTTTTTTGTTTGATAAACCTGGATAGATATAAAATTTATGAAGAAGACTACTTGAGTCTTAAAGCCAATAACATCATGGTGAATAGTAATTTACAGAACTGTGCAGTAGCTGTATCTTCAACTGTAATCAACTATGCTGCTTTTATCTTTCAGCCTCCAACCAAATTTGTCAGATCACTTAAAATTCATTGTCATTTTTGCTATCTCCAGCCTTGACCATTAATCTTTCTTCCTAATTAGCTGAGTGAGTTACTTTGTGATTTGCTTTTATGAATGGCAAAACATTTGAAACTTCAGCTTCAGAAACTCTTTACCTCTGTCAGTGCAGCACCACAGTTTCTTTAGAAATTTACCTTTATTCACTAGTGATTTACTGTCTACTAAATAAATACAATATTTTGTGGTTTTGTAAGAGTCAAAGTTATTTTTCCACATCAAAAATAACAGCTTGAAATATCATTGCCAATTACATTATGTCATCATTCTTTTTTGTTTTAAGGCACACAAAGCAGAGAATTGTTCATCATGACAAGCATCCTGTAACAGGTACAGTTAGGTTTAGTTTTCTCCTTAAAAGGGTAAAAAAAGTGCAAAATGGTACAACAATCAGTAATCAAAATAAGGTTCTATCTAAAAGAATATATACTGTGTTGGAGGGGGGGGCTAGAATTTGAATTTTTAATCAAGCTTTCATTCATTTATTCAGTATACACTGTGTTTTTGGAATAAATACTGATGCAATTAGTGTTTCAATAATCATTTGGTAACATAGCTAGAACAGAGTGTATAGCTATAATAGAAATTAGGTTTACTCTGATTTGTCGTGAATGATGGCATGATGATATTTTGCTATTTTTTGTCACCCATCATAGGACTTGCCTTCAAACAGACAAGTGACAGTGTAATTCTGTTCGTTGTGACAACTGAAACAGTTCTGTCATACAACACTTCAGCTAAAGATCGTAGAGTGAGTACAGGTTTTGGTTAGAAATTTTGTGGTTGTGTGACAATATAATGTCAAACTCTAGGAGTTGTCATAGACTTTCTAGTAACCATGTGATATATATTCTTTGTATATGTTCAAATTGAGTACAGTATATTGTCTGAGTTGATATAAAATTGAATTTTGCTTAAATCTCTGCTGTGGAGCTAAATCTCAGAATCCTTACAGTGATTATGCACCCTGTCAAATATTCTTTATCTTACAGTTGTTCACCCTTCAACTCCCATGAGTGACCAAGACAGAATTTCTCCTTACAATATCAATACAAAATCAAGAAGACATGTGATGAGAACCAAGAAAAGTATCAATTAGGGGATTATTAGTTGATCCAATACCAAATTCTCAGAAGTAACATCAGAAGAATTGTATTGCAGACAGTAAGGAGAATTACTAAAAAGATCTTTGGAGTTAAAGGGTTAAGACTTTCTCACATATGAGGCATTTTTATAGCAATTTGCACATGTACCTAGCTTTCAAAGGTCAAGGTTTTGAACACAAGAAGGGTTGAACTTGTTTGTGCAAAGAAACTAATTTTCAGGTATGTTGCTAAACCATCGCAACAGAAAGGGATTTTCTGGCTAAATTTGTCCTTGAAATTGCTGCTGTATTAGAGAATATGCCACAGCTCATAGTTATTTATTTTTAAAAGCAGATTTTCATCAATAGGATTCAATATTTTATTTCTAAATTTTCTTTTTAGGAAGTACTTGATGCTCATGGCTGTGAACTCCGTTGTTCTGTTATGAGTGATGCTTCACAAGAAAACCAATTTATTGTGGCACGAAAAGAGGTCAGCCTTACTCAGTGTACTTACCCTGAAATAATTTTCACTCTTTATTTGGGCACTTAAATGTACTTTTGGAAATTGACCATTAAATTGATAATGATTTTTCCCAGGCTTTGTATTTTTATCAAGTTGATGGCAGAGGTCCTTGCTTAGCATTTGAAGGTATTTCTGATATGTAAACAAATTTAAAATGTACTGTTATGCACTGTTATGATCAAGAGATTCAATAAAAGCTGGTTACTGATGGTCTTTGGCCTTGTGTAAGACCTCTGACAGCTGTCTGTTTAACCCACAAGTAGGCTCATGGACAATGCTGCCTATTTATTACCATCAGCAGCTGCTTATGAAAAAAGTTATTGAAGTCCAGCTTGATATCTTCTTTATATTAAAGAAAGAATAATTTTTTCTGCCTGTATTGGATGGTTAATTAATTAGAATTATGGCAGGTTAATGAAATTTTCTTAATTTAATGGCAATCCTAATTGATAAGTGTGTAAAAGAAATGGCGGGTTAGGATGTGGAACTTAATGTCTGGTCTACTGGTACAGTACATGAACCTAGAAGAATCTACAGCAGAATCTGAAAATTGCAAGAGGGCTGAATTTGACTCATCGATAGAAATAGTAGTCATGCTGTGCTTGGTTTGAGAACCTCTCCTTTTTTGCAGTGGTAATAACTTCAGTCTGTCAGAAGACATTATTTTCCTAGTCAGTAGCAAAGATTTGCCTGGAAAAATAAATCCAAGTTGGAGCTTTCTATGGAAGTGAGGCCTATAACTCTCTTTCCAAGTTCCAACTTGTGGCATAAAAATTCTGAAATATCCTTATTTTTTGTGACAAAATTTTCTCACAGGGCACATTGATTTTGAATTAACTATATTCCCTTAAAGTGATAAGCATCTAATTTCTCCAAAAAGTATTACCCCTGAATCAAATGTATAGGGAATGGCAAGGAGAACTTGCACATTGATGTAAGAATGTAAAGGGTTAGTAAGATATAAATCTGTTTTGATGCTGTGGCAGGTGAGAAACAGATGGTAACATGGTGGCGAGGGTATCTTGTTGTGGTCAGTAAGGATAACAAACAGATTCAAAGACCAGCAGTAGGGTAAGTTAAGTAATTCATAAAAGACTGTTAAATGGCAACTTTGAAAAAGCTTCAGCTGGGAGACTTCCAGGATATATGCAACTCAGTACTAAAGGCAGTAATGCTAAATAGATTTAAAAAAAAAAGTGCTGTTCATGTTTTTTGTTGATATTTTGTTTTAAATATATAATATTGGCTATGCTATTCTTTTCGGTTTGCAGAGGAAGCTCTCAACCAAGGAATGTCAATGTTGTCACTGTTTATGACATTCAAAACAAGTTTATAGGTAAGGGTTAGTGGATGCCAAGAAGAATGGAACCTTCTGATATTTGTCAAATAGTTGGAACATTGTGTGTGGTTTATCACATCTTTTGTAAAGAAGGGGAGGCCAATTACATTGGTAAATTTGTGATTTTCTTTTTGCAGCTTTTACTGGGACATTCCAGGGTGTAATTGATGTGGTATGTGAATGGGGCAGCTTGTTTGTGATCACAATGGAAAATAAGGTAAATTCAAGTAATTTTCTATTTTTGTATTAAATAATTATGCTAATAATTTATATTGATTTTGCTATGATTTATTTTTATTTCAGGCCAAGTAAAAATCTGATTTGCAAAAAACAATTATTGCACCCTGCAAAACACATTACATTCAAACATCTCTTGCTGGAAAATGTTGATGTTATTGAAGTTGAATTGAGCAAACCTGCACTGATTCCAAAAACTTTTAAAAAACTTTAGGTGCATACATGTAGTAATTCTGTAATGTATTTCCCTTTTTTGCTGGCAGATTTTTCAGTTAGAGGAGAAGGATACGCAAACAAAGCTGGAAATTCTTTTTAAGAAAAATCTTTATGCAATGGCAATCAGGTATTATATACTTGAAAAATTAACGTTGAATTTTTTTGAAAGAACATGTATGGAATTTTAATATGTATTGTAATGTTGGATCAAATGTATTTTACCCCTCCCTAACCCAAAAATAACTTGTTTTTGATTTGGGTTAGTGACTGATGATTTTTTTATTTTCATTTTCTTTTGTTTTTCTTTTTTTCTTTTTGTTTTCTGTTTTGTTCATTTGTCTTTTGTTTGTTTCCTTAAAGCTTGGCAAAAAGTCAGCATTATTCTGATGGACTGATTGACATCTTTACACAATATGGAGATCACTTGTACAGGTAGTGACTGCAATGAAAATTAACTATGTGCAATTGGTTTTTTTTTTTCTCAACTGTTCAAAGATGCATTCTTGGAGAATGTTGATCCTATTAGAGTCAGTCTCAGCATTGGGCCTATATGCCAGGGTTTCCTGGTTAGTCTGTGGAACGTGGAAGGACTTCTAGTTCATTCTTTTGAGGGATTTTGTCCATTCTTTGTTCATGTAGGGAATCTAGATACAACTTGAAGTTTCTCCTTCCAAATGAATATAAATTATTCTTTATCCAGTATAAAGTTGATGTCAGTAGACAACCCTTTAAAGGGTGCTAAGTGATCATGTTGACCCTTTTGACACTCAGAGTGACTAGTAATTAGTTCCTCCTCACTTCATCACCTGTAAATCAAACACTAAGGTAGTGAGATTAAGGAAATGATCCCCAACTAAAGGGGCCTTGTCAGCACCTTAGGAAATGTATAGAGAGCAGTGTGGAGGATATGTATACTGGTGTTAGGGTGTAAAGAGTTATTGCTAAATTCTTTAAGGTAGCTGTCTCGATAATTATCAAATTTATGGCTGATTACATGAAAAGCAAAATAAGTAAATACCTTTAATTAACTTACTAATAAACTAAATACCAGTGTACTAAATACATGACTATCACCAAGAGAACAATTATCTCTTTTCTCTCTTTACCAGCAAAGGGGATCATGATGGAGCAATAAAACAGTACATTAAAACCATTGGTCATCTGGAGCCTTCTTATGTCATTCGTAAGGTATTGAACCGTTTACAATGTGTATAATGTGATGTTATAACCATTTAACTCCAAGAAGTGATTACCATGTGACTTCTCCCTACATTATCCATACATAGTACAACAAACAGTTAATGAGAACACTCAAACTCCTCAGGTACAGTTTATTACCTTGATTGAACACTTAATTCTCATAATCAATTTACAAGGAAATGTGTAGTAGCTTGAGGAGTTGAGAATCAGATCTTTAAGCCAGACTGAAGGGCTCTCATCTAGGCCACTGTGTTCTAACAATTCAGAATCATTTGAAATTTTTAAATAGTGAAGGAAAAAGATGAGGCACAGGGTGAAAATTAGGGCAAAACTAAGTTTTAGTTCAGTTTTAATCTCATATAAAATAAAATTTAGTTTTGCAATGATTTTCATTGTTGGCCTTGCCTTTATTATGTTTCACAATGTATAGCAGAATCTCTAAAAAGGTTAAAATTGTCCCATGCAGGTTTCCAAACGTTCCTTGTCAATGTTAAAAGATAAATTTGAGTTGTGGAATTAAGCTCAATATTTAAATTATAAGTTTTTCACTTTTAGTTCTTGGATGCTCAGAGAATTCACAACCTTACAGCGTATCTTCAGGTTAGTGGAAGAGTCAACTGCACGCTGGTGATGTAATCATTCTGGTGTGGGCGTCTGTGCTACTATCCTCAGTCTCAATGACAACCAGCTGGTCACAATAAATTATTTCGAACCTTGAGCTATTGTTACTCAAAAATGTCATAAAAAATATTGTTGTTTTATTCATCCTTGGCTAGGCTCTCCACAAACAAGGTCTGGCCAACACAGACCATACCACTCTTCTTTTGAACTGTTACACCAAGCTGAAGGATGTCTCAATGTTGGATGAGTTTATCATGGTATGACTTAGGATCAGTAAATGAATTCTCCCAATTGTTCTCATACAAGTCTTATTATTGTTCTTTTGAGAATTTCTTGTCCAATCTGGATGACTCTGTATTTCCATCACATTAAGCTTGACACTACAGTGTAAGAATTTACATTCATTTCTCCTTTTTTTCCTATCAGACTGACAGGGAATTAAACTTTGATGTTGAAACTGCCATCAAGGTAAATGCTTGCACTACTGAGCTAAAAAAATTGTGTGAGAAAGGTACATTTTAAATCTTCTCAGGATCTTCATTTTTTTTCCTGTAATATTTGTTATTAATTTTAGGTGTGTCGTCAGGCAGGATATTTCAAGCATGCGGTGTATTTAGCGGAGAAATACGAACAACACGACTTGTAAGTTTAAGGAAAAAGGATCGAATGTTTGTAACATCAGTACGCACATTCTCTTTACTGTTCTCATTTTATATCCTAAGGTACTGACAGGGAGAATTTGCTATCAATCGAGAGCCTCTTAAATAAGTCATCACTTCTAATATTCTCGTTACCTCATTGTTTGATTTCCCTCCTCACCCCTCCCTCACTGGTGGTAAATTGAGAGTTAATTTTCTATAATCCCCCCCATTTATACTTTCTTGGCGACGACTGATACCCCTTCCATTCCCCCTGAAAACCAAATACCAAATACCAAATACCAAATCCCAAATCCTGACCCACCCTCCCCCAAAAAAACCCTCCGAACCCCACCTCCGCAGGCTATAGATAATGAATGGTCCATTGGAAAAATAGGTTTCTGATAGCGAAGGAAAGCACAACACTGCGTGGCCTATGCTCGGGAAAGTGGTTTAATCTCTTGCATTATTGTTGACTCGAATTTCCCTCTAATAGATATTTAAAGATTCAACTGGAAGACCTGAAGGATTACCAGAGAGCGCTGTCCTACATTGGAAAACTAGGATTTTATGAGGTACAGTAAATTTGTGTTTCGACTTTTAAGTGGTAGATACTGAAAGAATGAAGACGTAAAACTTTTCTGTCTTCATTTCAAGGCTGAAGGAAACATGAAAAAATATGGAAAGAGTTTGGTGAATGCTGTCCCTGATGAATCAACAAAGCTGCTGAAAGTTTTATGTACGGATTACAAGCCGCAGCGACTTCATGAACGTGAGTTTTGTTCGAGCATTTCGATTTTGTGTGGTCAACTCAATATCAAACAAATAACGTCGGCCAATTGGAACCAGGACCATCGTCTTAAAGGGTCAGTGAGAAATAACTGAACGCAAAAACTTGCAAACTTCCTAAAGCGCGGGAAAACATAAATTACCAAGTCGCTGTTGATTTTAGCTTGCATCTGATTGGCTGGGTAGGCGACGTGAGTTTCGTAGACCATTCACATAGCGAAACAATACAGTCCTGGTTGACTCCCAAAACGAGAAAAAAATCATAAAATTTCAAGCTGACGAATCGATTTTTGCGTTTTGAATGAGTGAAATTTTGAATGACTTCACTTCTCTTTGCAATCTGGTGATGTTATGGATCTTGTAGATTTTAAATCGTTATTCTCCGAAGGTAAATTGAGTTGGACAGATTTTGGAGAGTCGGGAAGGATAATATTACTGTTAACGTTGTTGTAGGAACAGTTTCCGGTTCTGTCACACCTGTCAGTGCTGGGGTTTATCAGTCCTTCACAACCGCTCTCGGTAAGCTGCTGTTGCTATTCAGTCACCATCCATGTCTCGTTACACGTCGCAAACCACGTCATACTCACGTCAAAGTCACAGTCAGCGTCACATCTCGTCCTCTCACATTTCTTGCATTGTTTACGTCAAATTTTGCCTCACTGTATACTTCAGACATATGTTTTGCCGTGGTATACATCATGTTATTTTTTGCGTCAATGCATAACCTCCATCTCCCTCATGGAACACAGCATTACTTCTTTCAAGCCTCACTCGCCTCGAAGGACTGTTCTCCATGAAATTTTACCTTCGTAGTAGACTTTCAAATGGTTCTAAGTCATGTCTTACTCGTCACGGTCACTCTCCAATCAGTGTTAGTATTGGTTCTTTTGAAAGACCACTAGTGATGGTTGGTGTCTCTGGAAAAATTTGGCTAAAATTTTCAATTTTATCCCATTCACTACGTGTCGATCTAATCAATTTTTTCTCTTCTTTTTGGTTTATATCCTTCAGTTTGGTATTTTTGCTGTCTTATCAAACAGATATTTTAGATTTATTTTGATATTTTTCTTGTCATAGTTAACCCGCCTCGTTGGAATATTATTGTGACACTTAGAAAACAATGAATAGGAGAAATACTGATCTGTAGGAATCGAACTAAACGATACACTATTTTTCTGGGTTCTCACAGTAACACACTGGGAAGTGTCAAGTAAAACTTGAAAATGAACTCTCCGCAGAATATCAGTTATTTCTTCGTTGCCATTTCACTCCTGTGATTCTGCCATTTACAGAAGCACAAGCAGTGATCCTTTAACCCCAAAGAGTGATTAGAATCTAATTTCTCTTTCCAGTAGCGCTCATGAATCAAACATTTAGGTCACGAGAATAAAGGGAATGATTACCTCTTGATTGTCAAACAAATTCTCCTTGTCATTGCCATTGGAAACGTGAAGAGAACAGTATGGAGAATATACATGTAATGTTAGGATGTAAAGGGTTAACGTTGTCTGAAGGTTCCACCAAATCTGATTAAAAGAACCTTCACAAATTATGATTTGTTTATGGTGATTTTCCTGCTGTCATGTACGTTTGATATTTAGATCCTGCATCAGATATGGAGAGGAAGATTTACAAGGCTCGCGCTGAAGAGTTTATTCACATCTTTGTTCATCAAAAAGCCAAACTGATTGAGTTTCTGGAACATATGGTGCAGGTATTGAGTCACTTTCAAATCACTACTGTGTCTGTCTTCTTTCAAAATTTGCGTAGGAGATACGAAATTCTGGTCAGCGAAAAGGACCTCATGTAAGAGGCCAAAGAACCCGAACATCATCATCGTGTTGTGTTTTTGAGTAAGACGCTTATTTCTCTCAGTGCCTTTCTCTACACATAAGTATAGCCTACTTATTTTAGGTAATTTATGGGCTCTCAGGGAATCGTTGTAAATCCTTCACATTTTCGTCCCGGATAGATATCATGTTAATAAAGGGGGTAAGTTCTAAAATAACTTAGTGCTGCGACGGTGGAAAAGTATAACATGGTAATTTAGTATTATCAATTGAGTTGGTAACGTATATTGGCCACCGTAAAGAGTTTCAAAGCTGACGTTTCGAGCGTTCGCCCTTTGTCAGAGGGAATGTAGGATATTATGTCAGCCGAGATACTTCCGATAGCAAACAAAAATTGTCGTGGGTGGTCGAGCACAGCTTTTCACAGCCCGCGCCGACCCTTTTCGCCCTGTGATTTTGTGTGATGGAAAAGTCTTATACAGGAAGCCTGAGATTTTGTGATAGATCAGTTATCAAACTTCAAGGAAAATGATTACATCCTTCTCAAAGTATTTTTACATTTGTTCGAGTTTTCTTTTTTGAAGGTTCAGCCTAATTCGTCTAACTTGGTGTATAACACTCTCCTTGAGCTCTATCTGAATGATGCTGCTCGTCAGAAGAATGTTGAGGCGCAAGTCGAACATGAACGTAAAGCTCTTGATTTGCTGAAAAATGTGGAGGTATGATCATGGAAATTGAATGCGTATTCATGGTTAAATCAATCGTACAACTCACAACTTACTGACATACATTTCCTTGTAATTTAGTGTAGAGATATGGTTTTCTATTCATAAAACACTCTATGGTCGTTAAGGTTATCTGTTGTGTTAAATTCCTGCCCACCGAATGATTTATCATCACTTTTTCAAGGAGTGTTTTCTTGGCTGAGGTTATGGCCGATATATTTTTACCTCTTCAGATTGGATGAGCATCCTGTCTTCGTACCTTGTATTTCAGCGGTCTTCGATGCGCAGGCATCGATTTACAAAGCTTCTAGATCAATGTCAGTATCTGAGCAACTGCGCCCTACCCCTCCCCCTCCCCCTACCCAACGACAGTCAACTGATGACAAGTTAAAGTCAATGATGGGCTAGGGGAGGGGTAGGTGCGAAGTTGCTCAGATACAGACATTAACCCAGGCTTCCTATGAAGTGTATCCACAGACAGACGCTGAAATGCTCACTTTGCAGCATCAATGATTTGCGAGTGTTCTTAGGGATTTTTTTTTTCATTAATCTTTTCAAAGGCTCGTTACGACATTGACCACGCCCTGGTACTCGCACAGATGCACCACTTCAAGGCTGGTATCCTGTATCTGTACGAAAAAGCCAAACTGTGAGTTCAAATCGAAGAAATTTTTAAGTTTATACTTGTTTGAAATACGGCTCAAGCTGTATTTATGCCAGAAAGTTTTCCTTCCTCGCACTCTCTCAGTTTTATTACTTTTATCTTTAATTTGGATAGATACCAACAAATCCTTCATTACCATATGGAGCAGAACGAATATAGTCACGTGATAGACACGTGCAAAAAGTATGGGTAAGTTTCGGGAACTTTTGAGAATATTTGGGAGAATCTGTGCTATGTTACCGATTATGTTATGGTGGGAACAAGCGAAAAACCGGCGGCGGTCATTAGTGTTTGTACTTAGGGCGGGAAAATTGTGTAACCGGCGTTATATGGCGGGAAATTTTGTGACTGGCGCCAAGAGCGGTAAAGCATGCCAGCAGCAAGGGCGGGAAAACATACGTGCACTACGGGCGGGAAAATGTGTTATCGGTTTTGCGCTTGCGCTAGAGACAGAGTCAATGGCACGAAGAGCTCAAGACCAAGTCGCGATGTAAGTTTTTGCTATGCTTCTTATAACTCAAATATTTAAATTTGCCTTAAAATTTTATTTTTAGGACGTCAGATCCAAGTTTGTGGGTGCAAGCTCTCTCTTACTTTGCCCGGCGTGAAACAGACTGCAAGTCCCAAATTAAGGAAGTGCTTGATCATATCCTTCTATAGAGTTTCTTAGGTTCCATGTAGTGCTATGAAGCATTTGTGTTTTATTGTGCATGATCGTGAGCTTAGACCGTGAAAGCGTTTTTCTCATCGCTTTTTATTGCGACTATCACTTTGCGTTATAGTATTGTCAGTTATAGATTGTAGTTGTGCGCGTGTTGGCATGCTCTGTATGTAAGAAGACCTCGTAACTAGGTGTATTGTTAGGTAAGACTGATATTTCCTTGACCGTGAGTCAAATATCGACCGTGGAAACCTCATGTCACCTCTACTCGTGTTGCAAAACTTGGCGCACAATTCAACAGCCACATTGGCAGTGGTGAAGGTAAGAAACAATTACCACTATGAGGGAAGCGAAATTTATCGTCATGAATTAGCGCCAATACTCCTCCCAGTGACGTTGTCAGCCTTAGTGAAAGTCGGTAAGGAGGGGGCGAGTAAAGAAAGGCAAGGAGGCTTTGTGTACTCAAAGTTGGAAAAAAAAAAAGGCAACATGCTTGAATCGCGGGAAAACGCAAGTGACCAAGTTAGGATTGGTTTTACTATTGCATCTGATTGGTCGAGATAGTGGCGCGAGTGTTTTAGACCAACCATGGAGCGAAGTAAAGCGAAACCAAAACAATCAGAATCAATTTCAACGCTAAATTTGAAATCGCTCAATCCAAGGGAAAGTAGCTTTAAAATCTGAATTTTTTAGCTCAGTATTGGAAATGAATGAAATTCTAGAAATTTGCCTAATTTTTAGTTTGAAGTGAAATAATCTGGGCCTTATCACAATGTTCTTGTCAACTTTACGTGAACTACGAGCATGTTTCTTTTAAACCTCTTGTTAATCAATTTATGCGACTTTGACTACCCACTGAGAACTTCTCTTTTACAGGACTACATCATACGTCGCTTGCAAATGGAAGACGAACTTATCGCAAATGTAAGAGCAAGGATTTTTCCTCTGCTACCTTAATCGTCTCTTAATTTTAAATACTTATACTATTTTTTTTCTCTTTAAGAAGGTCTTTCTATGTGCTTTTCTCTAGGATGAGCGTTATATCCGACAATATCGCGAGGAAACGGAAAAAATGAGGAATCAAATTAAAGAACTGAAGACAAGGTAGCGGTAATATCGTAAAAGCGGTTATTGTTCATCGTGGTGGCAGTAGTTTCTTTGTTGGGCTAATACTTGTTTATACTTACGATAGGATGTAAAGGTTTAAAGCACTAACTTATTTGACCTAGCTTAATCATGCAATCTATTTTACCAGTGCAAAGATATTCCAAGGTGCAAAATGCAGCGTCTGTTCCCGACCTTTGGACCTGCCGGCTGTACATTTCTTGTGCCAGCACTCATTTCACCAAAAGTAAGTGCAGCATGTGCGGCGCATTTTTTTTTTTCACGTGGTTTTGCTTCGCTCGAAGTCATGACCTATTTTTTCATTATCTTTATTTTGTAGCTGTTTTGAAGGATACGCAGAATCAGACAACGAATGCCCGATATGTGCTCCGGAAAACAGGTGAGGGTAATTTTCAGTTGTTTGACTAAAAGGGTCCTAAAAAAACATTTTAATTTATGGTCTTTTTGAAAGAGAACCTGGGAGCTTCCTGAGCAGCTGACATGTTTTTGAAAATTTACCCTCTGGTCCTTTTTCTTGCGCTTAAAGGTTCAAGTAGATTTAAATTTTGAAATAAAGGTAGGGTCTGTTTTCTCGTTTTGGGAAGTCTTCAAGCACAGATTGTCATCGTGGATTAAAGAATCCATTTTTTTTCAATGATTTGCCAAAAGATGTAAAGCGGGTAGATGAAAAGAAGATAGAAGGATGAATTGCTAATCAGATCCTCGAAGTCGAAAGGTTAACACTGAGATTTCGTTCTGTTTCAGAAAAGTACTTGACATAATAAGACAACAGGAGCAGGCGAAGGATCTTCATGAACAATTCCATTGCCAGGTGAGGACGAAATCTCCCGGAGATTTACGACAGCTTTCCGATGAAAATCCGAAGACGGATCGCCCGTCTCAAAACAATTCGGACTAAGGCATGATTTTTGTTCATTTCAGCTGGAGAGAGCGGCGGATGGGTTTTCTGTTGTGGCTGAGTATTACGGACGCGGTGTTTTCAATAAGGTTTGTTTTTTCTTTGATTAGACGCACTTCATAGGAGTATATCCTCTTTTTTAATTAGTTTCCACTACGGATCTCGTTTTAACGAGACTTAACTAAGGGACAGACGTGCCAATCTTTGTAAAATGCCCAGAAAGATAGCATATCATTGTATTTCTTTCAACACATACTCCTGGGAATATACTTGTGGGTGAATTTGTGTAACTTTTTTCTTGAATGCCTATGAGATGCATAATATGCTACTGACCTGTTTGGGCGCTATAAGAGATTCATGTTGGAAGGTAATGGACTGTCCAAAACAAGTGGTACAGTTGTAACCTTTGCCAAGAATGTCTCTGCGGCCAAAAGTTCATGGAGGTGCATGCTTACGTGCGTTGGTTTTAAATATATATGCCTTCTGACCGGTTTTTCTGACTTTACAATCACCACCACCCGGTGGAAACCATTACTTTCTGCAGCATCAGTTCGGGAATTTTCCACGGGAAAAATTCAGCGGTTGAGACGTGTTTGATTAAATGTTCACAACAGTTCTACGCAATAGTTCTTCATATTTGCTTTTAGTGATAAACTTATTAGCTTGTATCGAAAGGATTATACAAATTCACTCCACACAAGCTTTTCTAAAAAATCGGCACCTACGTCAAATGGTCGAGTTAGAAGTTTTTTCAGGCACGCAAGCGCTGGGTGCGTAAAGGGAATTAAGGCAAGCGCACCAAAGGAATTGAGGCATTATTGCTTATCAATGTCCTTTTCAGAATTGGCGCCGTAGAGATTTCCAGAGTTGGCATTTCGAGCGTTAGCCCTTCGTAACTGCGAAAGAAACTCGCTGACGAAGGCCTAACGCTCGAAACGCAAGTTTGCATGATCAACTCAGTTAATGAAAACAATTCATCCTTTTAACAATGTCAAAACAAAAAATTGTAATTTCCTGCCAACCATTTAAAAACGTTGGAAGATGTTGCCAGGGATGGCCGAGATAGATGCACGCAATCCCGAACGTCATCACTGACGAATTCAAGCTGGCCCTAACAAGTCGTAAAAGTTGTTTTTTCCTACCATTGTTTTGGATTTATCTCCTTTTGAACGCTTATCGTTCGATGCCTTAATATCATTGTGTCTGATGGAGGAAAAATACTGAGTACTCTCTTGACCTCATTTGAAGCTACAACTAACCTTAACACTTAAACTCCCAAGAGTGACCAAGACAGAATTTCTCCTTACAATATCAATACAATGTCAAGAAGTGAAAAGAATTAAGGCAAATATCATTTGGGCAATTGTTAGTTGATTTAATACCGAATTCTCCAAACTAACATCATGAGAACTGTATGGCAGACAGTAAGGAGAATTACGTTAGAGATCTGAAAGGGTTAATAGAGGGAGAGTTGTGGGAAAAGTCTGTGAATGAAAGAAAGTCGTGAACACTTATTGTCGAGTCATGAAGGAAAAGTGTAATTTGAACATGCTTAAGACAGACAATCAAGTGATTTTATGGCTTGCAGAGATGAATTCGATGGTTTTTTTTCAAATTGCTGAAAGGAAAACCAGGATTAAGAGTATTGTTGTCTTTGTAGTTTATTTTAACCCTAAAATGTCAGGGCAATTTTTTGAATTACCATTTATAGTTTTGTAACATAAGGAAAACTTAACAGTATTCGTGTCTCGCTTCTCAAAGGTGTTTTCATTGACAGAAAAATAGGAAAATGTTGTGAACATCTTAAATACTTTCGAAATTTTAAGTAGGAGCCTTCTACTTTTCAAAAAATGAGAAAACCTGCCATTGTTCGTTCGAACTTCAATTTCCTCTCAACTCTTCCGAGGTGGTGAAAAGACGAAAGGACATCTGCGATTTATACACGCAATACCAGAAGTCATGACGAAGAAAGTCTACAAAAGGTTATCCTCCGTGAAAAAGATAAAGCATATCAAGATTTAGCTATTAGCGAAGTCTTTTTCAAACATGGTTTTTAACGAAGTAATTGCTGGTTTCCACGTCCTATTCAATGTCATTGGTCTTCCTGGCAATCTACTTGTTATGGTGACGATCGCATTTGAAAGATTCTGCATCATGCGACATGTTTTACTTGCGAGCCTTGCATTGTCAGATTTCCTATGCTTGATTCTCGTGAACTCTTTCTGCATTTTTAGCACAGCACAACAGAATTGGTTGTACGGAAAAACATTTTGTCGCCTCCATCCAATCTTGGTGCGATATTTCTACGTCAACACGGCATTTCATCTGATAGCTGTATCGTACGAGCGATACAACGCCATAGTGAAGTCACCTTTGACCTACAGTGCCGCTATGACTAGGTCCAGGGTTGTAGGGATAGTTCTTATTTGGTTACTGCCGACTGTAGTCTTCATCTCTCCCGTTTTCGGTGTCTGGAGGTATGTTCAAAACCCCAAACTGTTCCTGTGCGAGCAAGCGATTTCTTCGGGAAGCATCATCATTGCGATTATTCTGCTAATCCTCGGGGTTGTTCCTTTCATCATAGTCGTCCTTCTGAATAGGCAAGTTGTGAAGACGGCGAGAAACCTACAGCGAAATTCCTTAGCCTTGCAAATGGGCAGCATCGAGGGCTCCGACCTAAATCAGCAACAAGAGATGCTCAGTAGGCACAGGGAGCTGAAAGCTGTTGTAGATGTAGCCATCGTCATTGCCGTGTTTACGTTCTGCTTTCTTCCCGGCTGGGCTCTAAGTGTAAGCCGTTTGTATTATGAAAATGTTCCGGTCGCAGCCATTTTAACCACAAGGTGCATATTCGCTGCAAGCTCGGTTTGCAACCCTTTAATCTACTCCATTCGAAAAAGAGAATTTCGAAGTGGGGTGAAGATGGTGTTGAGGCGTATTGGAAGAGCATTTGGAATTTCGTTCGGCACCGACAGCACAATCGTTGTTGACAATTTGGCATGTGAAACACGTGCTCGTAACTATGCCTCCACGGCAACAGCACAAGAATTAAAAGTCATTCGGTCTCTGCGTGGAAGGATTTCATGTGGCACAGACGACACAAGGGGCATGAGAAACTCGGATTTTGAAGCTGGCCACCGAAACAGTATCTCCAGCGTAAGACGACAAAGATCACGGGCCATCCAGCCTCTGATTGGAAGAACTCCAAGTTGTTCAGAAGACTCGATAGTCGTGGACAACTCGACTTTTGAAGCAAGTAGTTCGACTTTTGCAACCAGCCTTCATAAGAAACCTTTCACAGGAAAACCAAGGGCAAAAAAGTCCATTCACCCTATTTATAGAAACACCGCACCGCATTAGTGTCTATCTTATTGAAGTTGCCTTCCAGCGATTGAAGACACTAACATTTCTTAGCAAGAAATTCTTATAGTTAATCGAGTAATTTTCAATAGAGTATCAAAAGTAATCCTAGATAGCTTTTGGTTTTGCTTTACTCCTTGTAGTGATTGGTCCAAAACCTTCTCAACTAATCAGACGCCAAACGAAAACCAATCGTGATTTGGTCGCCCGTGGTTTAACGCGCTTTCGGTAGTTTGCCCGTTTTTGATCGTCCGTTTTAATTATTTTAGTTTCAGTTCAATTAACCGCAAGGATTGCTAAAATAAATTATAAGCATGAGGTTTATTTTAAGCAATACTGAGTACTTTTCGGGCATTATTCTGTGGCCGTTTTCGGTCGCTCTGGCCATGATATAAGGCAGTCTTGAAGTTTTGGAGAAGCCTTTAAAATTTGGTAAATCAGTTCACAAGTTCTAGAAGAATGTCTGTCAAATAAAGATATCGTCATAAGAAAAGGTTGTAGATTTGATTTTGATTTGACTTTAGGAACCGCCTTGTGAAATCTTTGCAAGGTCGCTGAATAGAATCTACCTTAATTCCACCAGCAAAAACGTTTTAAGTAGTGTGATTGGGGTATTCGATTTTGTGCCTTACCCTACAAAAGTACATTTTTGGGCAGGCTGTGTGATTTTATTCATGGCCCCGACTCGGGAAAATGGGTATTAAGATTTGTCGAAAGTCTCGCAAAGTCTTGAAGTTCAAATTGCATCCAAAAATTTGTAAGAATCCTTGAACCCTTAAATCCTTGTAACTCCTAATAGTGACTAAAAGCAAATTTCTCCTCGCGTTATCACTGCTGTATGAAACATTTAGGTCATGAGGACGAAAGAAATGATCGCCAACTGAAAGAACTCTTGACTGTTAGTCAAATTCTCCTTGTCATAACCATAGGAAATGTATAGAGAACAGTATGGAGAATATGCACACCGATCTTAGGGTGTGAAGGGTTAATAGCGTTTAAAGGGGTGTTCAGTGCGCACGCTGTAATCGGGAACGAAAAACGAAACGGAACAACGAGTCGTTTTACGGTCGCTTTGGAATCACCAGGGCACTTCCCACGCTCTCTTGTGTGTTTTCGTTGCGTCAAAGCGCGATATGGCGTGTGCGCGTCTTCTAATGGCTGAAAAAAACCAATTTCCTCTTTTTGAATCGGAATAATACTCCGCCGGAAACAAAGTTGTTTGTAAACGCCTTTCAGGGTGTCAATGTCTAATTCGGAACTTTCCGTTAGCGCTGACATTACTTCTCTTTTTCTTTTGTTTATCGGTCTAATCCCTTTGAGGATATTTATAATCTAGTTTTGTGCTTGCTCAAGGGTGCAGTCAAGCGTTTCTGCTGCTTACAAAATCTAAATAATCAGCTATTTAAGACTGACTGTAAATTTTTCGTTGTCATTTTACAGGTTACAGTGGTTACTGACCCGAACCTCTCACGAGGAGAGTCGTCTCGCGAAGCTGCTTCAGATCAGCGCGAGAGACTTTTGAACACCTCTCACAGCTAGCTGGAGGGCAGTGCCGATGAGCCTTCGTTGCTCATGGTACGCGGTGGTATCATTGGGGAAATGCGGAGAGACGTGCATTCCTTACCGAAGAAAAGAAGTCTCTTGCGAAGAAAATGAAATAATTTGTTAGCAAAATAATTATGACTAGATTTTGAAAATGTTTGAGAGTCTGGTTGATGACGAAGTTGCAATTCGTGTTGATCTAATCGCTACTTTTGTCGCGTTCAGAATAAACCTTACGGTGTTGTGGCTATTTTGAGATCATAATATCATGAGCACGCTGAATTTATTCAAAGTGGTCACCGCCTAGATCAATGGCCTATTCTTTTGATTTGTTGTTGAATACCTTGATTTCGGTTATGGACCAATCAAAATGAAGGCACATGGAGAGCGGTGTCGTGTCTCTCTCCTCAGAAGTAGCGCCCTTTCGAGGAAAATGGGCCTACTTCATGAAGTCAAGGCGGAAGGACGAGATTTGCCTCAATGTCGTGCCCGAGACCCAGTTTACCAGCTTTACGTTCAACCGTCGAACAAAAGCCAAGGACTTTTCTAGCGACACAGTGGTCGCCCATTAAAATATTCATATCACGCTACTGATACAAAGTAACGGACCGTCTGAGCGGTAATAATGACGATCTTGTTTGAAATTTTAGCAATATCTTGATAGGGGGAAATAACGATTAGTTAATTGTGTTTTTTTGCAGAGAACACTGCAGTCGAATAATTTTTTATGGTAGCCTTAACAAGTCCTGTATTTGAATAAAATTTTTATTCTGAACAACATTCAATTTTACAAGGCCTGTTTTAAGAATCAATGAAGAAATGTAAAATGGTTTCCGTGTTTACATAGCCTGATGTAAACACTTGGGAGGTTGGGAGAACACGAGATAAGCGTAGGAAACGTTACTTGCGCAACGAGCTTGGCCGAAAAGTAAGGACTACTCGTGATGTAGTTTTGAGTTCATAGTTCATATTTCAGCCCTAATACGTGTACCTAGCCTATGATAAGATTATCAATATTTTCACGGCTGATGAGGAAAAAAAAATTGGTATTATCAACTGAGTTGATAACATAAATTGGCGAAGGAGGAAACGTGGGTTATAGGCGTGCTTCTATGCATAAAATGGACCCACGCTATTGGTGGGAACATAGCAACGACGAAAACAAGAATAGATTAGTTGAATGAAAAGCGTTCGTTAACACCTTAGGGATTAAGAGTGCCGATTTGAAATATAAATTTTTGTTCTTCAGTCTTGTCGCTTTCCGAACTGCTAAGACTCGATGGGGGGAAGAACCTTTCGTCTCGTTTGTGAGAAGTGTTTATCGATGGCAGAGAATGAAGATTGTAAACATTTGATAAAGGAAAGGATTTATCGGTGAGAATTGTGATTTTGAAAAATATAGATTTTGCTATTAGGTGTTCGAAGGCCAATTTCCTTTCAATTTTATCTAAGGTGTCGAAAGAACGAAATGGAATCTGCGATTTATACACGCAGTGAAATTCATTCAATGGTTAAGTCTGCTAAAGTTTAGGCCGTGTCATGCACCACTTCTCTGCTTTCGCTGAGGTTCTTTCCTGCAAATCTCGACTTCGAAATTATTTTGCTTAAACGATTTCCGAACTTGATATCATTAGAGCGTCCTCAAATTCTTTATATTCGTGAAAACACATCTAACACCTGCTCGAAACACCTTATTTTCAGATGCTTTTTTCTTTATTATTGTTGTATTTGATCTTATGGTTCTGGGACCTCTTCAATCGAAGAAAGATCACTTCTGTAAAGTCTTACTGCAAATTGTTTTACGCCGCCATTAACTTGAAGTTCTTTATTCCGCTGTTCTAACGCAGGTGCGGCGGTTGTTCTTACAGTGAAAACTTCACCCCGGAAAATGAAAAGAGATCTGAAATTGTCAGTAATAACCTCTGTTTCCCTGATGTCATTCAAGCAGGCTCTGCACATTTCACAAATCCGCCCCCAGATATTTTTTACTCCGGCTCGAAAATCCCTCTTACGGATGGAGTAAATTATGGGGTTACACCCAGTGTTAGCTAAAAAGATACAGTTCACCACAATTATTGCCTCAGCTGGAAATTTGCTGCTCTCGATGTGAAGACGATATAGACCAGCGAACCAGTAAGGAACATAACAAACCAGAAAAGCCGAGATGATAATGGTAACATCAACAGCTGCCTTCCGCTCGTTAAATCTCCTTGCTGCATTTCGCGGTTGGCTTTCGGAATCTGAAAAACATCCTAACTGGACCGCAGCTATTGCGTTTGCGTGCAAATTGTTTGCCGTCTTTAAAACTGATCGGTTCAGAAAAAAGATCACGAGAAAGGGCGAGAGAAAAGAAGTCACGGCGAAAACACTGATGAGTATTTTGGAAGTGGTGTTGTTTACGGACCATCTATGTTCGCAGACGAACACCTCAGGGTTATATGTATATAGTAACTCTCCCCAACCGAGTAACGGACCAACGGAGAATGGTACCGGCATCAGCCAGATGAGAGCCAGAGACAGCACCCTGCACTTAGTTATCTTACCATTGTATGTCAAAGGAGATTTGACAATGGCCTTGTATCGCTCATAAGATACAGCTATCAGATGAAGAAGTGTATTTAGATATAAGCATCTCCCAAAGAAGGGATTGAGATAACACAGAGTCTCGCCAAACGGCCATCTTTCTATTGCTGTACTTGTTATTCGGGGAGAGTTGACCAGGATTAAGCAGAGCGCGTCTGAAACTGCTAGGCTGGCGAGATAAATATAACGCATCACATGAAGTTTTTTCTCCAAGACGACCGTGGCTATCACCAGTAAATTTCCAGAGAGACCGATGGCGTTTAAAAGAGAATGAACCACTGCCATGATTTGAAGGAAAACCATCCTGTTGACAAATACTGTCGAGTAAGACGTCAACGGGTTTTTGTTTTTGGTTTGGCGTGTCCGAAAAAACGTCAAAAAAAGAACTTTTGTCTCTCAGTTCATGTTATACCCACGCTCTTACTTTGGACGCGATCTTTTCTGCTCTCAGTTGTCTAAAAGAGATTATTGAAAGTAGTTATGAAAAAGAAAGCATTTATACAGGCCCAAGTGGTCCATGAGGCCGGCGCTTAACTCCGGTTTCCTTTAGCATGAAGCGGCTAGGAGTATTTCTACTCCCCTCTGGATGGGATGCTAGTCCATCGCAGGGTTACCCCCAGCTTATTTGCTGGTACCCATTTGTACACCTGGGTGAAGAGAAGCACTGTGAAAGTAAAGTGTCTTGCCTAAGAACACAACAAAATGACCCCGGCCAGGGCTCGAGCCCGGACCACTCGATCCGGAGTCGAGCGCACTAATCATGAGGCTATCGCACCTCTTAGAGTTATGAAAAACAAACTTGAAAATAGAAGGAAAAAAAACAACTGTTTTTCCACGGGTTTCTTGGCGGATTTTTCAGTGTACTATCTGGTTCATAATCTACTTTCCTGAGCCATCAACAAATTCTAATGAGTGAAGAAATCGTCTCATTTTAAATCAATTCAACATTAATAGGCCAGAAACACAGCCGTTCACAGTTAAAAATGGATTACGAGATCTTTACAAATGAGAAAATTTATTAGGCCATGAAAAAAAAAAAATTAATAAATAAATAAAAAAATAGAAAAGTGTGGTGAGATTGCCCAAGTCGAAGACCAAACTTACCGGTTACTGATTGAATATCATTTCTGTCCAGAAGTTGATTTTAAAAATATAGATAATTACAAAAAATCCTCCGTCATGCGTTAAAAGATATTATCCACCCACAAAAACATCGATCGGACAGCTGAATTTCTGACGGCAGGATAGTATTCATCCAAATCATCGCGGTGTTTCAGTCTCCTTTGGCGTCATCGGTCTTCCGGGACATTTACCAATGACGGCACCGGTTTTCTTGGAGAAAAGATATCATGTGATGCGGTATGTTCATCTCCTCAGCCTCGCAGTTTCACACTCTACTTTATTATAGTTAGCTCGTTGCGAGTAACAAGGACAGCGCTTAAAGGAAACCTCAAAAGTCAAAATGGAGAATTAAGGGGAGGAGATTAGAATGCAACAGAGCCTTAGAGGCTCAGCGTCCCCCCCACCGCACGGCTATGAACAATAAATAATAACTAGTCCCATATAAGAGTTTAAGTGTTGGCCTCACTTACAGGCACTCTCCCCAGTCTTCTGGGCTCGCGTAGAAAGATATCGAAGCTGGGCTGTTGAGGTCAAATTAAATGACATCGCATTTGATTAAAAACAAACAAACAAACGATAAAAATAATCAATTTTTTTTTGGTTTCCTACTGGAGAACGTTAAGGGCCTGCAGTTCGTAAGTGATTTAACTTTCTCTATGAGAATGAATTTTAACATGACCATGTTGAATTTGCTATCAAGTTCGTGCTGGTGTAGTTTGAAAGGATGGATGAACCACAACTTGTTTTTCGGAAAGTAGACAAACCAGAAAAACCTGCTATCAGTGACTCGCGGGTCACCTTTGCGTACATCTCCTGGAATATAGTAGCCCGGGAGTCGACCGATATTGTCATTTCTTTCCAGGAAACGAATCATAGTTGGAATGGCAATTTCCAGAAAAACTTTTCTTTCGTAGAAAATCTCTGAAAGTATTGAAAATGCTTTGGCGTGTTTGTAAGGAATGTACAGAATATCAGAGCGGCCACTGAAACATCGTAACGTCCCGTTACTGTTCTTAAAGAGAGCGCTTATGTGATATTTTACGTTGAGTTTTTTCGGCCCCGAGTTCATGTTCGCCACGTCTTCGCAAGCTCTTCGGCAATTGTTCAAGCCGTACGGAGATATCCACCAGTACCAGTTACTGTTCGCAGGCTCATAAATAGGCGTAGAACCAAACGAGAACGAAGATTCCCAAATTTTTCCTCTGTCAAAATCCAGGAAATTCCAATAATTAAGTATGACGTCATCGTTTATATAAAAATACCCCTTGTATCCCGGATGTTCCCTTATTGCCCTACCAAGACACTCATATCCTAAAATACCTCTGTAAACATCGACAATTAAAATTCCAGAACGTGTTGTATTATGAGGAGGACCACAGAATAACAAATGAGGAAAGGCTGGTCTGTAAAGAGCCGCTAGATGAGGAATACTGTCATAAAGTGGATAGTTGTAAGCAATAACGAGTAAAATTTCTTTAAAGGCATCCTTTAAGCAAGGGCCGTCGTTCTCCATATTCATTCGAGGGCTTTCATTTGATAGTGCTTTGCTAAAAGATCGTTGACTGCTCGATTGTTCCATGTTACGACTTCTTGTGCAACTGTAACCTGGCATATAAGAAGGAAAAAATAAATGAGACAGGTTTTTTTCTCAGATCTGCAACTCGATGTACGGAAACTTTATAATGGTGCACTGTCGTTTCAAACAGCGCGGAGCCTTCGCACGTTAACCCCCAAACTCCCAGAAAAGATCAACATGTAACTTCTCCCTGTAAAATTCATACATTCTCCAGCAAACAGGTAAAGAGAATATTCAAACATTAACGTCTTGTAACTAATTGAAAGGGAAATGTACAGCAGCTAGAAGAGAGAATTAATGATCAGATCGTGGGAGCCAAAAGGTTAGGATAACTTTCACACACTGGTGCAAATTATTCACTTAAAAATCTACTAGGATTATATTTGAGATGATACGTTTTACACAGTCCGATAAGAAACCTGAACTCGAAAGAATGGGAAAAGGGAAGCTGATTCGGATATTTTTTTTAGGGACATGATTTGAAGTTTCAAGGCATTTTCCAATACTAATTATGTAAGGCTGTAGACAGTTCGAAAATTGCTAGATCTTTTACATCATGTACACCACATCATTTCTCTATGTCTAATGTCTTAACCATGGAATGAAGTTTCTGCACTACCGTTGACTTTGTGGTGGCTAAATGCCTCTGCATGACAATTCCCTTACCTGAGTAAATTGCCAAAATAACCATAGCAACAGTGCATGCAAGACATAACGGCAATCGTCTCAGGAGAAATCCTTGAACAGGAATGCAACATGTGGTGTGAAGCATTCCTCTGAATGGAAAAACAAACCCAAACAACATGAAAAGTTTAAAATCACCTCTCAGAAAAATATGATAAATTTGCATCTGGGAATAACAGTGAATCTTGTGGTCAGATCCTTCGAAGGAGGGCAGCCGGCATATGCCGACTGTAGCCTTCAAAGACTGTGGAGATTTCAAAACCGTTAGCAGAAGTTACTATCAAGTTCAAGGAAACTAATTAGGTCTTGACTCTGACAGTGAATTCCCATACTGATTTGTACTCCTGAGCTGAGACAAGTGGAGCATTGAGTCTCCTTTCACTTAAGAGTCGTTTCTAGGAACAAAGCAGAACTCCCGCTTACAGTTCGAACCCAGACCTCTCGTTCTGGTGTCCTAAATACCAACTAGCATTAGGTTTGAGGCTAACACACATAACACGATACTAATAGATCATAGATACAAAGAAGATCTCCTGCTATTTACAACCAAAATTGAATCGAACCGTTAATCGCGACCAGAAAATTCAAAGCGATCGGCTCAATGATAGCTTGGTTCAAATTTCGTTGAAAGACACACAGTTTCAATACTAGAATTAAAAGTTGTCTTAAAATATGGTGAACTCTCCAAAAACACTTGTGACTGTAGTTTGCGTACATACCTCAAAAATTTCTCGCTAAATTCCAGTAGAAAAGTTAGATTCCATCTATGTGATTTGCAAATAATTTTTCATGACTGGTTTGAATCCAAAGTGACCTGTTGCACTACCCACAAGGTTTCTGGTGGCTTTGCTCTTAAACCGAAATGCAGGTAGGGAATGCAGGTGGTCGATTGTCCGCCATTGTCTTTACTTTGCCAATTTCGCCTCATTAAGACGATTTATTTTATCGTAGGGAAGTACTTATTTAAATTCCAGAGATGATAAAAACCTATTTTCTCCTTACAATGGCGATGCGTCATTTGACCAACTGGTTGTGAGAGTGGAGAAACTAAATGATTAGTTAGTGGGGTTGATACCTTGATTTAAAATCAAATTGTCTGAACTTAACACAAATAATTTCCACTGCGAGATTCTCCGTGTCCTCAACCTTCTCTTTGCATAGATATGAGCCCTCGATACTGTTGAGCAGTTCGTAAACCTTTGAATCTTTTCAATACATCTTGAATAGTCAAACTATTAGTAATCGACTGAACATCTTGATTTCACAGTGAGGAAGTTCATTGTTCAAAAAACTTCTCCCTGAAAATATCATAGCAAAATAACTTATATTACCGAAGATGAAGTCATCCTAAATTGATTTTATCAACAGATCTAAATAAGAGTAGCATAATATCTACCTCATTTAGGTCTATGTCTGAAATATTGTTAGCTCAGACAACACTTGCTAAACTAAACTTTGTGATTTTGTCAAATAAAGGTTGTTTTTATGATTGCTGTTATAATTTCCTATGTAATATTTACTAGTCTCAATTTTCAACGCCATTTTGAAGCTCGATCTACTGAAACAGAGCTGGAAATGAAGTCGCGCTGAGAAAGTAATTAATATCCATTTTTTAAAATTTACTCACCTGTCAAATTGTGCTTCTTATGTAAACGGAAGTCAAACAGCGTTTTAACAGAGTTCTCTGGAAAATCAATTTCCTCCCGAAATGAGTAGTGGTGCTGCATTTCTTAACCAATGGACAAAAACGAACTTTCGTTTACATTAATTTAACAGCTTCGATTGTCTTCTCGTTGGCCTCTTTAGCAAAGCTTCATTTATCAATGCTCTTCCCTTATTAAAACAATTTTGATTTTATCACGCTTAAGTCCGTTTTTGTCTTCTCGGGTTTAAACACGAGGATCTCTCTCTCCCTCTTTCTGATATCATTAAATGTCTTAGTTGATTTTCTCATTTTCCCAGCGACGTCAGGCTTAAGAAGATTATAAAATGCGATTCTGATCACCAACTCTGATCTTTCCCTTTCACGAGACTAGAACAGTCGATATTGATGTTAGTATTTAATAAGCGATCTGAATGTAAATTTTCAATATAGACGACAATTAGAGTTGAGATGATATTCCTTGACTGGGAAAAAACCTTAATTTTCTCTTTCATATGTCTGCAATTCAGAACTTTTCAATGGTATTTTCTCAGAATTTAACTCAATGCATTCTCAGGCTTTTACACTCCTCGCGATTTTCGCATGTTTCATTCCAGCGAAGAAAAAGAAAAAGCACAAAATACCAAGCTATTGATCAAATTTCACAATCGCCTTAAACAATGTCAACATAAGCTATGTTAAACGTGGCTGCCAAAGTTTTGAAACATATGCTTACGATACGGTAAGGCAAAGGTACTATCAATTTTCAGAGAGATGCTGCAAGTAATTTTACCGCGATATCTAAATAAAGCTTTCAAAATTTAGATCAGGCTAGGATTGAAGCCAGACAAATTTTTTAATTGAACAGTTTTCCCCTTTCGCAATCAGTGATAGTTGTAAGCCTTTGTAAAATGTGACAAAAACTGTTTAATAGCTGCTCTTAAAGGTAAACAAATCTCGATAAATCGAGCTTTCAGCTGCAAACATTTGTGTTGAAATTTTATGAGTTCAGTCAGTGTATGTGCTCGAATTTTTCACCTGGCTCCATAAAGAAAAAAAAAGGTTAATAGCCGCAATAGCGATGTTTAATGTTGTACACATAAGCAGAAATAGGTGAAATATCTTTTTATTAAAAAAAAAAACCAATGTTTGGTTTACCTATGTTTGGTGGAATTGTCGCCAACGATTCTTTGGTCTACATCTGAAAAGATAACTTTGTTTGACAGCCAATGTTGCGCAAATTTGACGGAAAAGTTTACATCTTCAAGGATAATAGCTGACATTAAATTGAAATGGCTGTGTTATTTTATTGGAACAGAAATATCTCGGTTTTAAATTGTCATTGAATTGATTTGAGAACCGAAGTCAAAATCTCTTAAAACTGATCATTCTTGTTTCGAAAACAAAAGAACCCTTAAAACCTGCAAATATGTCAGCTGACTTTACTAGAAGATGGATGAATGTTTAAATTGTACAAAGTTAAATTCACAGCTCCAGTGGAGGACGTCCGACGTTTCTTCAAAAAAATTGCTTTCATTGCCTGCCTAAATTTAGGAAGTCGCCAAGCGTAGATAAACGGATCAATGAGGTACTTGAGAAATAGAGTCGTGTCTATAGTAATATTCGCCATTGTAGCCTTGATTTGTGCTTCGTAAGTCTCTGGTCTCCAGTAAAGCGTCAAATACCACATAACAGTCACAGGAACGACAAAAATCAGTAGACATGTAGCAAGAAGTAAGCTTACCACAACAAAATGTTTCTGGTCTCGTTTTCTTCGATATTCTGAAGTGCCATCGATCTGCCACGGAGATAAACGAGCAACTTGACGACGGTACGAAATGTGTAGCGCAATATACGAGAGGAAGACGAGAAAATTTATGAAGGACAGATTAAAAAATACGTCTATCTTTTGGATAATTTTCTCTGGAATGCCCAGTAAAAACGAGCAGGAGAATAGCAGCGAGTAAACCCATATAACGCAAACGCAAGCTACTACCCTTTTCGTCGTAACAAGCTGTTTGTGGCGGTGTGGAAACGTAATTGCAATAAACTGCATCCAAGAGAGAGACAAAATTGTTAGACAAGACACGTTCATTGTTATACCAGACAGGAAACCAGCCAGTTTTAAAGTGCGGTTGTAATCTTCGTCGTTGAATGTATCTTTGTAGAGTTTAAAGTAAAAATACGCAAATAGTGGATCCACTGCGATTCCGGTGAAAAAATCCGCCAGAGCTAATCCGAAGATGAAAACGTTTGGAGGATGACGAAATGTCTTGAATGGGTCTTCATAAAGGACTACCAACAGTGCACAGTTCGAAAGAGTCGTCAGAACTGATAGACAACAAAGATAGAAAGCGGAGATAAGGCAAATGACAAAAAAGCGATTGCGGAGAATTTCAACTTCGCGGTTCAACAGGCCATTGGAAATTTGTGTTTCGTTTAGCGAGTAATTCATAGAGGAACTTATGGTGAAATGTATGGCCAATTCTGCCATCTTTTCTGTATACCTTCTGATATAAAGTTGGATCAGTTACAGGAATGCAAGAAATCAGGCTGCACGAAGTTACAATGGTTGCAATTTGAGTACAAAATGATGACGATGTCTTTTATATCGTAATCATAAATGGATTCATTTGAAATTGTTCAAATATGACTGGCTCTATGCGTCAAATAGGATTTCATTTTTCTATTAAAAATGAAGTCAGCAAATAACACATTGTCTTGGTTTGTTTGATGTGTGTGATGCAGTGACGTTTGAATTAGCAATGACGTCAGAGACACCATTTTTCAGCTTGATAGCTACTGTCAATTCATAATTGTGTAATTTGCTCAACAATGAAAGTTAAATATCGTATGTCAAGAAATACCAGCGGCTTTCAAAGTACTAAGAATGTCATCTTCACATGATTTATTCATTTGAAAAACTTTACGTTTGGATCCTTTCTCAAACTTTTTTAATACGCATGATATATATATGTTATTTGCCGGCTGGGAGGTCTGTATGGTAAAAAACTGTGACCGAGGTCACAGTTTTTCACTATACAGACCGACCCTTAGCCGGCAAATAACATATTTATTGTTTTTAAACTTGACGAAATTCTTTCCGAAAGAACCCGAATGATTTAGGGCTGAAAATACGACAAGATCTTCCATAAACTGAACAATTTTTGAGCGAGTAAATAGTAGTTAAAATAGAGGTGATGCAAATTGAAGAGAGATGCCTCAGCGAAACATTTTCATTTCCGTAACGATAAAGGTGATTTAAAAGGCTTCCAAACAAACTTTGAAACATTATTTTTACAAGTATCTGTCACAATCTGACACCTGTCAATTAGGGAGCGCGTAAGAAAAAAAAAAGCATAAGAGCATTTGAAAAACAACGGAACTAGTTTGGCAAGGACTGTCACGACAATGTTTTCTTCAAAATCAGTCAATGATCTAACGGAAAGTATTATTCACTCTCATCGACGATTCATTCATGTACGAAGATTTACCTCTGTTCATTAAGTAAACGGCGAGGAAAGTAATTGTGAGTAAATTCAATCTTTTTATTTTGAAGTTGTGAGAGTTTGCTCGTTTGTTTGCTGCAATGGCGTGTGTAAATCTGGTCTTTCCTTCACAAAAACTAAATTCGAACGGCACACTCCAACGAGATACAAGAGAATTTAATGCGGCCTTTTCTCAAAAAATTCCTTCAGTTTCTGTTGTGTAATTTACGGTACAAATGTCCAAATTGAACGGAATTGGAAAGACTCACAGGGAGCTTATATTTGTTGTAGAACTTAAATTAAAACTTTGCTCGCTCTTTCTCTACTAACAATTTTCTCGAGAAAATTCAGATGTTAAATTAATGAAAGTTCCATCTTTCAGTTTAACTGTAACCAAATACCTCACGTTTTAACTTTCTGGGTACTTTTTGTGAACGATTAAAATTAATTGCAGACAGTTTTTAGGCCGCTTGTCAACCAACGTAATGACACTATTGTTCATACAAATTCATTCTGAAACCAATATTTTTCTGTCAACCAAAGTGATTTGAGAGAGAGAGAAAAGAGAGGATTCATAACTTATTTATCAGCTTGAGGTAGTGACCGACTTGTTTGCTTTAAAATACTGCCCAGCCGGAAAACGAGGTATATTTATGAAAAATGACAACGAAAGTTGGGATGTACTCGGCGACTCACGAAAGCGTTACCGTGGCCCGTGGGCAGAGATAGGAAAATACTGACCGGGTAAAGAACCAATCAGATTGCAGGATTCGTTACCGTGCCCTCTAAAAAAACAATAAAGAAATATATGACATGCAGTGTAAACATAATTCCGAGCAAAATTTTGAATATATATAAAAATATCTGTTTGTCCTTCGAGTTATTATTTCTTGCAATTATGCGCGAAATTATCATGCATTCATCTGTTCATCTGTTCATTCAAACAGTCATTCATTTATTCACTAATTCATTCATTCATTTGTTTGTTCGTTCAAGTAATAGTGAAGCCCTAATAATCAGAATACCCATCATGCAATATTTTGATTTTTCAAATAAGGCATAATTTAGTTGTTCCTATAATCACACCAAAACAAATATATCAAATTAAAAGTTCCCCTCAGGCTAGGCGATTGCTTTCGTAACTAATCGACAAGGAAATTATACTAAGTAAGAAAAACGTGTTGAATTAGCTGGGCTTGTTTAGTGTCAATAGATATCATAATTTATATCACGGAGTTATCAGTTGAATTGTAGTGATAATTAACGTAACTTTCATTTATCCTCGAGCATCAGTCATTTGCGGAGCTGTCTGTATTTTTTTTAAATCATCGATGAAACTAAATATAAATAGTCGATCAATTTCGTGCAGACATCGTTCAGCTGTGGTTTTGCCTCTTCTTTTCCTTAAAATTTTTCAAAAGAGAAATAAGGAAATGATGGTTTTTGTCGTCTCTTTTGCTTTATATATTTTCTTTGTACCTTTGATATTTATCTTTCATTCATCTCCCTATCGACAGTTTCTGGGACGTTAGAAATCCAATGACAGAGCCTTAAAAGACGATCGTCAACGAGTCAATTTGCCAGCGGAGGCGAGTTGACTCCTTGCAGTGGCGAGGTTAGTGGTGGCTCGTTTGTCGTGATGGCGAGTTGACCGTAAACCGTGTCAACAAATCCTCGTCCCAGAGCTCTACCTTCTTCGCCCTACCGCTGACTCCAAACCCGCTGCGCCATTTCTGAACTTCCCGCCATCATGTGGCGCCATCTTTGAGATTCCTGCTTCCCCGCATCTATAAAACACAACTTCAAAATGCCTGCTCACTTTAGAGCCGTAGACAACGCAGTCGAGAAAGTTCGGAAAGTGAAGGAATATGTAGATAATGGCTTGGGTGTAACTTTAGATGTAGCGCTGGACTTGGAAGAAGTTAGTAAAGACAACGAGCTGGTGAAAGAGTTGGAAGATACGATGCTGCAGTATGTTAGCATGGAGAGAGAGATGGACCAGTGCATGAAAGCTGTCGAGCTAGCGAAGGAGGAGTTTAATCGAAAGTATGATGTAAATAGGTGAGACTGTATGAAGCCAATTTACTCTTTATTCCTAGGATAAATGCTGACCTTGTTTACAGACCGATGTTTTGCTTGTGAAATTATATTCAATGCTGTGGATATCATTTGTACAGCCATTAGCATTGTTTTTTATCACAAAGATTCATTTCATTTGTTGAAAATCTTATGGCTGTTACTTTTAGCTGTGCAAGCAAATTTATTGTATTTACCTGTACTGAACTGACTCAAAGCCTTATTCATTCTCAGTGATGATTCTCCAAACATTGAAGATATCTTCAAAGAAAAGTTGAGTTCTCTTGAAAAGAACAGCAAAGTTTCCGATCTTGATTCTCACCCCAAGGTGAAAGAATTCAGGGAGAAATTATGGAACATTCATCATCAGGGGGAACCTATGCCTCAGACAAACACACAGCCAGGAACACAGGATGAAGATATTATAATGTCACAGGTAAAAAAAAAAATCTCCAGGGTATTTAATAGTTTAACTTATATTAAGGGTGGATATTTTTCAAATTGCATTGAGGAAGAACACCAATAATGAGCAAAATATCCATCCCTCTAATACGCTAGACCATGGAAAAGGGATTTATCATTCCACTTTTATTTCATTTTCTAGAGTTTTGGTTTGTTGTTTTCAAACTTCATCCTAAGGCATCATCTGAGCGTCATATTGGTCACATGAGGTGTCTGTGAAAGACAAAAAATATTATTTTATGACACCCATTTTACAATGGAAGGTTGCCAAAAGGTGACTTTTTTAAAAGATAAGCAATGAGAACTTGTTTAACAATCATGATCTTCTTAAGTTATGAATCATTTTCATTATTCTTGTGATATTAATGTTTGATTCAGGGATAATATTGTAAGGAGACATAAGATGCCAGTTGCCCTTAGAGTCACATGGTTGCAAGCTCAGTTTGTCAAAATGCATGCCACTCTCACCTGAGGAGACCTTTTCAGGATTATTTTCATACAGATAATCAGACTAAGTGCTTTAACATGTTAACTATATTATGGAGTATTTCAAGTCTCTTTATTTTATTTCCAGGCACCTGTAGAACAAACAAAGTGTCCACTGACTTTGAAAGATATGGTCAAACCAATGAAAAGTAAAATATGTGGACATAACTATGAACAAGATGCAATTTTTCAGCACATAAGCAGAGGGAGAGGTAGAGCTAAGTGTCCAGTCTGTGGACAGCTTCTCACCAAAGCTGACCTCGAACACAATGCTGTACTGCAGCATGCCATAAAGCGAAAAAATAGGAGAAAGTAAATTATAGTGAAAAAATAGGAGAAAATAAATTATATGTGAATTCTTGTTCTCAGGAGTTAATTTTAGTTAAAAAGTAAATGCTGTGTTGTTAGAAAGTGTAGATATCTGTTACTGTTATGAGGAATACTTGTAGTTTTAAGACACTTGCATACTGTTATGTTTTTCTACGAATGCTTGTTCATGGCAAAAACAAGGAAAAATTGAATTGTTTTCATGTGATGATATTCTGATATTTGATATTAATATTAAGTAAGGAGTGGCATGTTGTAAATGAAAATGACAAAGTTCTTTAAAGTGGTGTTTTTGTGAATGTTTGTAATTCTATTCTTGGAAACACATATTTGTATATTTGCCATTTTATGAACTGTAAATCTAATACAATAGGTATGCTTCACATAACTTGACTTGAGGAAATTCATTATTTGCTTCTGTTATGACAGAAATCTCTTGTAAGGTTCAGGAATTTTGTGAAGTTCTGGGTGAACTATAATTTGATCATGACAGTTCCCAGTATCATGAATAATGTTTTATATCTTTTTTGAGCTTTTTTATAAGACGATGATGTTAACCCAAGAGATAGATGGATGTATAGATGAGGAAGGATGCTTGAAATTTGTACATGTGATGTTGTCTTATTATTTTCCACATAATATCTCTTAGTTGGTGTATTTTGTTGAATGATTTGCATGGAAAAGTTGCTGTTTATATCAAAAGCAACAATGTTTCTTTTTATGTCACTCCATTCTTTGAAAAATTCCATCAAGAAATCTTGCAGTGGCTTGAATGATTATTATTATAATCTGCCTGTGCAAGTCAGTTTAGAGCAAGGTATGTCACAGTACTCTGGAATTAAGAGCTCTCTCAAATCAACTTTATGATATTTACTTAGGCTGACACTTCCTGATATATTATCATTAAGCCTGTATTTTTTTACTGTACCAGAAGGTTCTGAATCCTCTTGAAGAATTGGCCTCAAATCTACAAAAGTTGATCAATTTATTGAATATTAATAATATGATGTAAAAATGAAGACTTTTACTAAGGAGAATAAATACACTGTTTCTTTTAAAACAGCAATTAAGTTGGGTGTCCTTGAGGGAAATTGAATTTCATCAATCTGGTATGAACTTTCAAAGAGTAAGAGAAGTATAAAGGAACAGATCAGCGAACAAATGATCTTTTACCTTCATTCCCAATTTTTGTTATCTTAAGCATTGATACAAAAGTATTATTAATAAATTCAAAATCAGTCATTAAAAGAGTAATGTTATCAAATATGATAATTTTGGAACAACATTCCTTTGTCTACCTATCAAAACTGTGACTAACATCATGAAAACTCGTCTGTGGAAGACAGTAAGGTGCTTTTGTAATGAGATCTGGGAGTGAAAAGTTTGAATGTGAATGTCCCTTTCACTTCTTCTGTGATTTATTGATGTATAACCTTTAGTTGTTTAGGATGTTCTTCATTACTGTCAGCTAAAAATGAAAAGCTCGCATGCCCTAAAAAAAGTTACATTTTTAAATATTCCATCTACAGATGTGTAATGTAGGCAAAATGGGAACTGGATCTGATATTCATCTCTCTAATCTCATTGGGTGATGAAATCCATAAGTTATGACTCATAAACAATTACTGTATGAATTGTGCTCTCCTTTTGCTCATCAAATTTCATCGTTCAATTACAATGGCTTTTTCCTCATTAGTATGCCTGTACGTAAATGTGCGCCCGCGTTTCAACAGCGGCAATATATAATCAAAACAACATTTCTTTGTTTACTTTATTCCTGCTCCTGAAATATATGATCGATGATGCCAGCCCGGGTCACTTCTTTTCTTCTCCGTCACTTATGACCTCGTGCTGGATGCGAATTTCATTTGGTCAGCAACCAAGAGAACTCACAACGTTTTGTTTCGAACCAGTTTACGCGGGTTCTAAAAATACACTCGTCACGTGTACATACAAAAGGAAACACAGTATAAAGCTGTCGAGTCGACGAAATTTCCTTCATTGAAACACACCACCGAAGAATTTTGTTAGAACAGAAAGCACCATGACACATTGTATGATTTGCTTTGCAGAAACGCCTGACAGAATCTCGCGGACATTATGTTGCTTGGGAGTTATATGTTTGTCTTGTTTGGAGGCACACATTGTGTCGAAGATAAACGAAGCTATCGTGGCCATAATATGTCCTCTGGGCAATTGTGACAGTTTAGTAAGCGAGGAGGAGATAAGACAGCTTGTTCCTGTTGAAGTGTTCGAAAAATACGAACGTTTCAAAGTGGAGGTAGAACAAAACCCAGGGATCAAGATATGCCCAGGATGTTCGCGTATTTATCAACACCCAGACTTGGAGAAAGTGGAACGCGAAAAAGTCTCCCGTCCGGAAGTTATGAAAGTAACATGTTCAAAATGTCGCCTGGTTTGGTGTTTTGCTTGCCAAGCTCCCTGGCATCACGGCTTGACGTGTAATGAATTCTGTAAAGGGGATAAATCTTTGAAAATATGGGCAAAAAATCGGGGACAGCCTGCTCGAAACGCCTGTCGTTGTCCGAAATGTCATGTCTTCATTCAGAAGTCCAGCGGCTGCGACCACATGTGCTGTAGCAGGTGAGAATCATAAATTGGTAGCGCATACTGTTAAACTGTTTTTTCGTGGAACCATCTAATGAAAATTTCTATGTTATGATTTTAATGTGAAAAACACATAGGTTGCTACTTCCGTCTCTGTGAGGTTCCCAGTGTTATCTTCTGAATTTGATCGGATTTAAACATTAGTTAGCCTATCGAGGTTTTTGTTTTGATCGACGAAACAAAGAAAAGTTTATCTTTGTACATGTGCGTTGAGTGATGTCTTTGAAAAAACTTCGGACGCCAACTTTTAAGTCATTCAATGATCGTTTAGCATAAGAAACAGGTTTAACACGTTTTGGTAGATTTTTCCATTGATATTTTTCACTGGCAAGCGTTGAGTAAACACAGCTGTGCTCCCTTAAATTATTTGGGAGGGAGGGAAGGGTCATGATTTGACCTTCTTTGTAACAGGGGCTGGTAAAATAGTTTTTGTATCATTCTTAGCATCAGTCTAGTCCAGTTGTGATGTAATAAATGATTTGAAAATTTGATTATTGAAAATTCTTATTAGCTTTTTCCATTTCTTAAAAAAAATTTGCTTTGAGTTTACCTCACACCCTCTCAACATGGTACCCAATGTCATAACCAATTTTTCTTTCTTTTGTCAGATGTAACACTGAATTCTGTTACCGTTGTGGCGGGAAGTACCATGATCTTAAATTCTTAGGCAACCACTATGATCGTTTCAGTATCCTGGGCTGCAAATACAACTACAAGCCAAATCAACCTGCACAGAGGATAGCAGTGCGTGGAGCACTCTTCAGTGGTAAAGTTGTATTGGCACCTGTAGTTGCAAGTTTGGCTGTCAGTGCTGGTTGTGTTGTACTTGGTGCAGGGTTGGTTGCTGCACCGTTTTATGCCCCATATGTGCTGATAAAGAGACAAAGAGCAAAACACAAGCAGAAAAAATTGAGAAACAGAAAAACAATGGAAAATTCTAGTCTTTAGGCCTAATGAGTTTTACATGCATTACCAGGAGACTTGGGTTTGGTTTTTATTTTGTCAAACTAGTACACATTTGGACCTTGTTTCATGCTACTTTTCAAATGGAAATCAAAAAGGAACATCAGAGTGATAATCATCTGTCCTTTTTAAGGCCAACTATAATGTAAGGCCAGACCATGGGGGAACAGCTGCATGACTATTTTTTTAAAATCAGTGGGTTGCTTCTGCTTTTGAGAACCAATGTAAAGCATGGTGATATTGGGCTTCCAATCATCCAGTTACCATGATCTGCTTCTGTCACAAGATAAATTATGCCTTCCCTTGGAGACATACATAACAAAGAAAAATGCTGTCATGTCTTTAGAGCTTCTAAAATCATTCTGCATGCCTTAGGGACAGTTAATCATGTCAAATGAGACAGCTGCATCTGATTTTTCTTTTTAAGCAAGTAGTGCAAGCAACGAAAGTCGGCAACACTCAGTTAAAATCTTTGACCACTTGAGTATTCCCCCCCCTTTTTTTGAGGCCTTCTTCCCCATATACTTCTAGGATCTTCCTCTTCTTATCCCTAGGAAATTTTACACTTACCCCAGGGGTTCACGTTCCCTTCACTGGTTACAATGAAAGTTCTCAAGTTTAAAAGCTGTCATTGCACAATGTATTATAGTTCAGATTTTTCTTTCTGTTGTTCAAACTCATTTGAAAATAATTTTTTTTAATCAGTATTGCTTTTCAATTGTAATATCAGAGTGTTCTTAAATATGGCCAAAATATTCAGAAATAATAAGACACTACCATAAGAACTTTTTCACCTTGTTGGAGGTAATTGGGCAATGTAAGTTGATGTTTGGTTAAGGGCTTGTGGTGGCCAAATTGTGGCAAAATCCACAAATGAAAAATTGACAGGGCAACTGTATTGAGGAGAAGCCTTGTTAAGTTAGATATCTAATTGTTGTTTTTGACACAAATTTTCATTCTTGAACTTTTGCTCCAATTTGGCTACCATACTTGTGAAAAATAGTAGAATCTTATTAAGCATTTTTTTTCACTCTGTCTGATTGCCAATTTTAAAATGTAATAAGGCGAAAACTTATAAGTCAGTGAACATCTGCCAAAAACCAAATTCAGCATGAGTGTGTAAAATGTCAGGAAAGTGTTGAGCATGAAAATCTTGTTACTGAGACAAAATTATCACTCTATTTTTCCCTGCCTGTGTTACAGTTCAAAGACTTCAGTAAAATCAATTGTAACCGGAAGATATAACCATGGTTGCAGCCAATTTAATTATTTGGAAATTTTTATACAACTGTTATCATAATTTTAACCCTTGGTCACTAAAATTGTCATAAATTGTAGAGAAAATAGTTGGGTTAAGGGAAAAAAACTGAAAAGTGTGTTGGAATGAATACATCTTCAAACTATATACTAGTTAAATATTTTGGGCTAACTTGAGGTCTTCATTTGGTGAATGGTGGTATGAAAAAAGCAGATGAATTTAGAAAGGAAAAGGGAAGGATTACTTTTTTTCTCCTTTGTAAATGGTGATTATTTAAGCTGTATTTAATTGAATTCTAAAATTAAAAAGCTCACATAGTAAGGCATTAAAATTTATTGATAAAGTGGGAAGGTTTACAATTGTTGCAAACCTGCACTCCTCACATACTCCATCCCTTTTTCACATCTAACCCTCTTTGTTATAATTAAGTGAAAAGAACAGTTACAGAAAACACTAAGTAACATTCCAAATACTTAATGTCAATTAATAATGTCAATTAATAATGTCAAAGAAGGGGCTTTGCGCAGAGAGCTTGTAACAGACTAATGCCGAGTATCAAAATGCTTAAACGTCTAAGAGCGACTGGCTTCTAATTTCTCCCTATTTTATCACCCTTCAATCAAATATAAAGGTCATGAGAATAACCTCTTACTTGATTTTGAGGCCAACTGTTGATTTCTCAGGAGATGAACCAGGGAGGTCCACTCAGTTTCAAATGTTTGAAAGGTAAAAGGCTACAACTCCCCAATGAAGGGGTGGTTATTTTTAAAGTTTGCTCCAAATGAATACCACCTAAGAAGGACAATTGGCTCTTTGATCTTCAATTGGTAAAGTGTTCTGTTCTTAATTTCCTGGTATAGACACTGATGCTACAACTTGAGGAAAGAAAGGCCACAAAGAACCTTTTTCTGTGACTTTCTATTTTTACATTTTGTTTCTCACCTAAAGTAATGTTAGTAATGCTTCTGAGCTTCCTTGAAAAGTGCAAACAAGAGACACTTCTGTTTTTCTTACAAGGGAAAGTAATCTTAAAATGTATATCAAGCACCCACTCTTCTTTATTTCACCCAAATGTTGTCCTTACTGCTCCTGTCCAAGATAAAATCAAACTGACACTTCTACTCAATATCCATCTCAATGAAATTCATGGTTCTTTTCTGTATTTGCATGTGGGCAAAGACTATGTAGAGGAACTGTGGAGAGTATTTAAATACACAAGGTATAACAATGTACTTTAATGAATTATCTTGCACAAAACTATATCAACCCTGTCACTGATGGCGATCCTGTGCTTGTCGAGGTTGTGGTGAACCGGTGACAACAACTGTAGAATTGGCTATGACATCATAGATGGTGCGATTGTGCTGGAAAAACAAAATGGTCAAAAAGACTGGGAAGAGAAAAGTCATGGAGAAATTCTTCACAAGGGCTCTTAAAAATGATCTGTGAAAAAATAAAATAAAATTGTGCATAAATTAACTTGTGCTCACTTTATCTGTTAAGTATTAATTAATAATTACAGATGAACAAATATTGGGGCAAAATCCCATTCATTTGAAAATTTTTCCTTAGTTCTTCCAGTAACATTTTCATTCCTTAGGAGCAGAGCTCACAGAGCGTAGCCCCATAATTATACAAAATGGTAGTAGTAACCCATCAAGCCGAAAAAATTTGGACTTATGATCGTACAACCATACAACTGACTGTACAAAGTGCTACTTTTAACATGTGTGGTCAACTGTACTGCAGGCACGCCAACACCATGGCTTTGTCCAGTAGTCCAGTGGTCAGTACACTGGGCTCCGAGTCAGACAACCTGACGTGTGGGGAAAAAAAAATGCGAGCCCTGCTTTTAGGCTTGGCTAAATCTATATATTATCAATGTTCTAAAGTTACACACTGTTAACTCTGTCACTCCCATTAGTGACCAAGAAAGAATTTCTCCTTACAGTATCCATACAATATCAAGCAGACATATGATAAGAATACAGAAAAATATCAATAAGGGGATTATTAGTTAATTCAGTACCCAATTCTCCAAACTAACATCATAAGAAATGTATGGTTAACAGGAAAGAGAATTACTAATGAGATCATGGAAGTAAAGGATTAAGTGAGGTAAAAATTATTTTGCAATGGTACATAATATTGCACAAAATGATTTTTCTTTTTTTTTTTTTTTTAACTCACAAAAATATTTCTTTAGGTAAACATTTTATAGTTTAAGGTCACCAAATTGTGTTTAATCCTTTGCACCCTAACATCAGTATGCATATTCTCCATACTGTTCTCTTAAAAATTTCTTAAGGGCCAGACAAGGAGAACTTGTTTAACAATCAAGAGTTTCTTTAATTTGTAGGTTATCATTTCCTTTATCCTTGTGATCTTAACCCTTTACACTCTAACATCAGTAAAGGTATTCTCCATACTGTTCTGCATACAGTCCTTTAGGTGCTGACAAGGAGAATTTGTGTTACATCAACAACTTCTTTGGCTGCTGATAATTTTCTTTATTCTCATGACCTTTCTGCATGACTGAGGGGTGATATTGTAAAGAGAAATTAGATGCTAATAAGTCACTCTTAGGGGTTAAAGGGTTGATGTTTGATTTCGAAGGTGTGCTGCAGGAAGATATCAGGTTCTTGTCACTCTTAGGGGTGAAAGAGTAACAAAAAGGTGAGCTGGAGCCCTGCACCACTGTGGTGATTTATTCCATAAATCCTTACTAATTTATGATGTACCTTCGAAGTCCCAGGTTACCACCAGGTTCAATCCTAACTCGGTCACCATCAAAACCAGGAGCCACAGTAGTAATGGTCTCTGTTGCCACAACTGACAATCCCATGAGGTACTTGCCGGGTGTGGCACCACCAACACTACCGTGTAGTCCACCCATGAGGAAAAACACCTTGACATAAGAAGAACCAAAATATTGTTCATTGAACATGCTGTAACTCTAAGATAATTCAATTGTAAATTAAGCTTGCTTGAAGATAGCTATGTCATCTTTAAGAGTCATTCTGTGCTCAGTAAACTTCAGCATCAGGGAAACCACAAAATACTGAAGACTTAGAAGGAGAAAAAAGCACTAAAATGGGAAAACATATCAATTATTGATAGAATTCTTCCTTATCTTTCAATATTTACCTCAAAAGCAAACACTATTAATCGGTAGACCAAAGCTTGTATAAGAAGTTCCTCAATATCTTTCAGACTTGTATTATCATCTGTTATCAAAGTGTATTGTAACTGTGTGTATCTCTCCAAATCATCACTGAAAGAAAAAAAATCAACAATTTTACTGTTTATGGTTTGAGCCTAGGTGTAACATTTGATTGTGCTTTTGGTTGGGATTAATCCTGGAAAGCTGTTTGAATAATTTCAGTGAATGTCACTTTCAGAGCCTCAAACCATGTTATGATTATCATATCAAAAGCATTTCAAAGAACTTAGGGCAGAGATCATAAGTTTCAAATCCTGGAAATAGCCAAGGGTTTCAATACGGAGCCACTGACTGGCCGTCTACCCTGACCTGTAAAACCTCTGACAGCCATCTGTTTAGACTGCGAGCAGGCTCTTGTGCTTGGGTATTGCCTTACGGCACAGCTGTCTATTACACCTATTGAAGGCTCTTGCCTATTGAAACCCTGTTAGAAGCCCCCTTCATAACAATGTTTTAACCCTTTGCTTCAAAAAGTGACTGGCTTCTAATTTCTCCTTACAGTATCACCCTTAACCCTTTAATGCCCAAGATCTCACTAGTAATTCTCCTTACTGTCTGCCAAATGATTATCATCATGTTAGTTAGGAGAATTTCGTAGGGGATGAATTAGTAATCCCATAACTGATATTTTTCTTTATTCTCATCACTTATCTACATGATATTGTATAGATATAGTAAGGAGAAATTCTGTCTTGGTCACTAACGGGAGTTTAAGGGTTAAATCAAATGTAAAGGTTGTGAGAATAAAGGAAATGATCTCCAATTTAAAAAGCTCCTGATTTTCTAACACATTCTCTTTATTATTGCCCTGAGGAATGTAAGGAGAACAGTTTGGAGATTATAAATACTAATGTTAGGGTGATGGAGGTTAAAAAGCTTTTAGTAGGCTTCCATCTCATGGGGCTATGTCTTCAACTTGTTCACTCTGTTCTGAGATTATGATTTCAAAAAAGTTTCCATGGTAAAGTCAGTTATTTAACTGTGGAGATTTACTTTGTATTTAAGTCATTTGTACTTACTAAAATATTGAGAACACAAGGACCTTTGTAAAGTAGAGAAAGATGAAATCCAGTATTTCTGCATAGATCCTCTTAGAAACAGGGGCGAGCTTAACTTCACAAGCTGCGAGTAAAAAACAAAATTACAAAAATTTTGTCATCAAGTGACCAGATCTGTAACTGAGAGGTTGGATAATTTTATATTACTGACCATTCATCTAATCAAAACACTGTTGGAGAAATCTGAACTTTTACTCAACATATAGCTTAAACTCGGCATAGGTTCAATGGCATGAGGTGACTGGAGTATTTCTGTTCTCCCCTTAGATGGAAAACCAGGATATCTCAAATCCCCCCCCCCACCCCACCAGCAAAGAAAAAAAAGGGGGGGGGAGAGAGTGAATTGTTGTGCCTAAGAAGACAACACATCATAATGACCTGACCAAGCCTGGAATCCAGATTTCATAACCCAATGTTCAGCACACTGATGGTAAGGCCACTATGGCTTCTGCTGATTAAAACCTGACTGAGTTAACCCTTTAACTCCCATGAGTGACCAACACAGAATTTCTCCTTACTATATCTGTACAATATCATACAGACAAGTAATGAGAATAAAGAAAAATATCAATTATTTGATTACTAATTGATCCGATGTGAAATTCTCCGCACTAACATAATGAGAATCATTTGGCAGACAGTAAAGAGAATTAAGAATGAGATCTTGGGAGTTAAAGAGTTAAGCTCAGCCATCTTGTTCTTCTCTTCCCTCAAAATTATTTCCTTAGTTCTAAATCTGTATATCTTAACTTACCCTTGGCTTCTTACAACAAATAATGTACCTAGAAACATGTTCATTACAATGTAACTGTCTACAAGAGGACTGTAAGGAAGCTAACAGTACTTGTAAAAAAAAGTAAGTGAAAAAGAAACTTATTTTAATGAGTAGGGTACATGTACAATTAGACGAATAATCGCATAACAACAAACAAAGCTGATTCGTAAAATACCGCACTGAAGCCCGTCTTATACACTAAATCATCTGCATTTTCGATTCTTACAAATAAAATGCGGCATTTTGTGACCAATTTAAAGTTTTAGTGTAATACGAAACCCACCTGTTCTAACTGCTGGTTGTCTAGCTTGGAAATTCAACCAAGGGGCTGTACGGTTTTGCTGAATATTTGGAGGTTGTTGTCCACCAAAAACGGCCTGTGCTCCCTGCTGATTTAAACTCGTCTGTGGATCGACACTTTGGGTTTGAAAAGCTCCTTGGTACATTGGATGCGATGCTAGCGTTTGCCAATAGTACATGTAGGAACACAGCTGATAGTAATATTGTTGATAATATTGAGCTGACATCCAGTAAAAAAGCATATTCCACGGCTCTTGAGAACTGAACGGGCGACTGGTGGATGTAATTCTTCCATTAAATGTTCCCTCTGATCCGTTATTCAGGGGAGTAGATGTATCTTTAGCTGCGTCTGGACCTTCGTGAGTTGCCGTGGCGTCCGCCATGTTTTTCTCGTTGAGCGAGAATCGAGAGGAGACTGGGGTAGTTCAGCTGGGAAAGCCGTGAAGTCGATAATCGATTGATAGATTGATAACATTGATAAACGATGATACTCATAAACGAAACTTTGTCAATTTTAAAACGAAGGGCCTCGAAAGAGAAAAGTGTTATATTAATTCGGTGGGATTTGAGGTAGATCGATTGAAACCACTTTTTTCAAAATAACAACAACTTATCAATCATAGAAAAATAACTTATTTGAACTCGGGACTGTTGACTATGACAGTGTCTCTGACATTTCGACAGCATCAAGTAAGGATCATTTTGTTTTTCAAGGGCCATAGGTCTGGTTCATGAGAGCCTATTGTTCGTTTTTTCCGTTGTATTATTGGTTGTAGGACTGAATTAGTGTAAGTCAGCTGTGATTGGTTACTTCTCAGTCGACTCTGGGTCTCATGCTCGGCTCACGTTCACGCGTGGGCCATTAAAACAGGTTCCACCTCGCAAACTCGTCTCGTGATTCCTTGCTCGAGTTTTATTCCTGCCTCAGCGTTTTACCAAAATTACACAAACTATTAAAGTGTCTACAAAATTTTGTAACTGCAGGCAGAACTCCAAGTAACGACCAATTTTAGTATCTTTATCTAGTTCTTTGAAATATCAACCTCCTAGATAAACGAGTGATAAATAGTATTTTAGATAGCTCTCTTATGTTTTGCAGTTACCAAATGCTTTAACTGTCTCAAACATGTCAAAATGAAAATGTTATGATGTCTGCATAGTTGACTGAGGAAAAGTAAACGGTGAATGTCCCAGATTTTATAATTACTGAGAGAAAATGTTGTTTTCCATTCGCGTGGATAAATGGAAGTAAAAAACAAAACAAGACAACTCTTTAAACTACTGATGTAAGGCTATGAGATCCTTGTGAGTCTGCGCAAACGATTTTGGTGCTTGCATAAGAGAGCCACCTCTAAAACGATGCAAATATTTAAGTAATTATGCTTACCGAGAGAGTATTCTCTTGTGCCTACATATTGTTTAAAAACCCAGCCACTTCCTAAGTACATCATAAAAAGACCTGGCTCTTCCTTTTGTTTGTATCCAACATTGGTATCTTATGGCGAATATAAAAGTAAAACTAGCCTAAAAAATAGTGCACGAGGGAAGGTCACACCGCTGACAGTAAATATCGTACAACTTAAAAAGTGGGTTAGCATTTGAAATTCTCGCTAATGGTTAACAAACATTTCCTCCAATTACCAAATAATAAAAAATAATAGCAGTGATATAGCAATAATGGCAATAATAATGATAATAATAGTAACAATAATAATAATAATAATAGGAATAAATGTAATCAGAATTATGAAATTTATAGTAATGATAATATTCATGATAAACGTTTCATTGGCAATCAAGTTAGAAGATACAAATTTTCCTCCTTTTCATTGCTTGGCTGGGTTTGGTGAATTAATGAATTGAACTTGAATTCGTATACAATTGTTAGATAAAATTGATTTATATTATGAAACAGGAATACAATCGTGTTATTTCGGTTAATCGGTGTATCAATCATGTAGAGACCTTTGAAGTGTTTTGTCCAATCAAAGAAAAGGCTTTATCTCAAATAAACCCGAGACTACATCTTTTTCCATCTGTTGGCCATTTACGAAATAACTTTGGTTTCGTGCAACGAATATCTCTGAGGGCTAAAACGAGATTTGACTCCCACGAAATAAAACTCATTTTCGTAGAGAATCATTGGACATGCATGAAGCTTCGCCTTCAAGAGGAGACTGAGAGAAGCAAGGAAGAGCGCCATTCCTTAAATAACACTGTTTTGTTTTCCTGATTCAGTATCTAGCTATCTATCAGCCCTTAATGTGGGCATAAAAGTATACAACCGCCAGAAAATTACCTGACACATGCAATGGCTAAGCAAATCTAGCAAACGATTCTAACCTTCAAAAAGCTCAACTAGAAAAACGCTCATGATTTGAGAAGCGATAAACTAGGTAAATGTTTCAACACCTAAAAAAGTCAAGAAAAGCTGCCTTCACATTCTGCTAAATGATACGCTTCTATGGCGGAGAAAATTCCTACAGAGCGCTTGAGAACGTATAATTTTCCTTCCCTAGCTCCGACCCTGGTGCAGATTCCACTTCCAACGCCATTGCCTCTTCGTTGTTTTGGTTGACGGACCAGGCGCTCGCGAACGCCTCGTTCTCCCGGCCTACTACTTTCGGCTCCGGTGCAGACTGGGAGGTTTCCGGTACCGATACCTCCTCGCTGTCGAGGCTGATGGACCAGTCGCTAGAGAACGCCTTGTTCTCTTCCCCTATTTCCGATTCCGATGCCAATTCATTATCTTCGTCGCTAGGACAAGTGTCTTGATCCTCTGCTTCCAGAGTAGTTTCTGTTTCCAGGTCCGCCTCTGCTTCGTTCTGCTGGTCGATGGAGCCTTTCTTGTCGGAAAGGAGCTCTTCTGGCAACCCAGCAAACCTATGATTAAAAGCGAAAAGATTATATAATTGTGAGATACACAGATGATTTTTGCACAAAGGTTTGTATTAGCTTCTTAATTAACCTCTATTTCTGAACGAGAAAATGTAGACAGTTCATGGTTACAGTGAATACAACTTACCAAAAGAGGCTGCACTCATAATATACCCCCGTAAAAATCGTTTCCTTTCCCCAAGCTGCGAAGAACACTTACGCATAAAGCACGGCGGAGATAGTAGATTCTAGGGTGCGAGACACGCGAGCCCCCAGTATCCTTTGGTAGTTTGCATTGTGCGCTTTAGACTGATTGGCGAAGAGGAATGGATTATTTTTACCTTCTAAACCCGTCATCGGGCTTGGGTAGATACCTACAGAGATTCATCTTGAGGCTCGCCGAAAAGCTCATATATGGTCTCCTCATCCATCTCAAGAGTTGTCAAGTCTGTCTGTACCTCTTGGTCGCACATCTCCACTATTTCCTCTTCCTCTTCCTCTTCCTCCTCCTCTTCTTTCGCTTCCTCCTGCTCGTTCAGCTCTTTGCCCTCTTGGGATCCATCCTGGATTTCGGATCCTTTGATCTCCTCTTTCCCTTCATTTTCATTTTCCTCGGGGATGACATCAATGGCGAAATGTCCGTGCGCTGAGTAATTGACATAACGAGGTTCTTGCTCTTTCAACTCATCGTAAATGGCAGCTTCATCTTTGAATCTGACTGTAGAAGGCATGTTTCGGGGTTTTTTGCGGTTCATGTCCAAAGGAACGGGGATGATGGCATAGGGGTCATCTTTCATTTCTTCATAAATAGGATTAGAGAAAGACGCTTTGTTTTCCTCCCCTGTGGGGTTGAGTACTTTGTCGTTATTTTGCATGGGATCTGGGTGGATGGATACTATCTCCATCTTGCCGTCTTCAAAATGATACCCCTCGTCGTCCAACTCTTCATCGTCCTCTCCCAAGTCATTCACCGGGAGGAGCAGAGACTGGAAACAAGTGAACGAAAAGTGCGGATTCTTGATCCAATTCAACAAAAATCGTAAGACGTACGAAAAGTATTCCCCTGTAAGAATAAAACAGAAAAAAAAAATATGTTGATATAGTCCTCCAAATTCTCATTTACTTCTAAACGACGCCTTGCTGCCTAGATAGGGAGGTGATTTGTGCTTGATTAAGTTGCTTCTGACAGAACATCTGAGTTACAATTAAAAATAACAGGATGGATTTAATATGTACAACAATTGTAGTGAACAAAATTGCAATGTAAATGATAGACACTTGAAGGTAGAGTAGGGTCTCTAATTGTCTGAGTTTTCACTCACGAGACCGTGAGGTATGGCCTCGTCACTGATATCTAACAAGATATTTCCATGGTCTCTCTCTTATTCTTTGGTGTACAAGGCTATACTGTTTATTAATTTTCTTTTCGCGTTCTGCTCAAAATTTTCTCATGGCAAAACCTACATTCCTCTTAAGTGGGTGAGTGAGTGTGACCGGCAAAGCATCACGCTCACTTGACGCTCTTTCACATCTGCGTTTCCTCTGCTGCGTTCGCCGTCCTAAATTACCCGGCTGACTAATTAAGTTGAAGTACCACGGTAAACTATATCATTTCAATTGCTAATTAGCAGGGTACTGGGCTTCAATCTAATGTGCTTAAAAATCATCCCAACGATTAGTGCCCCCAACCCCCGAAGTGACATCTTACAGATAAGCTGTCCAACCACCAAAGTATTCGCTCCTAGAACGGTTATCTTGAATATGTTTGTATCCATGAGTGGATCTTTGAAAGGCTCCCTGTTCTCTGATGGGATTCTGCTCACGGCGCCAATTCCGAGGTTTATGAACGTGACTGAGAGAGCTGTGACCATCAGCTTGTTCTCGAAGTAGTCTTGAATGGGAGCAATGTAGGCAAACGTCATACCATACAGGCCTGCCAGAACACACGTAACACCCACATAAGCCCTGCTCTCTTGTCCAATCAGAATCAGACCGGAAGTGAGTGTGATCTTGCGAGCCATCTCAATTACTTCCCAATACCAAGACGGTGTGTCGTAATTTTCATAAAGAAAACGTAATCCGGTGACGATCTCTTTATTAGGAAGGGTCTCCTGGTATCTCTTTTCTTCCTTCTGGGCTATAATCAGCGCCCGCTCTCTCCAAAGCACAGTGATGGAGAAGGCTGGGAGGGCGATTATGTAAAGGATATTTAAGTAGGCCCCAATGAGCTGTAAGTGGTACTTCGTTCCGTGACAGCGGATGCCGTAGTCAGCTTTGAGGTAGTCGTCACATAATATCCCTTCTTTGTCACGGCAAAGTCGTCGGCAGGCGAGTGGCAGGACATTGGCCGTTTTAGAACACGTGCTCAGATACGTCACGAAGAGGAAGAAGAACAAATTCCTGTAGACGAGTTCTTTGGCGTGTGAAATACGCTTGGCTTTTTCCATCTGGGTCAGGCTGTTACTTAAGGTGACCATCACATAACGCACACCGAGAATGAATGCAAAAAAGGCGATAGCACAAGCATTCAATCCCATGCTAGCGTACAGACTACCAAATGCGTCCACCTGGAGACTCGAGAACAGACAATGGAGAGGAGCAATCTGCAGAAAATTCAGCTGTAGTAATTCTGAATACTGGGCGATATCGTCAAGGACATTTGGCCATTTGACGAACGAGAAAGCTTCGAGTAAACCATAGGTAACCTGGTAAAATCCGATTATGATTTTAAGTCTGGCGAAGATGATGTCAATCAAAGGGCGTCCTCGAGCTTTTTTCGTCTTCTTCCTGCTGTACCAAACCAAAATGGCCACAATGAACAGAAAGAATCCGACCAACATTCCTAACTGTATTGCCATTGACTTCTTAGTTGGGCATTTGCTGCAAACCTGCAACTGTTTGTAGTATCCAAACTGACAAATGCCACAGACGGGACCCTCATAACCAGGCTTGCAAGGATTGTCAATGGCATTCACCCCCCCTTGACAAGACTCCTCCCTTGGACATTTGGTTGCCTTCGGCATAGGATAGTTGAAATCCCTGAACGAGTTATCGAAGGATTCTTGAGGATTTATGAGATTTGTGGAGAAATTTCTGTATCGTTCCCTGTGTGTTTCGTTCTGCCATTCCCACCAATAACCAGGTTTCAGATTCAAAAAGTCAGTCTTACATTCCAGGCCCTCGTGTTTACCACCTCTCTCGCACTCTATACATTTGCCAAAAATATCGGTCCGATGGAATCCATCCAAGCAATGGCAAGCGATCTTTCCGGCCATTGAATCTGTATTTGTTCCTGTTGGAGTAAGAGAAGTAGGTAAGTAAGGATTTCTTAGCAGTGGTGCATCCATGGAGTGATTCATGTGTAGAGATCCAAGCTTGAACTGGAATTCAGGAAGCCCAATATTGTAGAAGTAGGAAAAACTCTGCTTGGTCTAAAATTATGTTTAGAGGGATTTCAACATATGTAGCAAGGCCTGTACTAATGGGTATTCCTTCTCTAAGCTAGATAACCCCTGCTGAACAATTGTTGAGTTTTGAATTACTAACCTCGAGGACATGCCCTACAATGTTTATAGCGCGTTCCTGGATAGATGTCCAATTTCACGTACGCGCCACGTGGACAGGTAAGACACTGGTCCGCAACATAGCCAGCACTGTCGGAAAGAAAACCCCCTACGAAAGAAAGCCGTAAAAAGTAGTCATACAGACTTATTTCTCCTGATTCTCTGCTCCGTAGGAGTAATAAGAAGCTTGTAAAAATGTACAAGGTCGATGCCTCCATTTAGGCTTAGTTCAGATGAAGTCAGATAAACTCTTGAGGGCAGTGGATTAAATATCCAGAGTAAATTAAAGGAGATAACAGTTTTAAATTTAATTTTCATGATATCAAAATATTTAACAGGTATTCGCCGAAGTGGAGGTGCATGTTTTTTTTAAGTATAGACTAAAACAGCGAGATGATTTATTCCTGCAACAATTACAATATTTTCGGGCGCAAATCCCGCGCGAGTGGCGTGGAGGTAAATAGCAAAGAATATTCAGAGTTTAGTAGCCAATCAGAGCGTGCCTTTAACGCTATCCTCTGTTTTAGAATACACTAGTCTACTTTATCAATTGTTACAACGTAGGGGCAATAAACTACCTGGTGGACACTTTTTGCATCCTTTGCCTTTAAGTGAATAAGTCCCCTCTGGGCAGGGAAGCAGTTTATAGTGATGGGTCATATTCTCTGCATCATAATAATGCTCCACTTGTTCAAAACCCAGGTTCATGAAACTGATCAAAAGATCCAGTCTCGCTCTTTCATAAATCTTCCCTGATACGCTGACCATTTCCACGTTCGATGCATTAGGATTCCTACAAAGAAACCTGCTTTGTTATAGAAAATATTGCTGTTTATAGATAAAGGAATGTGTAATCGTTTGTTTCACGATGCAAGAGTCAGGCTAATCAATCGTGTATTAATGGCGACGTTTCAATTGCGATACTTCTAGTCTTCGTCCGGCAAAGAGGTTGAACGTTTACTTGTTGTTATTTTCAGCACCTGGTTTGTTGATTCGTCAGAGACAAGTCAATATTTATCTGGGGGAGGGCGTTGGAGAATGTTGGGGATCACGTGGTTTTCAGGGAAAACGAAGGAATTTTTTTGTGTACTGACAGATAAATTCTGCAAAGAGTTTTTTCCTTTTTCGTGTAGAACCTTACAATTCCAATGAGCTCGTCATTCATTGTCCTGTAAAGAAATAAAACGTTGCATAAAACGGAATTGCGAAATACTAAGGTTTTGACAACAACATAATTTCGAGGTGGAGGCCTGTGCCCACACGGGCTGTATTCTTAACAATGCTTAAATCGTGTTCAGTTCAACATTTCAAAAATGTAAAGCTATCGCGGGAAACTTTGATCTATCGTTCAGTAACTTACTTTTTAGCTGAATCAGTTACATTTGCAAACCCTAATTTTAATTTCAATTGAGTGCGATAAATCCAGAACAAAATTAATGACTATCGCCAATCAAGACAAACAGCGGAAAGATCAGAGGAAGTTTTCAAGAGTCTGCCCGGTTTTAACGCGCAGAAAAAAACTCTCCTGGTCGCGATTTGTTATATAGTTTCCTCTGATTGGAAGAGAGGGTACAGATTTCTAAAGTGATCATATTACGGCGTGATTAAGCAACCCAGTAAATTTTGGAATTACTTAAAACATTTAACTGAAAATTACAGTTCATGAAAATCGTCAGATCCGATGCCATAAAAGGATTCGAGATTCATTTCTGGTACATTTGTCCGGATCATGTATCTGAAGAAAGAGGTCAAGAAAAATACTGTCCGTTTTGCTGGTTTTACTCTTTAGTCTTACAATCAAGTTGCGTCGTTGCAAGCACGTTTTCTTTATTACTGTAAAACTAGAAGTGTTTTTTTCCTGCCATGATAAAAAAATTCTACCCATTTGAAAGTACTGTATCCTCTTTGGAGACTGCTCATCCCTATCTAGCCGGATAATGTAACCCATATATCCCTCTCGGGAGCTGCACATACCTATCGAGTAGGCGAACATTAACCCTGTATCCCTCCTCGAGTGCTGCTCATCTCTATGAAGCATGAAAAGACAACTCATATATCCTTTTTGGGGGCTACTTATTCCTACCTAGCATAAAAGTATAATCCATGAATCTCCCTCGGGGGCTGTATTTCCCTAGGGACAGGCAAGTGTTCCCATTAAGGGCTGTATATAAAGTATGTATACGTACAGGTGTAACTCACGCATTCCTCTCGGGGGTAGCACATCCCTTTATAGCATGCATGTATAACCCGTGAGTCGCCATCAGGAGCAGCACACCCCCATGGGGCAGGCGAATGTAACCCCCCGTTTTTTCCTCCAGGACTGCATGCGCCAATAATGTAGGCAAAATAACGTATTTATTCTCCTGAGGGGCGGCAAGTTAATATAAAACATACTCTTTAGATAACTTATGTCTCCCCGCGGGGAAGCTCACTCACATGATGACTCCATCGGGCGTCTGCTCATTCTCGTCAAAACCAAAGGCGTGTCTCTCGAGTTTTTCAATTTCATTATCATTCAACACTCTGAGGAAAATAATTCACAACAGAAACATGACGAAATAAACAATTTTTTCGACTATAACTTAGACGGCTGGTTTGTCAATCTAAATCCATTCTGTTTATGCCATTTTGTCGCATAAAGAGGTCATAATTCTAACAGGCCTCTCTGGCTTATGCAGCAGAAACGCCAATACACAAATGAAGTTGTCAATTGCTGGGAAAGTTCTAGAAACGTTCCTCTGAAGAAGGAAAGTTCCAACTTAATCCAGAAAAACTTCGAGTACAATCTGTTCTAGAACACCATTTTAAATCAACTTTGTAAGTAGAGTAAGAAACTCACAACATCTCGAGTTTAAGATTCCTCTTGAAGGCTCCTTCAGGAATCACAGTTATATTGTTGTTACTCAGCAGACTAGGATTGGAAGTAAAGAAGCGCACGAGCGTTTGGTGAATTCGTAAATTGAAAATTTTTACCTAAGCACTTCATTATTCTGTTTGTCCCTGAATTATACGTACATTCTTAATGTCGGGTCGAAATATTGAAACTTTCTGGCTCATCGGAAGTACTAACGCCCTGTTCTGACCAGAGATTGTTTTTAAATTCCCCAGTTACCCTCTTTTGGTTTGTTTCTCGTCTGTCTTTTGGACAATAATTCAATCGCGGACCATGCACATATTTGATATGTCATCTGCAGCTGAATGCAGGAATTTGATCAGTTATTAAGTGCACATTCAGCTTTAAAGTGAAAGTGTGCGCATTTTAGAATTTTTGTCATAAACTTCGCTTAATTATATTGGCTTGAATCAAAGTAGCAACGGTACAAAGTTTTAGGACATTTTCTGTGACTTGCAGATCTACCTTAATGTATCAACTCACAGGTATCTTAAAGTGGGGACATCCGTAAAAGTGTTTCCTGTTATTGCTTGCAGATCGTTATGCTGCAGGAATCTATAATTTTGAAGTATTTTGTCACATTAACGTTCATGAGATTTTTGATTCTCTTCTAGTAAGAAATATTGTTAAAAGGAAAGCGGGTTGTGTTCGTTGAGTAGTTTTCGGGAGGCTTCGGGAAGAAAAATCGGATCTTGATACTTGAAGTAGGAATAACCCCCCCTCCTCCTGACCTTTTAAATGGCTGATCAAGGAAGATATGAATATCTGTTGTATTTTTACTCACAGAAATTCAAGGCTTGTTAACTTATCACTGAACAGGTCGTCATCTAGGTAACTGACACGATTGTATGAAAGATCTCTGCAAGAATTAACAATAAATTGCACCTTTTTTTCTGATATAAAAATGGGTTTAGCTGATTTTACTTTTAGTCCAGTGGATTTTTACGCCTGTCGGGATATTACATTTCCAAGAGTGTTGCGGCACACTACGACCCCAAGGTAACCAATAAGAGCGCTCGATGCTTAGGAAAAATTTCCAAACTGTGAAACAAACTTGATGTTTGATACAGTTATCTTGCAACACGAAATAGTACAAGCCTAAAAAGGGATCTAGAAGGGTTATCCAAGGTGCTGGAATTTTTCCTGCTTTATGTGGAAGTAACAGTTTGCCCTCAAGCTTTTTCATCAGGCTTCTCTGATAGTTCATTGGTACCCTGGGTGGAAGCACTGTGAGGGCAAAATGTCTCGAACCCAGACCTCTCCATTTAAGGTCCAGGGCGCTAGCCGATAAACTGCCCCTGGCATGTCTCGTAATATTCTGAATCATTGTATTACTTCATGTGTACGCGTAACATACAGGTATTTGAGTTTTCCCAGTTTTTCAAACAAGCGATCTTGAAAGTCCAGCATCCTGTTATGGGACAAGGACCTGAAGAAGTAATCAACAACGATTATGTCTTAATTTGACTTCTTATAAATTGTGTTTTTTAAGCATTTGGAGTCTGTCTTGATTTAATTTCACATTCTCAATACTGACTTTATAACATCGTCCATTTCAGATAAGGAGAATTACGATGTAAAAAATTGGGAATAGATCGGAATGAACCCTCCTCTGCCAGGCCCCCCCTTTTGAACTCGGTCGGGTAAAATCGGTCGCGATCTGACACATGGCTTCGAGGCTTTCAAAGCGTTCTGCCATGAGAAGTTTTTAGTTTTCCATCCCCAGAACAGTAGTATTCAAATTTCCATAGGTTGTCACGTGAAGAATAAGATGTGGATCTTTTAATTTGTCCTACTTACAGGTAGTATAAGTTTACAAGATTGGAAAAAATATCCTTATCGAGTTCTTCAATCCTGTTTGAGCTGAGATTTCTGAAAAGGGAAAGAAGTCAAGGCAACGTTCACTATGCTACAAGCTGGATATTAATTAATATTTTTCTTGAACGTATTGGCTTACAAAGCCAAATTTTATCCTGGTTTCCATGTTTTGAAGTAACTGAGAGCATTAATTGTTCAATACCCGCATGGGATGGTTATATGATTAAGTAGTCCATCTTTCCATTACAAATGCTCCTTCCTATCTCCACCCCCCTAAGTCAAACTCCTTGGGAGGTGGTGTAGCTGACAAAAAATACGAAGTCCGATCACCTTGAGGAACATTATCGACCCACAGAAATATCACATGACCGAGAGAGACTATTTAAATTCAAATTTAATATTTGCCATTATTTCTTTGAATATTAAAATTCCAAAGGTGTGATTTTTATTTTGGTTTCTGGCGGCCATTTGTACCGCAATCACACCAAAGCTCATACATGTTTAAAGGCTGTTTTGTTAAACACGGTTAAAATTGTTTTCTGCATAGAAGCTGCATGCTCAAACCAATGCTTGTCGACTTAAAATTTAGCAATTTGAAAATACAAGTTAGTGACTACTAGCAACCTATGGAAAATTCAGTTTTCAGTTCTCTTTTTCTGATTTTCATTGAGTTAAAACTGGTTGAACTAAACATGTTTTTGTAGTGTGAATGAGATTTTGGTCACCAAAACAATACAGTGATGATTATGTTCGTGCCTATGGTAATTCTTGTGGGACTAGAACTCTTTTCGTGTCTCAACAGTTTCTTTCATCCCTGTCAATTGAGATAGCTTATTAGCAAGCGGTTGTAAATGTTCCAGCTACTCTTGACTCAATGCAATCAGAAAAGTATAGATTAGATATTACTCACAGGCTTTCAAGCTTAGTAAGGCTTGAAAATATTCCCAATGGTACATCGTTAATGGCGTTCGAAGACAAGTCCCTTAAAGATCGATAAAATTGAATCATGCAGAAAATGATATCAGTGAATAATTGAAATTTATTTATGATTCCGAATATTGCATCTCTAGTGTTTTGATCAGTTCACTCAACTCCGGTTATCAGCTCATATTCCGGGTCACCTTAAATGGAAATGAATTGCGCCAACTGTTGCGGAGCTGAAAGAAGGCTCCAGATATCCATCCTGTTTTCATACACAAAAAAATACCAATAGAAAAGGTGTGCGCTGTTCGCGTGGTACTTTTTCTTCTTTTCTTGGTTCCCAAGAGTGGACACTACGTATCTTATTTCGCTTTAGTTACCTCTGCTAACACGCGTTCTGTTGTCAAGCAAACTTTACTCGCTAGCATCTGAGGTTCTAGAACACTAAAGGGCATCGGGCCTTGCCACAGTTGGTTTAGGGGCAGTCACTCTTATTCAATGGATGTGGACCATATTTGGTGAAGTAACATGACCGCAACAGAATTAAAAAACCTATCGTGTGCAAGATGCAGATTGAAGGAACTCTGCCATTCACATGCGTTCGAGATCTTTCAAAATTAATTCGACTCACAGTTGTAGAAGTTTCGTCTGAGAACGAAATAAAACCACGTTCAGGGTTTGGACTCTGCTTGACACGAAAAAACTACAAGGAATCGAATGATCAAAGTAAAGAACATGAAAGTTTCTCAGGAATTTTGTTTCGAAATATGAGTGCTGTTAAAGTGGACATTTAAGCGGAAGGAGGGAAGAACCGGCGGATCCACAGACGAAAAGAAAGAGGAAAAGATACGGACGAACAAGGGATAGATATAGACAAACAAATACGACCGTCTGACTGCTTGAATGACTGGCTATCTGGCAGACAGACAGGTCGACAGACTGACAGACCAACAGGCAGATAGTCTTATAATATTGTAAATGTAAACTTACGGAATAGTTTCCGATGCAGTTAACTTACAGATGCTCTAGATTCGTGAAAGCACTGAACATGGCAATAGAAGGGTTTTTCAAATTACTTTTAGTCACGTGCCTATAGAGAAATAAAAACAAGCTTAGAATGGGATTTTGAGCTTAACCGAACCAAAATAGGTCAATGAAACTTTTTTTTTCTGAGATTTTTGGTCAGTAAGTTGCTCAAATTAAACAAAAACCTTATCTGATTTTTTTTGGGGGGGAGGGGTGGGTGAAGGAGTAAAGGGTACGATAGCACAACTCACCTCCCGCAAAATTTACTCACCCCTCCACCTATGGTAAATCCCATTCTTTACCCCGGTGGGGTCGTTCCTTCTGTTATTTTTCAGGAATACTTTACAAAAGTAAAAGGATTCTTTTTAAAATCATTCTTACAGAATATCGGGAGCCATGATAGAACACTCCATTATTTCAGTGGATTGTTGAACGTCTTGGCAAGAAAGTGATTTATTTCCCAAGTAAGAAAACCATTCATCAGTTACCAGAGCACATCGTACCCTGCAACCTTCTAAAGAGACAATTAGTTATATGAAACTATAAATAAAAGATAAATGACTAAATAAGGGACCAGTCGGGAGGGGGGGGGGAAGTCGGAGGATTTGAGGGGTCATATGGTTTTCAGGGGGGAACGGAGGGTGGATCAGTTGTTACTGACAGATTTTTGAAGGGGGGAAGGGGGGGGGGGGAGAACAATTGATTGAAAATTAACTGCCAGTGAAGGGAGATCCTAAACTGTAGTGCATGGCGCTCCCTTGTCTCGTGCGAGCAGTTATTAACGGTGCGTGGAAATGGAAACGCACGAGTGTAGATCGTCGTTCTGTCGCTCGCTCTTTCACTCGCCTGCGCGCTAAATCTCTTTCTCCTCTTGCATTTTCCCCTTTTTTACAATTTTAAGATTTTAACTTGGGGTCTCCTGCCAGTAAAAGTGTCAAACGACTCAAATAACCTTATAAGATTTAGCCACATTATAAACTCAGATATTCAGCGATGACAAACGACATGAGTTTTCTCTTACTACTCGCTAAACATCCGTATTCTTCACTCCAGGTAAAAGCGATCAAAAACAAAACCAACAGCTTCATGGCGCAAACGGGCAATTTAAGCATAATCACAGAAATTCTAGATCATAGTAATTCTCAGCCAGGGTTTCCTGCAAAAACACAAAAAAAACAAACAAAAAAATTATACTGCAACTAATAAGGATTAAAAACAATTCTACTGTTTAAAGCCGGACGCTTGCTACCTAAGTTCATAGCTAAATAATAGAGAGAGTTGCCCCTTTTTGGTCAGAAGAACAATTATCTGAAATAAGGAAACAATTCCATACGCTCCCAAATGCCAGGAGGACAATACCTTCCCTGTTTCCAAGAAATATCCGCTCAAATGTTCCCACGGAATTTCCTGGCTCTCTCGATCTTTCCTGTTTTGTGGGAAAATGCTCTCAATTCAAAGAAATTTCATTAAAATAGCCTTGCGGGTTTAACAGGAAAGTTGTAAGATAAAGCGAGTATAAAACTGTAAACAGACGGTACATTTCATTTTCGTGCATGCTTTAGAGTATCTGGTCATAAATTGGGATAAATAAAAATTTTCATTTGGTTTTTTTCATCTTTCGGCAACGACTGATACTAGTGCTTTGAAATTTTTTGACAAAGACTAATAATTTCCCCTCTTTCTTTTCTCCCTGCATGCAGTACTGAGAGCTTTCAGTTGAAACAAAACAATAAAGCCGAAAATGGAATTGAAAGAAAAGAGCCAACTGCAATTATATTCTGACAAACTAATCTGTTATTTGTGAAAACTGCAGGAGAAGTTGATAGATATTGGTTTCAAGTCAGAATTTAAGCAACAGATGTTAACATATGGTAGAGGTTCAAGATTTGAAAAAAGAAATTTAAAATTTACTTTCCTTCAGAATATTTCTCTACTTTAAGTAAATCTCAACACCAGCACAAGCAAATCCAAATGTTTGCATTTGAAGTCTTGACATCAAGAGGGAAATGTCCCGCCAAATTCTCCGCTATATTTCTCTTTGAGAACATGTATTTGGCTCAGATATTAGATAAACAGATTGTGTTTCTTCTTGTTTAAGTAGCGGATCCAGAGCTCTCTGACATCAATTTTCAGCGAAAATTCGCACGGTCTTTTCGATTTAACTTAACTGTGTAAACAATTCACTGAAATTATTCTTAAAAACACGAAAAAGATAGTAAACGATCTTACCTGATGAAGCTTCTCCCTTTTCTGCAAGTTTGCCGAACTGGTGTCAACTTCTTTTCCTTACCACGTGATTTTTAGCCAATGAACGTACCGTTAATTCAGTGATATAGCAATTAAAGTGCATTTTCCTTAGAGGGTACCTCTCGCAATGACTTATTCTCTAATCACCTGTTATCCGAAAGGCTATTTTAAACAGAGTGGTCAGGTGTATGACATTTTACCCTTTATTTAAAAGCATTGTTTGACTACCTGTCAACTTTCCTATGAAATGAGTTTTTTTTACATCTTTATGGCGTCTCATACGATTCAAATGAAAGGCAATTGTAAACTGTTGTGACTCTCATAGTCTGTAGGCGCCATGATAGCATAATTGTGATTTTGGTTTTTTTGCTTAGTTTTAGGTCTTGTAGCTTTTGTTAATTGGTCGTGTGCTTCCTTTGCTTTGTATGCATGTTAGTTTGTATTTTGCATATGTTGGGATGGTAAGTTATAGTTTCAGGAGTCTTTTCTACGTCTGTTGAAATCGAGTGTAGTTGCAGCGTGTTATTCAGTCTTATTCGTCTTTTATCGCTTTACTTCACCTCGTTTAGACAATGAGCAGTATCTCCTTTTCGACAAAGTCCGCTGCACAAGTCAAAAACAATCAGTGAAAAAATATAAAAAAGATAATAATGTAGCGGGTTACACAGAACTCAGAGAACTCCCAACGCTCCGCGCTGTGCACTAACATCAATTTTTTTTTCCCTGATTTTTTTTTTTTACTCGCCCAATGGCTTTCGCCGAAGTGGAAAGACTACTCATAGTTTGCACTTCGTTTCATTGTGTTTTGTATCAATTCGTTTACTTCTGATGGTTGAAGAAAACTGAGAGCGCTAAGACAAATGTGGCTACAAAGTCAATAAAGATGGCTGGTTGGCAAAATGCAAAATCGAAAACCACGGTGACGCAGGTAATTTTGGGGCACCCTGACTGAGCACAATCTGTTGTTTATATGTTCACATGAACAGTGCGCGCGGCTATTCATTGACTTTTGCGCAGATCATGCAAATAAGAAAGGTGTGAGCTCGAGTTAAAAGGTAATCGCAAGTACGTTCTTATGCAGCCGTATTCCAAAATAGTCAAGTAAATTGCTCTTCCGTTGAGTGTCCCGTATCCCTTATGTTATTTATGTTGCCTATGTTATTTCCAATCTTGTAATTAGTCGTTCCGTTCTTGATGTATTATATGTTCGTCATACTTTACTTAGAAACCACTGGAAATGGCGTGTAAATAAAAGAGTTCGGTCGAGTCGTCAAAAATTCAGTGAACTCTTAAGTTTATTGCTGGTGCGTTGGTTACAGTTGCTGAATAAATTAAAGTAAAATTTCTACTGGTCAATTTGCATGATTGGAATGTGATTGAATGCTGGGCAATTCAGGTCTGAAAAACTTGAAAAATACACGTAACGAGGAAAGAATCAGAAATGTCCATAACAGGAAAGATGGCAACTTCACTTGTAAGTGGTAACGTGGTAAATTTTTTCAACCCTTTTCACTTCCATGATCTCATCACTAATTCTCTTTACTGTCTGCTATACAATTCTTGCGAAGTTCGTGCTGAGAATCTGGCATTGCTTCAACTAATAATCCTCCAATTGACATTTTTATTTATTCTCATCACTCGTCTGTTTGATACTGTATCGATGTTGCAAGGAGAAGTTTTGTCTATGGAACTTTATGGGTTAACGCGGAATTCGGCTCTCAAAAGACCTGGTTAGTTAACTTTTTTTGTGCGCACGTTTTATGTTTTGATGATTCCCTCATGCGCCAAAAAAGTGAACAACAACAGTTGTAAAAGTCTTAGGGTCGGGTTCTCTAGTTTTCCTTGCTTCGCTGAATAATTCCTAGACCCTCGACCCCGGGGTCCAGAGCGCGGAGCGGGACATCTTGTGTCCCATTTCTAAAAATTTTAAGGAACACTCTCTTGTTCAGCCTCTCACGTAGCATTGATTTTTTAAGTTAAAATAATAATTAAAAAAAGTGAAACAGAGTGATTGAAACAAACAGACGTTTATTATTAAATTTGTACTCGTAAGTTAGCTGTAATCTAAGAGACGCGCATGCGCTCATGTGCGTGCGTGGGTGTATGTGCGTGCGTGCAAGGTTGTCGAGTATTTGTCTATTTTTGGTTAGCTTACAGAAGCCACCCTATGTGCATTTGACTCAAATCAAGACTCAAATCACGACTCGCTGGAAAGAAAAAAATCCTTGGGTCTTCTTGAATCTGACGTCGAGTGTTTCCTCATGCCTCCACACATGTATACTTCCTGGGATATTAAAAAAAAACCAAAAGAAATTAGAGGTGTAGCGAATGAACAAGAACACGCAGCTGGTGAGAGAATCTGGCGAGAGGACTGTGTCTAGTTAGTTCTATATTATAATAATTATAACTACCATTATAACTATCATAATTATTATTGGTATATACCACACAAACGAATAATGCTTTTCACGCGCGCTGATTATTGGGACGTACTATTCACCACCGTTTTATTTCAAGGTTGGTTGCGTAAAGAATTAAAACTTTCCCCTGCCAGATATTCAGGATATTTCACACGAACACAAGCGATACATTCATGTCTCGGATACAAAAAGTCAACCATCATTGGTCGAGGAAATAAGAAGTTTCATCATTGATCTTGATGCAAGTGGATAAATCATTGTTAACCAAATGTTTGAGTCTTTTTACTTACGGTTCAAAAAAGTTGCCCTTGTTTACACACTTCCGCATGACTCCAGTGTACGGGTTTCCTTTTCGACAGCACTTGGCGTTATTGTTCTCACAACCCGTTCCTTCAAGTGCAACACACGAGCGACGATGTAGATACTTCTGAAAATTGTTGATGTAACAAAAACAACTAAATATTTCTCCTAGATAAAACTCTTCTGGCTTGTTATATGTGGTCAATATTTCATGCCTAAAAAACTTAATAGATTCTTTAGAGAGCGCAGATGACATCTATAAAAAGAAAGACCGTGAGTTCTTCAAAATTGTCCTTGCTCTAAGAGTGGCTATTGTTATCACGATTCAATGCATTTTTCTATCTTGAGCTATAGCGCCAACGCATTGCAGGATTGTCGAGTCTTTTATTTTCATTCATTAGTGAAGTGGGCTTTTCTTGTCACTATCACGGCTAATGCTTTTATATGATAAACAAAATAATACATGGTTGTTAGAAGATATAAAATTTCTCGTCTGCGCTCACTCGTGAGCTACCGAGTTGAATGCTCGAAGAGAAATTCCGTATCTACGCGCGTGCATGCAATATTCTCTATTTTATCCCTTGGGAGGGATGAGGCGGGGTCAGAGAATATCTTTGGGGGGGGGTGTGGGGGCGTCACATGGTTTTCAGGGCGATCAGATGGGGTATCAGTACTCGGTAACGGTGTTTAAGGGAAAGAATAAAGGAAATTTACTGCTTATGAGGGGAGATCATTTGAATAAGCCCCCACCCCCCGTCAGGTGATAAATAATTACCGCGCGAGAAGCAAAAGCTTGATTGGCGACTAACGACACACTCTTTCTCTCAAATTTGTCTCTCGTTCCATTCCAGTCTCGCATTGCCTTGTAGATTTTTAGTCTCCGTCTATCAATAAACCAACCTTAAAGAATTCCCTTGGGTAAGGTTTAGTGTCCTGATGGTGTGGCGCATGTAATCTACGAGCCTCTGCCATGAGAACACAGAAGATCACCATGAAAGCCAAAGCCAACTTCAACATCGTCTTATACGTCACGTAAACCTCTGCAAAGGAATGTTTAAAGTCGTCTCCTTCGTGGGCGGGTTAATAGGTAAAATCAAGTATATGCATGTGCTGTATCTGTAATTAGTTTCGCTTCACCATCCTTTTGTAAATACCTTCATTGATTAGTTTTTACACGCAATAAATAATAGAGGCGAAATCTCACTACTTTTCGCTGTGACTTTTCTCCCGCTGTAAAAAAAACTTTTCTGGACCTTATACCTGAAAAAACATTTCTAAGACACCCAAAATTCTGCGGTGAACTCAGAGCGGAAATTCTGAGCGGAAAGAACCAAAACTTCTTGGATTAAAGATGACGATTTTTTTACAAACTATCCTTAAGGAATCCTAAACACACCAAGAAAATGAATTAAGTACCGTATTCTCCCGAGTTTAAACGATTATAAATGAACATGCTCATGTAAGCGTTACCATAAGACTTCAAGTTCGCCACTTAAATTTGCATAAAGCACTTAATGGACAAGTTGCCAGTGATGCATGCATTTTCATTTATGGCATGGGCGGTATTGAAAATTGCAAACGGCTGAAAAATAAAACCACAATTCATAATACTGATAAAGTAAATTTCGCTTGCTCCCAACGTGTGAGTTTGTAGCTCAGCTGTTAGTGACACCCAATAGAGCACTAGTCTGGGAGGCACGAGTTCAAATCCCGTCGAAGTTTGGGTTTTTACCAGACTTCTTTTCTGGAATTTCTTAAAATTTCATCACATCTGTGAGGTTCATTTCTTCAGTTGCTGAAACTACAGCTAGAATATAACGACCAGTTATTTGAAGAAAATGAAAATTTAGGCTGTGGTGTCAGGCGATCTGCATGTGACCCTCGAGATTTCCCCATAAGCGACATGTTTGAACTGAAGTAAATAAATGTTTTTCCAACCTTATTTCTAAGCCTACTTGACACTGTTCATGCTCTGATAAGTTATTCAGATGTAACAGCCAGTACGGCGCTTTTAAGAGTTATATGGAAGTTTTCAGAACTTACCTTTGTACTGAAACAAACTTAAGCAATTAACCTCACTAACTTTCCCAAACTTTCAATAAGTTACCTTTATAACTAATTAACAAACGACCCCCCACAGTCAAAAACCGTAAGAACCCACGACATTCTTGAAATGTTGATTGTCTTGTTATCATTTACAAACAATCAGTGAACCTCAAAATTTCTCCATAAGCGAAATGTTTGAAGTAAATAAATGTATTTCCAATGTTATTTCTAGGCCTACTTGACATTGTTCATGAATTCTGATCGATTTTCAGATGTAACAGCCAGTACGGTGCTTTTAAGAGTTATAAGTTCTCAGAACTTACCTCTGAACCAAACTGAAGCAATCAACCTCACTAACTTTCTCGAACTTTCAATGCGTTTCCTTAATAACTAATTAACTTAACAGACAACCTTTCCCCTTTCATAGTCAAACTTACAAATTTTCATAAAACATTTAGACAAGTGGCCTGTGATGCACGCATTTTCACTTATGGTATGGGCGGCATTGAAAATTGCAAACGGCTGAGAAATAAAACTACAATTCATAATACTGATGAAGTAAGTTCCGCTTGCTCCCGACGTGTGAGTTTGTAGTTCAGCTGTTAGTAACACCCAATAGAGTCTGGAATGCACGAGTTGAATTTGAGTTTTTACCAGACTTCTTTTCTGCAATTGCTTAAAATTGCATCACATCTGCGAGGTTCATTTCTTCAATTGCCGAAACTACAGCTAGAATATAACGACCAGTTATTTGAAAAAAACATCGAGATTTCTTCACAAGCGAAATGTTTGAAGTAAATAAATGTTTTTCCAATGGTCTTTCTAGGCCTACTTAACACTGTTCATGAAACTCTGATAGGATTTTCAGATGTAACAGCCAGTACGGTGCTTTTAAAGGTTATAAGTTCTCACAACTTACCTCTCAACCAAACTGAAGCGATCAATCTCACAAGAAGCCCCTGACCTCACTAACTTTCTCGAAATTTTGATGTGTTGTCTTAATAACTGATGAACAAAGGACCCCCAACAATCAAACTCACAAAACCGTGAACCGACTAAAATGAACGGAAATGTCTGGAATGTTCATTGAGGTAAATATGAAAGCGATCTTTGTAGTAATGAGCTTTAGTAAAAATAAGAAAAAGAAAAAAAAAATCAGGCCTGTACGGAATTTGAAGCCATGACCTCTGCGATATCGGTGCAGTGCTCATGGCAATCATTCACAAACGATCCGTGAACCTCGAGATTTCTCCATAAGCAAAACGTTTGAAGTAAATATAATAGACCAGTTATTTGAACAAAATAACAATTCAGGCTGCAGTGTTAGCCGATCCGTGAACATCGAGATTTCTCCACAAGCAAAATGTTTGAAGTAAATAAATGTTTTTCCAATGATATTTCTAGGCCTACTTGACACTGTTCATGCTTTGATAGGATTTTCAGATGTAACAGCCAGTACGGCGCTTTTAAGAGTTATAAGTTTTCAGAACTTACCTCTGAACCAAACTGAAGCAATCAACCCCACTAACTTTCTCGAACTTTCAATGCGTTGCCTTAACAACTTAATGACAAAAGACCCCTCAAGGTCAAACTCACAGGACCGTGAACACCTCACGGATATGCCTGAAATGTCAATTGTCTAGGAATCACTCGCAAACGATCAGTGAACCTCGACACTTCTAGGCCTACTTGACACTGTCCATGAAACTCTGATAGGATTTTCAGATGTAACAGCCAGTACGGTGCTTTTAAGAGTTATAAGTTCTCAGAACTTACCTTTGAACCAAACTGAGGCAGTCGACCTCACTAACTTTCTAGAAGTTTCAATGCCTTTCCTTTTAACACGTTTCTCTAGGACTGTGATTCCACAAACTCAAATTTAAGTCAGATTAAAGCACTCCTTTCGCTTCTAAAGTATAAAACAAAACGAAACGCTTTCATCGCGGCACGAAATAAAAGAAAAAACCTTCGATCATTTTCTGGCGAAACATTCTGCAAATGTGGGAGTCACTGATGTGTATCAGATGCAAACTTCAAATACTGTAGACAACCTTAATATAGGAATAGCGTTTTGCCTCGTTTCTTGATTAAATAATACACTCATGAACTAAAGAGGAACTAAAGGGGAGTGCACTTAAAATTTGTTGTTTATTTTCCATCTGATGGGAATTTATCGTAGCCGACGTCGACCTTTCAACCGTACCAAATTATTCCGTCATACTCCAAGCTCTAAACGGCGATAAGTGCAAATCAACAGTTGCACTTTTTCTCTATATTTTCGATTTCTGGTAAAACAAAAAATTACTGACTTGGTTAGTCAAACTTTTTTTGTCCAAGAAACTGAACAACAATACTTGTAAAAGTCTTGAGGTATGGGCTCTCTAGTTTTTACTCGCTTGGCTGAATAATTCATTCGTCCAAGGCCCATTTCCGAGTTCACGCTAGTCAGAACTCAAATCTAGGCCCCTCGACCCCAGAATCCAGCGCGCGCAACGGGACAGCATGTCTTCCATGATAAAAATTCAAGGAACACTCTCTTATTCAGCGTCTCACGTAAAGATGATTTGTTAAGTCAAAACAAAAAAAAAAAAAAAAAAGAAAGAGTAAAACAGAGTGAATGAAACAAACAGACGTTTATTACTAAATTTTCACTCGTAAGTTAGCTGTGATCTAAGAGACGCGCATACGCTCATGTGCGTGCGTGGGAAAGTGTATGTGTGCAAGGTTATCGAGCGTATGTCTATTTTTGTTTAGTCTACAGAAACCACCCAATGTGCATTGGGAAAAGACTCAAATCAAGACTCGCTGGAAAAAAACATTCTTGGGTTGTCTTGAATCTGACACTGAGTGTTTCCTCATGCTTCCATACATGTATACGCCCGGGGATATAAAAAAAAGTAAATCAAAACCAAATTAGGGGTGAATTAGACTGCGCAGCCGGTGGGAGAATCTGGCAGAAGGACTGTGTATAGTTAGTTCTATATTCTAATAATTATTACTACCGTTATATTATTGATATACACCGCACAAGTGAGTAATGCTTTTCACGCACGCTGATTGACACGCACTATTTACCACCGTTTTATTTCAAGGTTTCTTACGAAAAGAAATCTTTCCTCTGCCAGGTATTTAGAATATTTCACACGAACACATGCGATACATTCATGTCTCGGATACCAAAAGCCAACCATCATTGGTCGAAGAAATAGGGAGTTTTATCATTAATCATGATGCAAGTGGATAAATCATTTCAAGCAAAATGTTCGAGTCTTTTACTTATGGTGAAAAAAAGGTGCCCTTGTTTACACACTTTCGCGTGACTCCAGTAAACAAAGACGCTCCAGAAAACAGGCTGAAAAGAGGTCATCAACAAAGAGAAGCGAACTACAAAGGATTCGAGGAAGAAAAGGAGGTAAGTCGTTGTTACTACCGTTACGTTGTGACTCAGTGAGCGCACGCGTGATGTCACGCACGCCATGGCGTGCTGCCTCGCAATGCGTCACGGGAAGAAAAAAATCCATGTGCTAAGGATGAGCCGATACGGCTTTTTTGAATCGATACGATACCGAGTACGATATTCCTTTTTTCTTCGATATCGATATCGATACCAATACTGTGACGTCATTGAAATAAATGTAATCTAATTGACTAAATTAAGGCACTCTCGCACGGTTTCCGGTTCAGTTCTCATTAGTAGCATCATAAAGACAGTCAAACAAGTCAAAAATTTCAATTTATTGGGACATATTTTTAATTTTCTCGAGGAAATGAAGAAGACCGCAATACAAGCAATCTGCAGGTGCACAATGAAATGTTACCAGTTACTGCACGGATCACTTATAATAACCAAACACGGGTGCCCGACTTATTATGGATCTTGCGCTTTAATACTCGATACATCAGAGCCTCTCTGGTATACAGGACCATACAGAAGGGCCATACTTACTATTCGACGAGTAAACATAGGGACTTGATACATATTACTAGACCTCAAATGAAAATCAATATCGTTAAAAACAATATCGGGTAACTAACGTCTACTTTACTTTCAGCCAGCCAAGTTAGCTAAAAAAAAAAGAGCTTAGATAGCAGCGGGTAAAGAAAAATCAGATGTACCAGGGATGCAAAGATACTTCTTTGCAATTTTTGCGATTAGTTCATAGTATCGCTCATTCTCCTTCCACCACGGTAAGGGATCTTGGAGTCTTGCCAGCACTGGTTCTTCAAAACACTTTCTGGCTTCCAGTGTTGCATTGCTGGTTGAGGTTCTTTGTGATGTTGATTACTTGACTACTGAGTCCAAGAGATCCCACAGGCCAGCTGCTTCAGTTGTATCACTGAGCTGCCTATCTTCTTTGGAATTATTAGTCTGGACATACCCTGACATCTCCTGAACAACCCACTGCTCTGCCTGTCTCACGCTGCCGAGTCACTGATGCCAATTTCTTCATCCGGGGATCCAGCATCGACATCGCCAGCATGCGAGCGCTTTGGATATTTGTGAAGCGGCGTCTCATCTGGTAGCTAAGGTTGGAAACCAGGGGTGTGTCCTTTTCTGTAATCGCACCATTCAAACGCTGTAGTGATTTCGCTAGAAGTATCACCTTAGAAATGGAGACATGCTTGTCCAAAGAAATCTCTTTGGTCGTTGCCTCAAAGGGTTTCAAAACGGCCATGACAGCTTTCAGCAGGCTCACATCAGAAGATGAAACACACAATGCATTACGACCAGAGAGACAAAGTGCTGTGGTAATGGCTTGATGTTGCTCCGTGATGCGTTCAAACATGTAGTAAGTTGAGTTCCATCTGGTTTCCACTTTTTGGATGAGTTTGTTCTCAGGAATTCCCAGCTATATCTCCTTCAGCTTTTCTGAGGCCTTAACGCTGTGGTGGAAAAAGCTCACAATGTCCCTGCAGCTCTTTCTAAGCTAATAGATCTTTGTGTCAGCCTTAATTGCCTCATAAATCACTAGATTCAGGGTGTGTGCAAAGCAAGGGACATTTGCCCAAGCAGTGTGTCTGACGGCGGCAACAACGTTGGCAGCATTGTCAGTAACCATCGCAACAACTTTTCGGGAAATTCCCCATTCTTCCGCAGTTTTTTGGAATGACGCCGCAATGTTCTCAGCCGTGTGGTCTTTTTCGAACCCAAACGTCTCTAGAACCAGGGACTTGAGTTCCCATGTGGAAGTAACAAAGTGGCAGGTGATAGTAAGATAACTTTCCTTTGTTCTTGATGTCCACAGGTCACTAGTCAGAGCTACGTGAGAAATCTGCAGAAGTTCCCGCTTTATCTCTCCGGCACGAGTTGTGTACATATCAGGTAGCAAACTTCTCATTATGTGTCTTCTGGAGGGCGGCTGGTACCGAGAATCAAGCAAACGCACCAGCGACTGAAATCCGGTTTCCTCTACAATGGTGGCAGGTTACATGTCTATTGCAATCATTCTTATAAGGGCTTGATCAATGTTCTTGCTTCGCGCGCATGTCGGCGAATACTTTTGCCAAGTTTGTGCCATCTCCGATATGGTACGCTGCCGCAGGTTGTCAGCGGTCTTACGCCTCTTGGATGCTTTTTCTTCCTCCTCTTTCCTCTTGTTTTCAGCTTCCTTGTGCTGAGCCGGGTGTTTTAATTTCCAATGCTATAAAAGAAAATATGAATAATCTTCAATTTATGATAAAACATTAAAAAGCCCTTCAAATTTCAGTGGACAATACCTTAAATAGATTTGACGTGTTGTTTGCATGCTTCACAACATCAGAGCAGATAGTGCATTGTGAGGTTCTCACAACTTCGGTAGACCTTGTAAAGAAATGCCACACAGCACTCCTCAGGCGCTTTCCTGCATCAAAGTTTCCTGACGAAGAAGCGTTTGCCTCGAGGTCACTGTTAGCAAAAATTGCGTTTCAGCTGTGAATCGCTTCCGGGATGGACTTGGTTGTCTACAACAACTACAACTATAGTATGTACTAAA